ATCCAATTCTGTGAAAAGAGGACGGTACCCTACGGGCATCGAACCTGGCAATGGAAACTAACAATCGCAGACTGCGGCAGCCACCACGATTGCTGCATGTATATGCATGCATGATGTGGGTCAAAAACATCGGCACCAAAACTTATCAAAAACATTCAAAAACATGCTGAACATCCCAAAGTGCCAGTATTCCTGGCCCCTCCTGCTACTGCAATGAAACATATATGACAGGTCGCCACTCGTCATGCCAACAAGGCACAAAATAGGTGAGTTTCTTCCAGGTTGAGTGATACAATTGTACGCATCCGGCCCCGGCTTGCCAAAATTCCTCGAACGCTGCCAGGGTGGTTTCGAAGTCTCGGCGGGTTCACTGGGGCAAAGCAATGGAGATTGAATCAAGCCATCATGTACAGCATCCCCCAAATTCAATGCAAAATGAGGCAAAATTACATAATTAATGGTATACCTGGAAAAACCAAACGGCAAAAAAAACGCCTCGGAGGGTCTGCGGCGCCTCCAGTTGATCTGAGGCATTTTTTGTTTTCTGAGGCGTTTTTGTTGTAATCCTTGTTTTTCACTGTTTTTCCTTTTTCTCTGCTCTAGATTGTTCTGGGATGGGTAAATGACAGCGGACATTTCTTTGATTTCAATACCTGCGAACGCAAAGCCTTGGCTAAATCCAATTCCAAATCTCAATAGTGTAAATCACTTAAAACTGGGGGCGTAGCTGCTGCGTGGCTAAAATCTGTCAGCGAGACTGTCATTGCCCACAAAATGCTGTCTCACTGGAATTGTTTGTTGCTTTTTGGCATTTGCAGCATGTTTCCAAAAGGCAACGGAAGTGAATACGACAAAAATTGTTGTCATGAGAAAAAACAAAGGTAAACCAGGGAAAACATGGAAAAACTGAAAATTCAGAGGACAGAAAACGGCGGAAAAGGGCGGGAAAACGGCGGAAAAGGGCGGGAAAACGGCGGAAAAGGACGGACTCTGAACATTGAGGTCCAAATCTTGCCGGAAACATGCCCAAACGGTTGTATCACGGATTTTGAGTCTTCTAGTTTTCTTCTTGCCGTGAAATTTTGTTGAAAGCTGCAATCCAAGTGATTCAATGTCGATGAAAGCCAACGCTTCCAATGTGCAACTATGAACACATATATACTGTATATACTGTATATACTCTAGGGCTTGTTTTCTGCATTGTTTTTCTTGCAGCGTTCATTACATAGGGAAATCATAAGAATTCCTTAGCAGTACGTGCGGCTGTTTGTCAGGGGTTTGGTCTCTAGTTGTGGGCTTTGCAACTGAAAAGTCGCCATGGCGGGAGTCCTTGGGCTTTGGTAAACTCTTGTGTTTGAGGCGTTTCTTGCTTTCCAGAGGCGTTTTTAACCCACCAGAGGCAAAACAAAACTCATGCGGCGTTATTTTTCACCTCGGGGGCCTGAGGCATTTTTTTCTGCCTCTGGTGTTTCTAGGTATAAATATTTTTGAGTGGTCGTTTAAATCACAACCTGTATGTGGGTTAAAACTACGCTTGAACAAACTGGAATCAACAGAGGTTTCACCTTAGTCCCACTGCTTGGCGATGTGAAAACACTGTCCATCATCAACCACCAACCATCAACTATCATCCATCATCATCGTCATCGTCTTCGTCATCATCATTGCCATCTCCATCTCCATCTCCATCATCACCGTCGTCGTCGTCGTCGCCGCCGCCGTCGTCGTCCTCGTCCTCGTCGTCGTCGTCCTCGTCCTCATCCTCGTCCTCGTCCTCGTCCTCATCCTCATCATCATCATCATCGTCATCATCATCATCATCAGCATCATCATCATCTCATACGTCCGTCCGTCCATCCATCCATCCATCCACCCACCATCCACCATCCCTCACCCCTCCTATGAGGAGGCTTCAATATGGAATATGGATACCCACAGCTGCTTAGCTTCCTCCTAACCACTGGATAGATTAAGACAATCATCGAACCAAATGGCTAATTTCGTGAGTTTTGCATTGCCATGTTTGACCAGGGGGTAACATCCTGGAGGTTCCTTGAGTAGAACTTTGCTATGCTGAGCTATGTTTGCTGGTCAAATATGGTAAAATCATCTCGATTCCAACTCCAACTCGGCGCAGCTTGCCATCACTGAGGTCGACTGAGGTCCCTAACTCCTTGTCTTGGGGCCCTTGGGTGCGAGCACCCAGGGACCACGTGGGGTTCCTGCGCTGAAACTCTTCATCGCCAGGGTTTCATCGCTTGTTTCTTAAGCCAAAACTTCTAGCAGTGTCTTGGGGTGCATCTAGAGCAAATCAGTGCACTCAGAATTCTTTTTGCTTTTTGTTTGTTGTTGTTTTGTTTAAACCAATGCATATATATATATATATATAATCCAAAGTGTAACATCCAATTCGATTAGAACAAAAGAGTGGTAACGGATCAATGGGAACTTATACCCAAAATTCAAAGAGTTATGTATATGACCCGACGGTGATGACATGTCTTCCCTCTACCAACTTCTGGGCCCTCCAAAAAATAGTTTATAGTTATGTGTATTGGGCATTTCAAGCTATAGTTCCACAAAAAACATGTTCTTTCGGAACGCCCACAACGATCAAAGTTTCAAGTCGAAGAAAACAAGTCGCAAAAATAGATAAAAATAGGCCGTTTTCTCTGAAAATACACCAGTGAAGTTCCCAACTTCCCAAACACTTTGAATGTAATTGCATACCATGTACAGCTATGGCGACATATCATACCATAGGGAGGTGTCCTAAAATAGGGGCACCATGGGGCGCCTAAATAAATCATCCATTTTACCCTCTGGTGAACTAACATAACTATGGAAAATCACCATTTTTAATGGGAAAATCCACTATAAATGGCCATTTTCCATTGCTATGTTAAATTACCAGAGGGTAGTAGGATTGTTCATGAAATAAAGCATCCAGCTATTTGGAATCCCCCATTTCTGGAAAGCCCCAAGCCTCAACCCACCTGTCACCTGCCCGCAGTTCCTGGAGGGGTAGCACCACGAAGACTTGCCTCCAGACAAGCCATCAGCCACAATGAAACATGGAACATACCCCTTTGGAAATTGAACGTAGCTATTGAAAATGGTGATTTCTGGTTGAATATGTTGAATTACCTATTAAAAATTGTCATTTTCCATAGTTAGGTTAGTTTACCAGAGGCTACCCTTTGGCAATTGAACATTTTGAACATTGCCCATTAGTATAGAGATCTACCTATTCAAAATATGTCAAACTGGTGATGTTCAATAGCCACATTCAGTTACCAAATACAGTACAGTAATTAATTGGCATGGTTTGAAAGGAGAACCCATGGGAAATCCCACTCGCGCTGCTGGGTGCGGCTGCTTGGCTTGAATGTCACATCATGTCACATCAAAAGCCATCTGCCTTTAGTGGTCATTAGGCGCTCATGGGCACACAGGTTGTTAACTCCGAGCTTCCAAGCACTGGACGGTTTTGAAAGCAAAAGATGATGGTATTGGTGTGGTAATCCAAGAAACTCAATGCTGCTGCATGGCGCGACTGCTGCTTTTTACCTGTGCAAAAACCCTTGTGCCTGAAAGGGCCGGCAGTCACCCGTAAATTGTCTCAAGCAATGTATGAAAGATGTAAATGCAACATGTTGGCATGAAATGAAGCCGTGCATTCACATTGCTACAAAATGCCTGAATTTTCTTCAGGTCTTGCATGGCTCCTAAGTGGAAAATCAAAGAATCCTCTGGCCATGATCTGCCACCAGGCACCCGCGTTCATCTCCTTGGTCAAAAGATCTGCTAGCTGCAGGTGCGTAGGCATCCAATGCAATGGAGGGCGGCAAGGTCTTTCGGGAGTTGGTTCCCCTCCCGCTTGATGTCGTGCCAACCATTGATGCCGTGCTTCTCGCAAGAAAATCTGGCGAAGGCCAGCTAGATCCACAGCGAGACGCTTCTCTGTCGGAGCTTTAGGAACTCCTTCACGGTGCAGATGATCGTATAAGCTCTTGCAGTCTGTGATGCAGTGCAAAGGTGAGAACTTGCCACTCTCATCTTCAGAAACGTGCCTACCTTGAGCAAAGGAGAGAAATAGACATCGCAGGAAAAGTGCAGACTCAACTCCCTCGGTACATGCCATCGTCTCTCCGGCAAAGGTGGATCGACAAACTCTTTGACTACCCTTGGATTTCCAATCAATGATGCTGAAAATACCCTTGCCTTCAGAAAACGCATGCTTTTCAGTGATCAACACTAAACTACCTAGTTGGGAACGCACATAATGAGACCCTGTCCAGTCCACATCGTCCTCCTCCAAGGGCTCGTGTGAGACGTTGGCCCACGCAGCATCATGAAAGACCACAAAGGCGATGTCTTGCTCAAGCACTTTTCTGAGAGTAATACCTTCATCCTTGAAGTTCAGCGCCGCATCGACAGCCTTGTTGGTCTTTTTGATGTCTTCTTGAGAAGGGTCATTCTGAGTCATTCTGCCTTTTCTGAGCCTGACTCACGCTGAAGCTCAGATCAGGTCTCGTTTGCTTGGATAACCATGACAAGCTTCCAATCGTTGTTCTGTTCTCTTCAATCTGCTCCCTGCTAGTGGAGCCATCGCTCCTGGGCTTCGCAGTGACCTTGTCGACTCTGCCAGAGGTGTAATGCCTCTGCGTGATTCTCACCTCCTGTTCGGAGCACTTGTACTCACAGCCGACATATTCAAACTCATCAGAGACCCACTCGTCAACAGGAAAACGATCCTGGAGGGCCTTCTGCAGAAGAGGGACCAGTTCTCTTTCTGCCATGAGCATGATGTCGTCGACGTGAGTGAGAAGCAATCCATGAACCGTCGTTTCTGTGCTTTGTGAACATACCATGAAAACGCATGGATCAATCTCGTTTTGCTTCATGGTCAAATGAAGTCCTTGATGGTGGATCTCAATGGTCAAGACTTCCTTTGACAACTTCATCCACCAAAGCTTGGGGCTCGTTGACAAGCCAAAGACACCCTTGAGGACTTCAATCAATTGACCAGGCTCCAACGAAGGAATGCCTCGTTTGGGCTGTGAAAAATACAGCTTTCGATCTGACTCGACGCCATTCAGGAAGGCGGCCTTGATGTCGCCGACACTCACTCTCCAGCCACGTGCTAGAGCCAATTGTAGTGCCAAAAGTATGGAGTGTCGGCTGGTAGTGGGAGCGTCCACCTGCATGTCCATAGTGCCCAAATCAGGGTCACAGTGACCTGCGATACAAAGTCTGGCCTTTGGTTTCGGTGGCACCTTTGGGTCGCACTTCCTTTTGGCATAATTCTTGTCTTTGTATGCAAATCTTGATCTGAGGATGCGCTCAGGCGCAACCGTTCGCCTGATCTTCTCTGACTCCTCCAAAGACAAAGGTTTGACTGCTCCAAAGTCAACGTGTTCATTCCATTGTTTGAGCTCTTGTTCTTGATAGAGCCCTTTCTCGTCAGGGGGAATGAGGCCCCATGGAAGTTCCTTTTCAAGTTGCTTCTCCTTGCCCTTCTCAGAGATGCATCTTTTCACCATAAACTGAGTCCTTGGTTTCTTGAGGCAAACGGGCAAGTCATCAAGTGCTTGGGCCTTTCGAAAGGAGCTCTTGATCTGCTTCTCTCGTGATGCCACATCGGACCAAAGCCGGTCCTGAGCACTTGGAACTCCTCCTTGAAGAGAATCTTCCACCTCCATATCGGCGCCCTCAGGGACGGCGTCGGAAGATTTGAAAAGGTCTCCCCGCCCATCCACTTCCATGTCGGATGGAACGTAGTCGTCATCATTGACGTCGTCGTACTCCTCACCCTCGATCTGGTTGATCATGCTTCGCACTTCCTTCATAGCAAGCTTGATCCTGATGGTCTCACTGACCTCCTCAGGGTCAGCTGGTCGAAGGTGTTCAGGAGCAGCGAGAAGGCATCTGCCTCCTCGGGCCAGCCAATAGTTGGGGTCTTGCTTCCCAATCACCACAGCGGGACCCATCCAAGCAGCAGAAGGTTTCTTGCCTTTTCCTTGTCGGTATTCACGGTAGATGTATACACCATGTCTCCAACCTCATAGTGTTCTGGTTGTTGACGCGGCTTGTGGTGGATGGCCCGCTGCAAAGCGTCTTTGGTTTGACATTGAAAGAAAGCAGCCCTGGCCCCGGTCCTGATGACCTGAGCTCTAGCAAATTTGGCATCGGGACTTCCAGCTGGAAAGGACGCCGTGTCGTCGGAGCCATCAAAAAGATCCCCAACTTGACGACCATTGGAGCCAAATACCCATTGTCTTGGGGAGAACCCTGATCTGTTCCGCAGTGAGTTCTTGGGTTCTTGGCATCTGACACGGCGGCACAAGCCTCAGTGAACTCCTCCTCAAGGATCAGGTTCTCTTCAAGGAGCTTCGCATAGATGGCCTTCCAGCTTCCACCGTGACGTTCGCATACGCCATTCTGCCAATGAGCTTGGCCGGCCGCACTGCGCACGACGATGCACTTCTCATCCATGAGTGCCAAAAACTTGTCTTTGAAGGCCGAGTCCAAGTCAATGAGGACTTGCTTGGGAATGCCAGCCCATTGGATCCACCCTGAGGAAAAAGCCTGGGACACCTCTTCTGACTTAGTGCCCGGCAAGGGGATCACGACCTGGTATGTTGACGCCAAGTCTACAATATTGAGGGCTGGCAGGTTCTTGCGGTCAGCAGTGTCTACCCACAAGATATCGGCCGCGACCACCTCATTGAAATCCAGGGAAGTGACAGGAGCACTGACCTTGTGGGGTTTGGCCCTACTGCTTCTTTCACACACGCGGCATACCATCTGCTCTGCTGTGTGAATCACAGGTTTTGGAGCCCCGCCGAGCTTGAGGTGACGGACCAACTCCCTGTTCGGGGGATGCCCCAAGTTCTGGTGGATCCTCTTCAGGGCCGAAGCGATTGTAGGGTTGACCTTCCCTCGGAAGGAAATGGCTTTGGCACCGTAGGACTCGTCAGGGACCTCTTCGCCGTCAAGGATGTAGCCCCCTGAATCCTTGGAAGCAGATGCTGCTGCTGTGGGAAAAGCCACAAACGCCTGACTTTTCGAATATGCTCTGACCACAGCATTGGCAAAAGCTGTGGGATACACTGCCGAATGGGCTGTGTTCTTGCCCTGTATGGGCAGGTGCTCATGATCGCCAGTGCAAAGTTGGGCAATGTTGTGTGCAAACATCTCATCAGAGCATAAAAGGGATATCGGTTTCAAAAGAGGAAAATCATCACCGATACTCCTCATTCCATAGCTGCAGAGGTCAACCTTAGCTAAGTGGGCACGTTGAGGCGAGATCCAACTCTGCAATGTTGGGGTGCGCCAAAGATCTGAGCCCCTCGGATTTTCCAAGACAAACTGCCCTCCAAGGGCAACCTGCAAGTCCATGACCTCATCGGCAAATTTGATCAGGTCCATCTCCTTGCGCCTCAATCTGCGCAAGGTCTGCTTGTCATAGTTGAGGTGGGAAAAATTGCCCCAGAGAGTGCAAGGTGGAGCCAACCAAACCATACCAGGCCTGTGCTCATGAATGTCGCTCAAGATCTCCTGCTGGACCTCTCGCCGACGAAAGTCATGGCCCATCAGCAAATCGCGTGGGCAGAGCACCCCTCTCCTCTTTTTGGCAAAAGCTTCAGAAATGCGAGCTCGACCTGCAAAAAGCTCAAGACAATCTACTTCTCTTTGATGTCCTGGCATGAGTCGTGCAGAAGGCGTGAAAATCGCCAACACGTCGTTGACAGGGCCCTCACATGTCTCATGCACAAAACTGGCTGTTGCACCCAGGCAGGACATCATGACGGTGCACATCATCACCATGTTTGCTTTGAGCTTCTGAGCGGTCGACCGATTCATCCGCTTTCTGGCCGCAATGCCGCGGCGAGCTTTCTGACGGTTTGTCATAAACCTGACACCGTCGTCTTCCGACTCGGAGCCACCGAGCTGATATTCTTCCATGCCATCCTCAAATTCTGAGAAGTCGCCATCCTCAGATTTTGAGAAGTTGCTGCCAACATTCTTTGTCACATAGGCTTGCGAGCAATTGACATCCTTGGGTTCAACCTCGGTGCCAAGCGAGCAAGTGCCGATGTCATACTCAATCTCACTGCTGTGCGAGCAATCGCCCTCCTCGGACTCAAGGGTGAAGTGAGGAGGCTTCAGTCCCGATCTCGCGGGGCCATGCGGGCATTCAGACTGCGCCTGTCCTTGAGCTCTGCCAGGCGCGTCTCGAGCATCCTGATCTCGTCGATCTCTGTTGCTTCCTCTTCGGCCTCCGCCGCATCGGAATCCATCTCTTGGAGTCGACGTGTCCTCCTGGGCCTCGGCTTTGGAGTGGACGCTGCACTGACTCTTGCCCAAGAGGAATCGGAGCTTCCCGAACCATGACGCATCTCTGCCACGGTCGGAGGTGGGATCGTTGCATTGATCTCCGGGTCGGGCATCTTCTCTTGAGCATAGCCTGTCCTCGGATTGTTGGACAGTCGCTCCAATTCCACTTTGGCCCAAGTTGCCAATCGCACCAGGTCTGGGTGAGCATTTGGGTTGCCGTTGGTCTCCTTCACTGCCCATTCCAAGTAAGGAACGGGAATTTCCCGATAAAGCCACCCCTTGAACTTGCCGAACGGGACGATGGTGTCCGCTGGTGTGGCTGTGGCATCCCTCAACATCCGGATGAGCCATCCTCTGGTCGGCTTCTCGGGAATCGGAATGCGCATGCTGTGAGCCTGGGCTATCAATTCTGCCAGACTCAGCTTGGTGACCCCCTTGAGCTCCTGATCTTGACTGGACTTCGTCGCCGTCTCCTGCCGGGCTTCTGACACCAAGCTCCTGAGCTCTGGGACCAACCAAGAGTCGTGCGTGACCATGCTTGAAGAGGACGTTTGCGGTCCAACCCGGACCATTGTCCCGGGATCCGTCATGACAAACTCGCTCGTGACCCCAACCCCCAGCCAAGCAAGTTGGGAGTCAATCCTGAGTCGTCAGCACGGACAAAATTGTTCAGCGGTCGTACATCAAAGACACATCACTCACAGTAGCAAATGGGGTTAATCAGAAACAGTAGAAACAACTCACCGGTCTCATCAAATATAAAGTACAACAAACCAACCAAAATCACCAGAACAAACAAAGGGGGGGAAGCACAAAACTGAGGTCAGAGGGAACCTGCTCCGACAGTACGGAGCAGGAATCAACCACCGGGCGGTACCGGTGGAGAACTCTCAGCGGACAGTACCACTGTAAACGTCAATATGAGGAAAAATAGGAAACCAAATGTGCGACGAGACACCTTTTACCTTTTAGCCGTGCGGCCGTCATCCCGGGCGAGCGTAGAACCCCGTCTGTCAGCAGGTCTTTTTCCGGAAGCAGAACTTTGGGTACCCTTACCTTTTCCCTTGAACCAACCTTTAATTTGTTCCTCAGAGTGACCCACATCCGACAGAACCTGACGAAGAACAGGACCCGGCATAAACCGAGCTGCACGCAAACCACAGGGTGGGAACTCCCCAGTAGTCTTGTTTTTGGCCACCAGCAACTGGACCTCAGGCCTATTGAACAAACTTCGAAGAGCCAAGCCTTCCGAGGTACAGGAAAACAAGACATTGAGAATCCAGGCCTTATCTGCTTCTGTGGGGGGGTCCTTATAGAAACAAGCCTCAACTGCCTGTCTGGGGGCCATCTTGAGGGTGGAGAGAATTTCACCAGTGAGACCTTGGTTCTCCAACTGAGCCACCACCGCCTGAACCACCTGAAGTTTAAACGGGAGAATTGTGGTCTCAGAGGGCGTTGTGGAAGCCTTAGCAGCCTGGGCACCTGCCACCCACTTTTCCAACAGTTCCAACAACCTTTGCTTGAACTCTCCAGTGGCAAAGACCACCATCTGCCTTTGTGACCTGTCTTTGCCCACCCCTTTGGCCGTGGTAGCAGCCAAGTTAGAAACATTAGCCACCCTATTCTCCAATACCGAGACCCTGTCTTCCATGCTGACATTCATACCAACCGAACTAGAACCTACGCGCTTGAGTACCTAGATCTGAGAAGCTTGCAGGGAGCGGCGATTAAGCGTGTGCTTGAAAATAGTGTTTGGTCCATCCATGCTGTGTGTGATAGGATTTGTGTTCTTTGTCCGTGTCGACACAATGAGGGCAGGTCATGGGAAACTCTGAATCTGGTATAGCATGTTCTACGGCCATATGTGCCCGTAACCCTGGTTTTCCCGGCCAAACTCCATGACACCAAGGACAAGTAAAAGGGTGGGGGCAACTACCATGTTCGTAAGAGAGATGTCTTTTCAAAGCCGTTTCGCGGGCAAAACTCCTAGGACAGTGTGGGCAGTCAAACCCAGCCTCCCTAAAGGTACCTTCAGGGTGTGAAATAGACTTGTGCTGAGACAACCCTTGTTTCGTAGGATAAGCTTTTCCACACCCAGGAACATCACACACGAATTCAGCTCCTTCTACATCACGGGTACGGGATTTTCCTTTAAGATTCCAGTAAGCAGAGCGTACCCTAACAGGTTTATCAATTAATTCTTGTTTGCTAAGGGAGGTCCTGTCCGCCATGACCTGGTACCACGCCGGTTGCGCACTTTTCCGCGGCAGCCTTTTAGGAGTTAGCCCTGTACGGGGAGGTATAGGAGGAGGTTGTGAGGCTTGGCGACAAACCGTAAACAGGAGGGCTTGAAACAAGACGAAATCATCGATTTCCACTATAGTAGGATAATCTTCTAATATCAAAGCCAGTAAGCCTTCAAAATCATTGGCCTCGCAAGCCAATTCTAAAACACGGCTTGCCAGCTTTTGACACCAAGCCTGCCTACCCCCAACTTCTGCTTCAAATTGCAAGAAAGCACTCTGTGGGATCCACACTGTTTGAATCAACTGCTGAGCTTTATCAAGACGGGACTGATGCGTAGGTCGTTTTTTGGATACCCCATGAAACACATTAGACGGCAACTCTTCAGGCTTACGTTCGGGCGCAGAGCCGCCACGCTGTACACACCGCGGAGGATACCAGAGAGCTACCTGCCTAGTAACGAGGCGCCATTGTTCACTACCGCGCGATGAGGAACATACCTGTAACCAGCTGTTCTTAGACATTCCAATGGACTCCAAATCTTGAACGTAAGAATCACGCAATCGTTTTCCGTGTAAATGTCCAGGAGGTCTAGGAATCCCTTCATCTGGGTCCAGAAAAGCAAACAGCATCTTTTTAGGGAGTCTGTGATTAGGCATGCGCGCAACATGTCCGAGCCATCTCAACCGTGACTGTCTGACCAAGGCTTCCACAGGTGGTACCCCAAGCCATGCTCTGATATCTTCATTCGAAATTCCGTACCGATGCTGATCGTAGAGTGAAACTTTAGCAATACGCCTAAGACAAATCATGTAGAACCGGTTGAGAGCAGAACGGGTGGGATACGTATACGTCCAAGCTTCGGCACCATACAACAAAACAGACATGACACACGCCCTAAAGACTCGGATTTTGGTTCCTAGTGACAGTTGGTAAACGTTCCAAACTGAACTATTTAGAGACCAGAAAGCTTTGCGGGCTTTGTCTATTCTATCCAGAACCGCCTGATCACCAGCCCCAGTGTCAGAGATTTGTACCCCAAGATAAGAAAACAAGGGAGTAAACCGAACACCAGTTTTGCCATCCTGAGGTACAAGTTCAATGGGATCATGAGTCTGATCATCGGTAGCCATGGCTTCAGTTTTATCCACAGAAAGCGTCATTCCCCATGCGTTCAAATGGCTTTGAAACTGTCCAGCTTTAATATGAAGGGTGTGTAATGTATCTGCTACCAGGGCTGCATCGTCAGCATATCCAAATTCTTCCAACATGAGGTCTTCCCACGACGCATATTTATCAAGAGCCTCTCTATGGTGTAGAATACCATCAATGCGCGTATACCAGTGTAATCCAGGTGAACTTTTCTTATGCCATGCTTCAAAGACAGCAGAGAGAAAAATGTTGAACAAAAGAGGTGCCAGACAGCATCCCTGTCCCAGACCAGTTTCCAAGAAGAACGCATCCGACAAGGTTCCCTCAACTGCCACTTTGGCCTCCTTACCAGTGTAATAACTCCTGAGAACCTGAATGAACTTCTGTGGAACACCTTTCTTTTCCAGAATGAGCCATAGACCAGCACGAGACACACAGTCATACGCCTTAACCAGGTCTATAAACAGGAAGAAAGACGGTACCTGTTTTAACGACGCAACTTCCATAACCATCCGGATACAGAAAATCATGTCCATAGTACTACGGCCAGCTCTGAAGCCACACTGTGATTCAGGGAGAATGTCGTTAGCCTCAACATACGCATTAAGACGTGCATTCAGGATGCGCGCAAAGACTTTACCAGGAATACTGCTAAGGAGAATACCCCTCCATCTAGAGCACTTAGACAAGTCCCCGCTTTTAGGGAGAGGCACAAGGTAAGATTCTTTCCATTCCTTAGGCATCTCCTCCACCCCATCCCAGATCCGGCAGAAGTACTCATGAACAAGGCGAACACCAGCGGTATTTAGGGAAAGGAGCAATTCAGCCTCAATTCCATCAGGTCCGCACGCTTTCCCAGCTTTGAGCTTATCCCGAGCGACAAGAGTTTCAGCTAGGTCGAGGGGAGCATTTAACGGTTCGTAAGGAACAAGGCATTGAATACAAGCTAATTCATCAGCCCCGACAACCGTAGGCACGTTCAGTAACTCAGAAAAATACTCCCTCCAGCGTTGCACTCGGGCATCTTTATTGAGTAGTGGTGTTCCAGCAGCATCTAATAATGTCCGAGCAGGCATTTGGCCTTTAACAAACAGTTTACGGAGAGCTCTGAAACCTGCGAATTGGTGTTGTGGGGTTTTTTGATCAACAAGGCTTTGAATCTCAGCAGCTTTTTGTTGCCACCACTCATTGATAAGTCTACGCGTTTCCTTTTTGACGAATTTACAAGCCGTCTTGTACTGACTTGACCGACATCCCTCCTGCTGTTCCATGGCTACTTGTCTCTTGTACGCGCTGAGTTCCTGTAGACGTTCCTGATTTACAGCCTTCCATTCAGGTTCAAACCTTGCCTCCTTGGGACCGAGAATTTGCCATCCTACTCTGCGTAACGCATGTGAGAAAAGCTCATACGAATCATTAACCAACCCTTCGGCACCAAGGTTGAAGAACGACTCAAGGAACCGCGCGCGAACCTCTTCATCCTGCAACAATTGCACCTGAAGACGCGGAATCCTACTCGGCCTGGGATTGTCGCGACGCGCAAAATGTTTGCCTAATGCTTTTTTAGGAGGAAAACGGATTTGTACCTTGAGACATCTATGGTCCGTGTTATGGACGTAACCCGGCATAACCTTTACATCAGTGACCAAACCCGCTGTTCGTGCCGAACAAATAACATGATCTAATTGGAACCATTTTCGTGAAGAGGGGTGAAACCAAGTTCCGTAAGTCGAGTGACGAAAACAAGTACTCAGCACCCTCAGCCCATCCTTGTCCCTAGTGGCCAAAAAATCTAACAACCTAACTCCGTTGTCATTCACCTCAGGCAGTCCGAATCGTCCTACTGGTGCCCGTATACCTGTATCCCCAAGGGTGAACTGTTCCTGTGCGTTTGTCCCAACTCTGGCGTTGAAGTCCCCAAGAATCACAAGTTCATCGCGGCTTGGGATTTGGTCCAAAACTTGTCCTAACTCCGTGTAAAATCTTTCTTTTTCTACCTCAGCATGTGTGTATGTAGGTGCATAACATGATACAACAGAAACATAGCGGTTACGGATAAACAAGCGGATCCTAAGCAACCTCGCACTCCTATATTCACACAACTCCCCAGCCCTACGCCAAGCGGATAACATATCCTGATTCAGCAGAATTCCGACCCCTTGACTAGCCCGTATTTCCGATGACTTGTCCAATCCCGAATAAAGAAATGTCCAATGATCATTCACCCTATAAGTGCCTTTGTCCCTCCAGCGATGTTCTGAAACAGCACACAAAGACAGATTATGCTTTTGTAGTTCCGCACATAGCTCGTCGATCTTTTGTGGTTCCTTTCCCTCAATTTTAATCTCCCCATTGTCAGTGAGTGTTAGTTGAGAATTTAAAGACCTAACATTCCAGCAACCCCAATTATACTTGATGTACTTAGTTTTCCAACTCTTTGGCTGTGTCCGGCCCTGTCCGACCGTCACTAGTGGCTGGCTAAGAGAAGGAAGAGTCTGTCGGCTAGATTTTTCCCGTGTGGTAGCAAGAGTTTTGTCGGGTCAACTCGCTTGCTAGGCCAGTTGACCCCTAGAGGCAGGTTTCTCTCCAGGTTGCCTAATCCTAGGCCCCATGCCTGGCGTCCCCATACCTCAATGCGCCCGTCCGTTAGCCACCCTGCGAACCTACGCGTCATCAAGAGACCACAACACGCAGAAAACAACACAATGAAAAGGCACAAGCCACACGTCATAATTGCAGGGTGTCCACTGGCCACCACGTGGAGGTGGACGGTCCGACTTCGGCCAGCGAAACAATTTTGTCCGTGCTGACCATGCCCAGGCGATTGAGCTCCGCCGTGAGCTCTGCCTTGTTCATCTTGCATGGTGACTTCAGGGTCGCGGCAGCCGGCATGAAGAGCAGTGAACGAATTGGAAATCGTTGTGGACGCCGAGGGATGGACCTCGAGTCTCGTGAAGCGGCTGCGGCCGATCCACAATCCAAGCTGTTGTTTCCATGCAAACTTGTCATCATCAAGATGGCCATGGTGAACATGAGATACAACACCATCGCCTAGCACTGGGATCACCTCTGTGATGCATGGACCTGCAAGCCTTGAAAGTAGAGCATCTTTCAAATCACTTTGAGAAGTCTTCCACAGCGTTGGATTGAAAGGTGATGTTCTCGGAACGACATGGATTCTGATCATTTCGTTTTCAGTCTCAATCCAAAAATCTTTGCTTTGATTTGCATGCGACCACCATGAGAAAAACGCAGCTGCACTGACTGTGGAACTTGTCGACAACATGTTTTGAACTTCAAGTGGAATCTTCTTGGGATAAAAAACCATTGGTACCGAACATGTTGAAGTTGTCATGACACTGCTCACTCCACCAACTGCTGCCGCCATGTATACACTCTCAGGCGCCCAGACATCTTCGAAAGCTAAAGGTTCATCCCCAGACGGTGGTGCCCCCTCCGGAAACTGTGCAACAAAAAGAGCTGGGTGACCAGAGTTGCTGGTCTGAATGTCAAGGTCTTCCAGCCCAAGGGATCGAATCGACACCTTCTGTGCCGCCATGTCATACTGCGTTCCAAGTTGTGAAAGAACTGGCCTACTGAAAAGCAAAGGCACTGCACAAGGGACTAGGGCTACCTTGACCATGAACCACTTCCCAAAAATGGCAAACCAGCCACGAATTGCAAACGTGGATTGAAACACTTTGGAGGCACCAAATTGAAAATGATCTACCTCGTCAACTACATGCCATGGGATGCCCAAGCTGTCGGCCATCTTGTAGTAACGTTCAAAACATGGATACCCTGCAACTGACTTTGTGCATGCCGTGTCAAGGATGGCCACCATGTCAAACTCTGTCGCCAAAACGCGATCCGCATGGTTCGCCACGCAACTGGAGTGGACGTTCTGCACCATGTTGACTTGCTGCGTAGGGGAAGCAGGTCTGTTGCCATCCTTCTTGACATCACGAAGTGGACATTCGGCGTCTCGATGCCAGTGCCCTCGACGTTTGCAGGCACTGCAGAAAGATCTAGCCTTCGCTTGCTTGAGCTTCTCCTCATTGCGACGTCGAACTTCTTCGAGGTCGACTCCGCGGCCTTTCATCGCTTCTTTGTACTTCGCTTTGGCGCCCTGGTAGGCCAAATAGGCCGTGTGGGCGGCCTCAGCAACACTCTCCTCGACCAACTCTTGGTCGTGGTCATCGTGGTCATTGGGCTCATCTTCACTAGTGAGCTCCTCCTCATTGGTGGTCATGTGGACACTCTGCTTGCTGAACTTCTGCCATCTGGGCCTCGACGCTCCATCTTGCCCTCCAGCACCATGACGAAGAGAACGATCTTGTATCATTGCTGCCTGCTGGAGCTTTCTGACGTCGTACTCGTTCCCAACACTGGCTAGAAGAGCAAGTTCCTCATTTTCTGACAATCGCAACTTGTCCACATAGAGCCATGCCTTCACCAATGGGGGAAGCTCACATTGAACTTCTCTGAGCCTGAGAACCATGCGCTCGAACTCGACATTGAACTCGCGCACTGATTGCTCCTGACGTTTCTTGCACTTCCTAAAAAGGTCGTTCATCATGCCAGAGATCTTTGTCATCTCGACTTCCATGAATCTGGTTTGAATCCATTCCAGGTAGTAAGAAACCCCGCTCTCAGAAGCTAGGATGTCCATGTCGAGCTCTTCAGCGTAAGCCCAGGCTCGGTCTGACAAGGCGTTGTATAACGCCAACGCCCTCTGGGACGGAGGCATTCTTGTACACCTCAACCACACCTGCACCTTTCTCACATAGCTGCGAGCTGATTTTCCAACTTCTTGTTCACTGCCTTCCCCACTGAACTCGGGGATAGGGACCTTCTCATTCGTTTTCATGGTCACATCAGGATGATGCCAACGCGCGTCACCCCACTCAACTTCGGAGTACGGCTGAACCTGCTCATCATAGCTGCCAGCCCAACGTCCATTGTTCATGGCAGTGGTGTTCCTAACGTTGGCCACATTGAATCCTCTCAGCTGACCATCGCTCAGCCAACCTGCTTGACGTCCATGATCCCATCCACGGTCGTCCCATCCAGACGACTGCTGCGACGACCCGTGACCATGGACCTGTCCCCACCAGTCAGAGTCATTCCAACCTGTGCTCGTGGACCTAAGTGGAGGTGCACCATATGGGTGAGGATTACTGCTAAGCCATTCCGCCCATGGGTCAGGTGGCGGTCCATCAGGATTCACAGGATCGTCTGCAGGTTGTCTGGTATCGACTGGATCTGAAACAGTGCCCTCCTCGAAGTCTCATCACTAGTTCCAGCACTACCAGTCCGATTGTCCCTTCCCACAGGCGCCCAAGTCCTCCGCATGGATCGCAACCAGCTGCTCCGCGCCACCAGTATTGGTGTGGTAACCCAGAACTTCCATTCCTCCTTATTTAAGGAATTCCTCCTTATTTAAGGAATTCCTCCTTAAAATTCCTCCTTAAATTAAGGTGGAATTTTTGAAAAATTCCTCCTTAAATTTTCAATTGCAAGGAGATCTTGCACCTCCTTCAGCAGGAGACTTGAAACCTCCTTATCCCAGATCCTGGCAGCAAAACTTTTCACTTCAGCTCTGGAATCACTTGTGCTCGCAAACTTTGCAGAACACTCATGCCTATGGAATAAGGGTTGTGGCTTCCACCTTTCACAGCTCCTAAGTGAGCTAGGAAGCCACCAAAGCCTTCGTCTCGATATGTCCAACTGTCTGATGGACAAGAGTTCTGGAGCAATAAATCTAAGAAGCTGTGGTGCTTTGGTTTGATCTTCCAAGTATGGTCAGTCTCGTTTTCCAAGCTCTTGCACAACAGCAAAAACTTTCTGCCATGCAGCAGCATTGACTGGTGATTCCATAGATTCTTGGACAAGAAAGAATAACATTGCCACAGTTCTGTGGCAGCCATCTTGATTGTATATTCGAGCACATTGTCATCAGCCAAAAATTCATCGCAGATTTGTTTTGCTAAAGTAATCAACCCTCGAGCTTCTGCAGCTTTGGCTCGAAGTTTTGGACTTGAACTGGCTTCCTTTCTGATCATGAGGACTGTTAAAGTAGGAAGCTTGTTTTCCACACCTTCAGTCTTGTAGTAGCTTTGAATTCTGTGGAACAAGCTTTTCACCCTTTCTTTGACATTGTTGCCAGGCAAGTGATTTCCAGAGGCAATGAAATGGTGAAAAACATTGCCCATAAAATCTGCTGCCACGCCCAAGTCCACAATGTGAAGCCAGTCCAAAAGAAATTGTTTGCTTGTCAGTCCTGGTGTTTGAAACAATTCATTGATGTCAATGCCAGAATTGGAAATGGATTGCAACAAAGTGAAATGGTCCAAAGGATCAAATGCTTGCAGCTTTCAAAGTTTCGAATTTCAATTGGTTTGCACAAGCACAAATGGCAGCATCCTTGTTTGTCTCACCATCCAGAAAATTGGAAAACTTCTTTTCTCATAGCCCAATCACCTCTCACTCCAAGTAAAAACGCAGTGAAAGGCAATGCCTTGCCATTGAATGTGCTTCGTTTTTTGTCGCCTGGGTGCCAAAAGCTGCCATCATGCCTTGCTGAAGGCCAAGTGCAATTGGCTAAGTGAATAAAAGACCAAGACAAAATTCCTAACATCTTCGACAAAGTTACTCCCTTGATGCATCAGTGCTTTGGAATACAGCACAAAGGGATTCGCAAAGTACCATTAGGTGGAAGTAAGCCAGGAAAATTCAATGAGATGCATTCCAAAGTTTGACTTTTGTCATAATTGTAAGGTGTGCCATCGATCCAAAGGCCAAGTCCTATGGCTTCTCGAACTTGGAACTGCATTTGCATGTTCGCCAAATGTTTCTTGCTGAGTTCACACATGCCACCAGTCTGCAGCAAGTCTTTCTTCTCAGAGCGCTTCGAGAAGACAAAAAGAATCTCATGTGGCAAAAGAAAAGGTATCTTCTTCATCTCTTCTGCTTGTGTTCCAGGATTGTAGCAAGGGATCAATGCAATGTATTCATTGAACCACAGGCAATTCTTCAACATTTTTCTTTTCATATCCCTTGCCAAATTCTTTTCCCAAGTGGCTTGCTTCTCACCACTGCCAGATTTCTCTGCACCTTTGACCAAATCTTTCACACCAGTGGCTCCAGCTATTTGTGCATCTTTCATGAGCTCATTGGCTCTTCTAGCAGAGACAGCCTTGGTCAAAAACAAATTGGAAACAGTGTGTCGAAACCTCTTCTGGTCAGGTTCCCTAAGGGTAGACAAATCTACCTTTCTCTTGTGAAACATGGCTTGAGCTGGAAAAACATGTCAACATAAAAGTTCATAAGATCTCAGAAGACAAGAAGTTACACATTGTATTTAGTTAATGCTAAATTTGGCCAATGCTTTGAAACAGGGAAACAGTAAAGGAGATCTTACACCTCCTTGAGTCTTGTATACCAGCTTAGAAGCAGGCTCTTTTTCCAGCGGCAGTTACCAGCTGCGCATCTTCCAAGCAGATCCCTGCGATATTTTAATCTGCATTTCCACATTCCAAAACTGACAACTGCACCAAATGCGCTTTCCAAAATCTAAGGGCCAAACAGCTCCTACAGCAATGCCTGGTGAGTTTTCACCTTGGCTTTTGCTTCTTGCAGCTTCTCTTGGCTGGAAGCAAGCCATGCTTTGGCAGCAGGCAATGATTTCGAAAAGCTTTCAGGAGAAGTGTCCTCAGGAGCAAGATCTTCACTGGCTGCGACATAGGATCAAAGGTTGGCAATGGCTTTCAACTGCTCTTGACACCAAGTCTGAAGATCTTTGCCTTTGGTACCAGAGGCTCAGTCTTCACACCTCTCTGGAACAAGCACTGCCTGAGGTAAAGTGCCAAATACTTTGTAGTTGCGCATTCCTGGGTTGGGCCACAGGTTCAGGGATCTATGTAATTCATTTCTCATCAAGCCAGCTTTATCAACAGAAACTATGAATTTCATCCATGAATAATGTGCTTACAAGTCTCAGATGTTCTCAGGTACTCATAGTGCTTCAAAAGCTTCTTTGTTGGCATACATTTGATCATTGCGATCTGCTTGTCCATTCGGTCCACAAGGTTCTTCTCAATGGTGGCCAGTGGCTGCTTCCTCCATGGAGGCAGTTCCTTTGGAGGTTCCATTGAACCTCTCATTGAAAACTGAAAAGTGTAATGATGAAGTAAGTTGGGATGCCTATGAATCTCCAGTTCCAAATCCAATGGTTTCTATTTTGGATCCAAAGTGATTTTTATTGGAGGTTAAAATTGGTTAAAATTAAAATTGCCAATTTTAATTTTAACCTATCCTGCCTTTAAAAGTAATACATAAACTGGTTAAAATTAAAATTGGCAATTTTAATTTTAACCAATTTTAACCTCCTTATTTTTCCAATTTGAAACCTTTACAGTCATCATGCATGACCTGAATGAATTGTATCCAGAGTTGCCAAGAGCCACTCAAACAAAGGAAATGGATGGGCATCAGCTTCGGCCAAGGAGATCTTGCACCTCCTTTTTGATTCCAGTATTGGACACTAGTGCAATGATTGTGATACCTCAGGTTCAGATCATCAGCTCTCATCATCATTCCAAAGCTGATCATGTGCATCCATCAAGGCTTCAAAAATGATTCTACAGGTCCATCACCACTACATTGATCAATATGACTTGACAGCTTCAGCCATGCAGAAATGCTCATATCACAGAAATCATGTTTTACTTAAATTTAAATTTAGTTTATCAAGGAGATCTTGCACCTCCTTAAAGAGTCCTGGTTCTTTTTTTCGACCTTCCATTTAAAGTTGTCATCATATTTCCCCCCCCCAGGACTTGGCAGCATCTGCCAATGGTGAGTCTGGCCTGTACACTGATACCTAGGCAGCAGGATGGAGTCCATTGTTTTTTGGTATACTATATCTTCAAAATCACAGTAGTGCAGATATTTTGAGAAAGGAGATCTTGCACCTCCTTTGTAAAGATGAGAAACCTAAAACATAAATTGCAATGCATTAAAGAGCAATTTATTGAAAGCCTGGTTGCAGTGCAGGTTGGATTCATGCAGCACCCATTTCGCCAATACGCTTCTTTCCCACAAATTGTGCATGTTCTCAAGTAGCTTGTAGAAGGCGAGGTGGCAGGCGCTCGGGTACTTGGAGGGGGCATTGGAAGGGGCATTGGAGAAGCACCTGGAGGGTCATGAGAACTTGGAGGGGCACCTGGAATAGGTGCTGGAGGAGATGCATTTGGAGGTGGTAAAGGTTGCGATTGGGCATTGACATGAGGTGTCAATGCCTGGATCACCTGGTTTTTGTAGCCTGATCAGCTCCAAAACACGGTCAATCTCCTCATCTCCAGGCCTCCTGCGAGAGGAACTTGATTGTCCAGCTCCCATAGCAACAGCAAGAAAAAAATCGAGCACTGAAACAGGAGCTAGAAAGCCAAAGCAGCTTCAGTTGCAAAATCCATTCTCAACACTGCAATTTCCATGCAAAACAATTTCAACATTCCAAATTCCAGACAAAACTTCTCAAATCCAGAATTCCAATCCAACATTAAACATTAAAGCCACATCCTATGGAAGTCTATAAGCCATTTTTGAAATCCACCCAGGCACTAAACGCTCAAGTTCCAAATGTCAGGAGATCTTGCACCTCGTTAAGACAGAAAAGTGGCAAGACTAGTTCCTATTTTCCTATAGAGAACTCTCAAGAGATTTTACACCTCCTTGAAACATGCAACAGAAATCAGCAGCCATATTTTTTGCAATTTCATCCAATCTAATCCACATCCTGTCCAACCTTCCACTTTCGAATTTCCTCATTCAAAAATTCAATCACAGATTGTTCAGTAGCACCATTGTGCAAATCAGCAATGCATTTCTGGGCCAAATCCAAGCCAACTTCTCTTGAAATTTTGTTCAAAGTGAAAGATTTGATTTTTTTCTTGTCTCCAAAATTTCGTCTGACACCTAAAGCACCATACTTTCGACTGCCTTTGGCAGGATAATCTTCCAAGCGATGTTCAGGAGATGCCAAGTCAACAGCAGCAGGTTCAGGATCAGCAATTGCAACAGCCGGCCGAGCTTCAACATCCTCTTCTTCAGAAGTGCCAGGTACTGCTTCACATGCAGCACGCTTTTTCAAGATTGCAGCAGGCCTTTTCAAGACTGCAGCAGGCCTTTTCAAGACTGCAGCAGGCCTTTTCAAGACTGCAGCAGGCTTTTTCCCACCTGCAGATTGCCTATAGATCTTCAAAGTTTCATTGGGAATTTCAGATTCAAATTTGTTTTCACCAAAAGCAGCAATGGCAAAGCCATTTGGTCCTTCACTCATAGTAGCTTTCTCCACCTTGCTATCCACAAAGCGACATACCACCATGGCAGTAGAATCGATTCAGGTTCCAGCACTCACAGGCTTCTTAGGACTCGCTTGGCTCTCTTCACTCGACACTTCTATCAATTGATGCTCTTGGCTATCCCATGTTTCTGAGCCGTGGCCTGGAGGAAATTTTTGCAAAAGTGGTTCGTTCACAGGCAACTGTGGGATGGAGCTCGCATGGGAACTTTGTCTCATGAGCCTTCGCTTGGCAATGGCTTTCTGAGCAAACTTGCCTTTCTGCCGGTTCCCATGGAATTCTGAGCACTCCAGATAGATCTTCACAAGCTCACCCATCCAAGGCTCATATTTTTTACTTGAAATTGACCATTTTGCTTTTGTTCTGATGTGTTGCACACATTCGACAATTGCAGGAGACCACTTCTTCGCTTCGTCACTCAAAGTGCGAGGGTTGACTTTCAAGGCAGCTTCCTTCAAGCAGTCTTTGGATGGTCGAATTGTTTTCTGGAACATCAAGCCCAGAAATTTTCGATAATGCTTGCAAACTTGATCAATTTCAACATCCAAGTAATCCTTGGGATCCAAACAAGCCACCTCTACTTTCAAACATTTGCAAACGTCTTGAACAGAAGCAGTGTTCTTAGCTCTACTCATCTTGGGAAATCAACTGCAGATGCGATGCACAAACATTACATGCAGGAAATCAAAACACCAAAAGGAGATCTTGCATCTCCTTGGAGCAACCTCCAAAGGTTGGTCTTGATGCACTGATGATGTCAAAGATGTATCTAAAAACAGTGGAAAAAAATCCTCCTTAAAAAAATAATAAGGAGAAATTTTCAAAAAAAAACACCTTAATTAAGGAGAATTCCTCGTTAATTAAGGTGGAATTCATTAATTAAGGAAAAATTCCTCCTTAATTAAGGGAATTCCTCCTTAATTAAGGTGGAATTCCTTAAAAAAAAAACTCCTTAAATTAAATAAGGAGGAATGGAAGTTCTGGGAATCCAAGAAACTCAATGCTGCTGCATGGCGCGACTGCTGCTTTTTACCTGTGCAAAAACCCTTGTGCCTGAAAGGGCCGGCAGTCACCCGTAAATTGTCTCAAGCAATGTATGAAAGATGTAAATGCAACATGTTGGCATGAAATGAAGCCGTGCATTCACAGATGGTCAAAACATGTCAAAACAATGTTCAAACTTTTACTTGCCGTGTTCCTGAAACCAATCCAATAATCCATGCCATACGGAAACCCACGGATTTGCCAGCTGGCTCTAGGGCCCTGGGGCCTAGATTCCTAGATCTACCACCCGCGCACCCCAACCGGATCCCATCCCCACTGGGCTGCCTGTGGGGATACTGGTGTTATACTTGGCCGGCCCTGGTCCGCCATGACCAGACCTTGGATCTCTTTGCTTCTCCTGGCTGGGACTACCCTTGGCCGAGCAGCCAGGGGGTCAGGGGGCCATGGAGGTTGATGCTTTAATCCCAAAAAGATTGGCTTGCACTGGTGGTGGGCCGGCATTATTGTTCATGTTTAAGTTTATATCTGATTAAATCAATAAAAAATGATTTATTAAAAAAAATACTTCACTTCGAATGATCCCCACCATGACATTTATACATTTTCTTACTGGCAAATCTTCTGGCATTCTATCTGACATATCTTCTGGCATTCTATCTGGCATTCTATCTGGCATATCTTCTGGCATATCTTCTGGCATTCTATCTGGCAAATCTTCTGGCATTCTATCTGGCATATCTTCTGGCATTCTATCTGACATTCTATCTGGCATATCTTCTGACATTTTTTCTGGCATTCTATCTGGCATATCTTCTGACATTCTATGTGACATCTTTTCTGACATTCTTCCCGTTGAGGTCCGGCAGTGCCCACTGCGACCTGGAAGTCGCGGTTGAGGTCCGGCAGTGCCCACTGCGATCTGCAACTCGCGGTTGAGGTCCGGCAGTGCCCACTGCGATCTGCAACTCGCGGTTGAGGTCCGGCAGTGCCCACTGGGATCTGGAGCTCGCAGTTGAGGTCCGGCAGTGCCCACTGCGACCTGGAAGTCGCGGTTGAGGTCCGGCAGTGCCCACTGCGATCTGCAACTCGCGGTTGAGGTCCGGCAGTGCCCACTGGGTTCTGGACTGCGAGGAGGACGAGGAGGAGATGGAGGAGGAGGCGGAGGAGGAGGAGAACAGCTCTGATAAAATCTAACAACCCTCCCCTGGCAGGTGGGGAAAAAACTAATAGCATACGTTTAGTCACAGTTGCTACGAGTATCGGTCAGGAGGATCAGTCCAGGCTGGTCGCCCGCAGAGAGCTCTAGACGATCAGTTTCATGCGAATTTCCTCTCCGTTTTTATGCGAAAGAATGCCGCCAAACGAGTCATAAGATCTGCAGAATGACAAAAATGGTTGCCAAGTACTATATTTTTTGGACCCATTCTGAAATCCACCAGCCCCCCAACACCTCAAAGGTTTCAAAGCGGGGCTTCATCTTGATGCCGGGTCTGATGTAATTTCTCTTCACCTGGAAAATCTGGAAATGAACAGTGGGACATAGTGGGACAGTGGGGCCAGATTCTAGCATTGAATCAACATATTCACAATATTTCAGGCTTCATGAACTTCACCGCAACATGGGGAGGGCCTTGGAGACCTGGGACGAATAGTCGCCATAGGTGTTCGGACCAACGTCGGCATCTTCGGGCCTTCCATAGCTGGGGCCTGAGCACAGGAAAACCAAGGTCTCAGTGAACTGCACCATTGGTTTTAAAGCCATTGATTCCTTTGAATCCCACCGTGCCATTTGGAAGTCCTTCTCTTCAAAACCGAGAAATCATCACAAATCATCACAAATCAAAGTTGTGAATCACCAGCTCCGTAGTGAACCGCTGAAGAGCTAGGGCAGTTCAGCCACTCCATCAAGTGGCATCTGAGGCGTTCTTCATTTGCCAGACTCCCTCAAAAAAGAAAACGTAGTCTAAAATCACCAAAGGTGGATCAACACACACATACACACACACACATATTAATATATATATATATACACAATTACACAATTGCATATTCCGTATATTATACTATGTATAAGACACATAATTAATTATGTAACTAAAACTATATACTTAATTAATACACCATATGTTGGGGAAATAATCACATCCACGACTACATCCCAGCTGCTCCAGCGCTGCGCGCTGAGGCCCAGACGTTCCCCGATGCCGAAACTGTTCGCCTGCCCCAGTTCCCATTTTCGTCGCCAAAAAGCACCTCAAACGCACAGAAACCAGCTGTGGTTCCCAGGCTTTTGTTGAAGCACACCTGGTACATGCGGCTGGGAAACTCTGATTGTAGCTCCAACTGGTTCCCAATAGGGAAAACAAATTCATAAGATAGCATCATGAATAACCATGGCTCCAAACAGCTTCCCCCTGACCACTGGATAGACAGAACACTCCAACTTGACACGGATGTTCAATTTTCACCTTTAGATTCTCGGCCTGACAACATGAAGAATGGTAGGAGAAGCCGCTCTGAACAACTTGCACCCAGCTTTGGTAAGTTCCAAATGTTAATCTTCTTAGATCTTCTTCGGCACTAAAACGTACGAGTAAAAAGACATCGCGGGGAGGGAAAATGCTCCAGGATTCCCAGATCTGCCAGATTCGATGCGGAAAGTGGTCCGATTCGAGGGGAAGAAAAACACAGGAAACAGATTGGAAACATCAGGAAGTCCCATGATTTATCATGTTTGTTCCCTACATATCCATCTACATCATTCTACATCCCATTGTTTCCTATATAACTATAGGAAACCTCCCACGATTGGCTATTGGTAAATCCCATCAGGTAAATCCTGTCAGGGTCTCCTGTGTAACCTCCCATCTCCCATCCGAGCAGCTGCTGGCCAGACATCGATCTTGCTTGGGGCTACATCGAAGTTGGATCACCATAGAGGGATCATGCATCTCAGGGTCGGGAAGGGTTGATGGCTTACTGCTTGGCTCCAGCGACATGAGTGTAGGATAGCTTAGCGCAAAGGCTTTTTGTTGGGCATTTTGCTTGGTACGTCAGCAGTGTCAAAATCTGATGCTTCGTCAGCACCACTGAGGTTCCGACGTATCCTCCAGGACCGGCACTATGGCCAAAGCCAAAGCCTGTTGCGCTGCGGTGGATTTTTTCACAGCACCGGGGACCTGATCCCCAACCCCAGGACCCCAGGGCCCTAGGGCCACCGGCCTTTTCTCCAGCCCTGAAAAGGAGCTCCACCGTGAGGTGTCGTTAAATCAGGGCTGCTCACGAACATTTGCATGTTCACCATGGCGACCTGTGGCAAAATGGCAAACATGACTAACTTACTAAGTAGACCTGTACAACTTGGCGATACTTTCTGTTGCAGCTACTTGGGTTGAGAAAGGTCTGAGAAGATCTGTCCATACTGCCTGAGAAGTGAAATTGCAAAAGCATGCAAAAGCAGTCGTTCTCCATCTGCAAGCCTCCAAACTCCCGCCTGCATTTATACACGCCCCTAGTGATGTGTCTTGAAGGCGCAATCCAACAGCTCAATGCTTAATAAAATTGGCTGATCGGGGATTTTAACGACTTGAACTTCATCCCTCAGTTCTCTAAACACCATATAATTCCATATAAAATAGCAGAAATGGCAGTGTCTTTGGTTTTCCCACCCCAAAATGGATAGACCATGACCCATGTAGCTTCAGGCTTTCCGTTCCCCGACCCAGCGTGCCGCGCTCACTGCGCACCCCCTTTCGGGGCCGCCCGAAATTGCGCGCCCCGCGGCTTGAAATGAGCTGCGGGAGGACATGGAAAGCACCACGAGACCTGGACCCCACTGGGACTTTGATTCCAGGGCTTGAATCAAAACCATACTCGTTTAACGTGGTTGAACCACCCTGAAATGAGACGATATAGCCAATATTGTATCAACCATCACCCCAAAAAAAAGGACCCACCATGAATAGATGCCCAATACATTCCAACTATGTGTTGTTTGGTGGTATCTATGATCGGGGGAAGGGATTACTTCTGGTTCATTCATGGTGGGTGACAAGATCTCAAGTTAGAATGGATACAACACACCCTCACAGGCACATTGTTTCATATACAATAATGGCTCCATTTTCAACAGCGTGGAGTAGACTTCCATCGTTTCATTTGGCCCAAGCCACCTGCAATGACTGAATATCCACAACTGGAACAACAATGAACCAGTATGCCTCCAGTATGAGTCCAGGGCTCAAACCACCTCCATGAACCTGCAATGTGCGCCATGGTTTTTTGCCACTCCTCAAGCCCCTCCCCCAAAGATCTTGCTGGGACTGGCGCTGGAGGGCAAGGTCACTGAAGCAAATGCAACGGCAAACGAGTTCCTATGCGGGAGAAACTGTTGCCCTCCTGTTTTCCTAACATAGATGTGGAACATCCACCGTTTTGTAGAGGATTTTTCCGAACAGGACACCATGGATTTTCCACATCTTTTTGAACCAGTTTACCCTGGCGGAGATGTTTGAATCGCTACAACATTGGAATATGTTTAATCCATGCCTTCCGACCCTTGCTGACGAGAGTTCATTCAGTTTCCAGCGTCACTGTGGCAAAGCCAGGATAAACTCCTTGTACTGTTTTCTTTGGGAGTTCATTAAATCATGTCATATCAATTCATGAAGCTATCATCAACTTGCAAGACATATCAAGAAATCGTGGGAAACCATCGGGTCTACCCAGATTTCCGGGCTGACAACATCTTTGCAGCCTTGATCCAGAACTGGAAACCAGCGACATGCCCTCTGCCATGATTAACAACCCCTGGTCGAATGTGGATCTACTCTGTTTGGGGTTCCCCATTTGGTCTTTTGCTGGAAAAAATTGGATCAATGATTAATCATTGCACCCCCTAACAGTCTAACAATGAAGCTCATCGTGTCCAGCAATGAAATTGCAAACTGCCGAGTTCTGGAACGACCCTGAAGCCCCGCCCAATATGAAGCCACCCATAGCCCACAACAACAGCACTGATCAATGGGGTCTCGGGACACCTTCATGGACTTCACTCCTTTCAACCCACTGCGACAAAAAATCCAACCTGGCAGCCTCAAATCCTCCCATTTGGAGATGTTGTCCCTGTTTAACTTGATAAACACTGCAGATTTTCTAGTGCTAGGACAAGGAGCTGCTAGGATTCATGTCCATAAAATGCATTGCATATATATATATATATTGGAATCTTGGCCACATCGCACCAAAGAGCGCTGCAACCTTCACTGCCAACCCCGGATTAATAAATCCCGTTGATGAAATTAGGAGGTCCCAAGCAGTGATGTAACAAGATGATCTAAAGTACTGTTCAATTTGGTAACCCTAAACCCTAATAATGCTTACCCTCTGGTTATGTCAAAATAGCTATTGAACATGGCCAGTGAAATAGTGGATTTTCCCATGAAAAATGCTGGATCTTTCCATAGTTATGTAAACGTTTACCAGAGGGTAATAAGTAAACCAAGGATTTACCAATCCTCCCTCGGCCTTTTTTGAACCGTGAAACGATCGACGTTTCTCAATTCACCGCCTTGTCCAGCAAATTCCATGGCACCTTACCCGAGGCGAGTTAGCCCACGAGAGGCAGCTGCGCCGAGCCAAAAGACTTAGCCTATCTAATTCCAAATCAGATTAATCAGATTTCAAACATGTCCAAAGCCAGTTACCCCAGTTCTGTTGAGATTGAAACAAATGCCATTTCTTTCGGTGTACACATCCGAAGTCCATGGAGTCAGCTTGGTGGCCTCAAATCACAGATTCCAAACATGTAAAAACCCTTCAAGTACTCATAAACTGATTCCGTTATCCCGTAATTTCAGCTCGTTTACCCATTTTCAGGGGTTGATGAAGGCAACATATAAGAACATAACAGCAGTTTCGATACTTGACTCATTGATGGCTAATTAAAACTCTCTGAAGGAAAAAAACTCCTGCCCTGTGTCAGAAACTGGTCGCACGTGCATTGAAATCTCAAAAGGGTGTCTTTGGAAAAAGGGACGCAGATTTTGGGATTTGGGAAACATCATGAACCATATATTTAAACATCTAGAATCTACATGTATATGTATAAACAAATACTTGTATATATATATATATGAAAATAAATATAATATATATATATAAATATGTATATCATAGACCCCAGTTCAATCCACCATAAAACATCATGAATCCATTTTGCCGAGGCTGCAACATATCAATGAGGCGACCCTCGTAGCCTGTTCTCCAAGGCGCAAATGGCACATACGATCCACCCATGCGTTCCGCCTACCAGGCTGGAAACGATTGAGCCACCCATCCACCCAACCAATGTTCGATGGTTTACGGTAGATATACAACACTAATACTTGATGTTTGGATGGCAGATATATTTTTTTTGGGAAATGTGGTATAAATATGGTATATTTGGTACGTGGAAAATATATAATATCTATTATAATGGAAGATTCACGGGATATGAATGGTATGATTATATATTATGGTTTCATCAAACGTGGCTGGCGGGAAAATCCCCTACAAAAATTGGAAGTTTTAATGGGAACATCAACTATAAATTCGAATTTAATGGTGGATTGTCTGTTGCCATGTTTGATTTCCGGGTAGCAAGTATAATAAGTATAAGTATATGAATAATATGAAGAATGGAAATGGCTGATCAATGATTAGTGTGTGATTTTTATATCAGTCAAGGACCATCATGGATCATCATTCAGCATGGGACATGGGATAATCCACCCTCCTCCAGCACTTTCTGTTGGCTCCCTTTTTTCTGTCTCTCAAACAGCTGGAAAACCAGTGTAAAGACACCCTTCAAGGCAGATTATGATGATTAAACTGTGATTTCCATCTGACAGTCTTCCTTGGAATACAGCAAAGGGTCAAAATTTCATGCTGCCAGAAAATCAAACTCTAATGAGGTATATCCAATAGTAATTGAACATATTACCCTAGAGGTTTATTCTTGGGTATGCCAATTTCTATAATTTTCTATTATACCCCTATAGGGATGATGTAAAATGACTTTGAAATGCTTGGTTCATGGGATCTCTTTGAAAGGCTTGGGCATGATCCATGATCCATGGCCCCACGGCCGGAATCCGTGGTTCCGAAGCAGGCCTTGTTCAAAGATGCTCGCACCGAGTCCATGACTCCCGAAGGCGAAGTTGCTGGCGTGGGATCCTCAGAAGTTGGCGAAAGCCAAAACCATGAGACTTTGAGAAATGTTAGGAAAGCAATATTCAATAGATTTCAATAGGATCCAGCATCCCCAAATGTACTATCCAAAATGGTTCTTTTGGTACTATGCTAAATGTACTAAATGGTTCCCCAAATGGATTTACCATTTTTATGCTGGTTTTTTTGAACCATCCAAAAATGGCTGGTTTCTGACGAAAAACTTGACGACGTGACCTCCGTCAATCAGGTGATCCCAGGTGGCTTCCGTTGTCAGCGAGCGCGCAAGGACTGGCACTGGAGAGTTTCGCGTAAACGAAACGTCTGGAAATTCAACATAGCTATTGAACATGTAGAAATAGCTGATTTACTGATTTACCTCTTAAAAATGGTGATTTTCCATTCTTATATTAGTTTACCAGAGGGTCACATAGCTATGATACATTATGATACTATGGAAATCAATGGTTTCCCCAACAGGAAATTGTCTACACATGGTGGATTGTTCATAAGCATCCTATGCGAATTGATCCATGTTCTGTTGATATCCATCCTTGGATTCCCTTGGCTGATCATAGAGAAGCCGCAAATGGAGTATCAGTTAGCTGATGATGGTAAACATGTGTGAAAACCTTACGTGGCCTTTGATGGTGAAAAGTTACTGTTTGGTGGTTTCAACCCCTCTGAGAAATATGAAAGTCAGTTGGGAGTATGATTCCCAATATATGGAGAAAGATGTTCCACACCACCAACCAGAAATATCAACTAATTTATCATTTTTGTTTAGTTTTTTTTGGGGTTGGGGAATTGGGTGTATCACATTCTCGAACTCATTACCCTCCGGTAAACTAACATAGCTATGGAAAGTCACCATTTTTAATGGGAAATTCCACTATAAATGGACATTTTCAATAGCTATGTTAGTTTACCAGAGGGTAAGTTTCTTAGACTTTGGTTGGTTAATATCCCCATGATAGGTGAAAAACAAAAAAGGCGGCCACTGCTCCACCGCTAAGGTCGCCGCTAAGCTCTCACGGGTCTCACGGGTCTCACGTTCTCCTGGGAACGTGTAGGGATCCGTGGCGGTGAAGTTCATGGAATTTATGTAGAATGCCTATGGGATATTAAAATATATTAAACTTCCATTATTTTGGATATATTCCATTAATGGATATATTATGATTAATGGAATGATTATGGAATAAGTATGGATATCCATTAACATCCATTAATATCCATTAATATCCATAATCATAATCATCCCATGAATCATAAGTATTGGGATATTAATGGAATGACTATGGGATATACCATCCGGCAATCAATTGCGGCAGGCTGGAAAACCCCCCCATTTATATATATTGATTGTTTTCCCATTAAAACCTCCATGTACAGGAGATGTTCAATTGCCATGTTTGATTACCGAAGGACATCAGACTTTCTTGGGATGGTTTATCATTATCTCGTAGCATATATCTCTCACTATACACATTGCTCGTAGTTTGGGGCGTTTGGGGAGCAGTTTCAAAAGGGTGATTGATTTTCTTGGCAAAAATGGAATCGACTGCCTTAGGGGCTCGGAGCATCAAACAGCCTAAATACTTTCCTAAAGTTTATGACCTTTGAAGCTATGGAGCCTTTATCTGTCAAAGTGGAGTTGGAATACCATGCATGGCAAACTCAATTTTCAAAAAGAATAATCACTGCGTTAACTTATTCAATGACTAATGACTCAGCTCAAAATCGATCTCCGTTGTCCCAAGGAGTTCAGCCGAGCAAAAGGCGCCGCCGCTAATTTCAAGATTGGGTGTGGTTCTTTACTTTGTTTTACTGGTTGGTGCTTTCCAACACCCCTGAAGAAGTATTAGTCATTGGACAATATTGGACAGGACATAATCATCCCAAATGTGGTTGAACATAAAACCTCTTCGAAACCGACAGATCATCATCGGTCCTCACATCCCCATTGTATCCCCATTATATCCCCATCATATCCCCATTGTTCATGGTTAAATCAGATAAATCCCCGTGTTTGATGGTAATCATGGTATAAAAATCCTTGGTTCAACAACCATGCGCTGGGCCCAGCCTGCACGCTCGACGGCCAATCCGGCAGTTGGAGGCGTGGTCATAGGAGGCGTGGTCGGAGCAGTCGGCTGGGGAGGTGGCGGTGGCACCGTTGACGTCAATGCTTTCCTTGGGAGCCATGCGAACCATGAGAAGTCCTGGTTTCACCCATAAATCACCATAAATCAATGGAGACAAATGGGGAGCTCACCGAGAATTTATTGAATTTCAATTCAACAAATTGAATTTAGAGCATGTGCTCAAGAACAGGGTATGGACCCCCTTGGGCGACAATGAATCCGAGGCTCGTGAGTTTTGGGTATTCAACCCATTGAGAATGTGAAGGCTTCATCATTTTTACCCATACCCTTCAAAGGGGCATAGCATCGAATCCAGCGGTTATATATGTAAACATCATCGTCCCGGCTGGAAGGCGTCCGTTTCCCCCGACCCAGGATCCCTGAGGTCTCACCCCAATTGGGGATGGTCCCAAAAATATGTGCGTTCATCCTGATGAAGAAACCGTGGTTTCTGAGGGGTGTTAGGGGGTGTTAAATATGAATGGGGGAAGGGATCAGTTGAAGATGGAATGAAATTGGGCCATACGGGCCATACTCACTAAATCACAAACAAATGATTCCGCAATGAATGTGAATCTGATCCCTCTTTTCCATGGCCGTGCTGCATGTGCCACTAAGCAGCTACGCCATTCGTTTATGCCCCAAAAACCGACAGAAGATATGCTGAACTATTGAATATTAATATCCACCAGCTTTGGGTGGATCCCCAACAATCTTGTCACACCCAGAACCCTGGCGCCAAGTACTGCTCTTTTGCCTGCGGAACCGCATCAAAAGCGCAGCTCCATGTCAGGTGTTCTCGTGCGGCTGCATGCGCACGATTTTCTGGCCAAAACGAACCATGGCATGATGGTGATGGTTTCAACACCCTGGAATATAGGATCAGTCAGTCATTGGGGATCATCATCACTAGACGGAAAAGACGATAGAAAGGACCAATTTGAAGATCATGAACATGCTGGTGGGCCTTCACTGCTAATCTGCTAGTGTTTCACCTTTCTGAACAAATTGGCGCGCCCATTGCTTTCGAAGCAATGTTTGGAGGACCAACGGGTAGAGATAAATAGACTGAGGGTGAAAACTCTGGAACCTATGGAACAAACAAGAATATATAAAGAATATTAAAGAATATATTCTGAAAACAAAATCATGTGACATTTGCAAGCATATCATAGCAATCTTGCAGCACACACTGTCCGCATTGAAAGACATTACACACCACGAACGAAGTAGCAAACACTGCTCCAGCCATTTGGGATCATTGATCATTGTACATCATCCCAAATATAGGGGTATGGGTATACCCAGTAAACCATAGTAAACCGATGTCCTAAGAGTCCTAACTGATTGGAGGTTGTTGTTTATTTCCAACCCATTGGGAAAGGCGCAGGGTCCACCAATCCCAGGCCTTATCCGTCTTCAAATCCTTGGAGTTGATGCTTGGTGCTGCGGCAACTGCCCGATCTTTCACTTGTTGGGAATGGAAAAAAACCGTTTACCCTCTGGTAATGACTAACGTAGCTATTGAAAATGGCCATTAATAGTGAGTTTTCCCATGAAAAATGGTGATTTTCCATAGCTATGTTAGTTTACCAGAGGGTACCATAGTTTACCCCATTTTATCAAAAAGAACAACTCCAATGAGTGAAGCACCTTCCCAAGAGTTTCCTAACAGGTAGAGTAACCCCTCGAGAATTCCAACAAAGCTAATGCCCAGCGCCAGGAATCAATATATGAGACCTCACCCGACACAACGTCGCCCACTTTGAAGGTCTTCTCCGGAGATTTCTTGAAGGTCGCATCGCTTTCCTGAGCTCCGACGCCAAGGAATGGCAAGAGTTGGCGGCTCTGCCGTGGAGGTGTTCTTTTTACTGAAGGCCTCAATGACTCAAAGACAGGAATCCAAAGTATTGGATAGATAAATACATCAAAAAAGAAAAATGTATAAATAAATATAAATAAATAAATATAAATAAATAAATAAATAAATATAAATATATAAATAAATGAATAAATGAATAAATAAATAAATAAATACATAATATATATATATATACTATACTATACTATATGCTATATAAATACATATGTATAACCGTATAACTCCAAATTTGGGGAGTCGATACTAGTTGTATTTGAGGGTGTTTTCAGATTTCATGGGGCGGTCAACGTGAGGACCTGGCCCTGTGTTTCAAATAAGATGGGCTGGACTGAAACGATGGCTGAGTGCATATGAGTCGTGTTTCTGTTGTTCTTGGTTTTTTTTGGACAAATTCCCACCTTTCATGCAAATTTCCTTCCTTGAACAAGTTTCGGCGATCCCAGAAAACAAATGTTTTTGTTCAAGCCATGTCCTAGACACAAATCTTCCAATTTTGTCAACAAATCTTCAAACCATACTATATGATCATACGTCAAACAAATTCAAGAAACACATGTCGCACTATGGTTTCCAAATTTTCCGAAACACAGCCTGCAAACCGGTGCTGGTGAGGTCATGAAACACCAGGATCCGCCAGGTGAAACACCCGGCCATTGGTAGTCAAGCCAACTGTCAAATATAATCTAGCACAAAAACTGATAGAAAAAATGGAAACTTAGAAAAATGATGACAAAAAACATACAATAAGCAATTAAAACATTCTCTATGATATGCTGGAATAACTGAAACCTATCTTTGGGGCCCTGTTGCAGGTCCAAGTTTCTGCACCCACATCGACCCACACGCGGTCATGCAAGACATTGGTGACCTAAGACCAGTGAGATGCCGACTCAACGAATTTGGATGGGACAACTACAATTGAAACATCAGTTTTCGAACCCTTTTTTAAAAACTAATCCCTTGAAACCACGGTTAACTTCAGGAAACCATATGGCATGATGGTTTTGAACCCTTTTCCAAATGTAGGGTCTCAACCAAAAAAAAAACATGACCGGAGAAATTCGAGTCGCCAAGTTGCCTTCCCAGTCACAGAACTGCCCACTTGCAGCTCCGCCAGCAAGGTGCCTCCCTTGTGCCCCCAGCCGCCTGTCACCAATGGGTTGCTAAAAACCTAGCAGTGAACCCTAGAGGGGAAAATAAACATGCGGAGAATTACAAATGGGCCGTCATGCATTAAATAATAGATAATTATACATATAAAAATAAATATAAATATAAAAAACACATATATATATATATATAAAAATAACACTGTAAATATATATATAAAATAATCTATTATAAATATAAACATCATAAACATATATATATATATGTATTAAAAATAAATAAATATATATATGACATATATGTATAATTAATATTATTTAATAAATATATATATAATAGACATAATAGAATCATAATACAATGACTACATGTAGACCTACGGATTTTGATCTGCAAACTAGTATTTCATACGACCTCTGGGGGTCTGGCCCGACCCCCAGCCCCCCACATTTTTTGTCGTTACGTTACCGTATACGCATATATATATATATATATATATATTCATACAATGTGCACACATACCAGTAGTACTGCACAAGGCGGCGGCGGAAGTTTCCAGGATAGGACACTATAGGAGAGGTGAGTTGTTGTGATGCATGGATGGCAGAGCGAATCCACTGATGGACCGAAAGGTGGTTGGAGTTGTGTTTTTGGAGTGGTTGCAATGGTTGCAGTGGTCACCTCACTCACAACTCCTGGATGTAGTGTGGTGTAGTGCATTAGTTGTAGTTGTAGTGGGGTTGATGTTGTTGAAGTTGTAATGTTGTAGTTGTGGTTGTGGTTGTAGTTGTAGTTGTAGAGTAGTTGAAGTTGTAATTGCCTTATTTGTAGTAATTGTAGTAATTGCAATAATTGTAGGAGTTGTAGTTGTAGTTGCAACTGTAGTTGTGGTGTAGTTGTAATTGTAGTGTAGTTGTAGCTGTAGTTGCAGTTGTAGTTGCGCTGTCGTAGTATATAATTGTTGTTGTAGTTGAAGTTGAAGTTGAAGTTGTAGCTGAAGTGCAGTTGTAATTGAAGTGTAGTTGATGTGTAGTTGAAGTTGTAGTTGCAGTGGTAGTATAGTTGTAGTTGTAGTTGAAGTTATTGTAGTTGTAGTGTGGTGTAGTGCATTTGCAGTTGTCTATTTATATATATATATATATGTTTATCTATCTGCCTTTCTGTCCATCTATCTATCTATCTACCTACCTATCTGTCTGTCTGTCTGTCTGTCTGTCTATCTCTATCTGCAAGCTTGAAAACGAAGCAATTCTGCGAGACTTCCTCAATTCTTGAACTTGGCAAAACATCAAAAACGCAGCAATTCAGCGAGACGTCCTCAATTTTTGAACTTGATAACGTCAAAAACGAAGCGATTCTGCGAGACTTCCTCATTTTTCGAAGTTGACAACATCAAAAACGAAACAATTCTGCGAGACGTCCTTCAAAAAATGGAAAGTAGAGTGCAGAGCTGACGGCCTCGTACCAATGCGTTTCGCGATTTTTCCACTCCATCTGTCTAAAGTGCTGCGCCTGCCACGAAGTGCTGCACCTGTCACGCAAAATCATCTTAGCAAACCTGAAGATCTGATGCTCCAAAATGCAACCGCTCTCAGGAAATCAGCGCCCTGACCTCCTAACATCTCTGATGAACATGTCTTTTATATTGCGCCTGCCACGCGACATGCATCTTTCCAGATCCTCTTCAAATGTCCCACGCCTGCCATCATTTTAGGAAATGCCACAAACCCCTCACATTTTGCTCACTTTTGGCAAGGTGCATAATCCCTTGTGCCTGCCACGCAAAACGACATTCGAACGTCCAAAAGTGCTCCGAACTCCCTAGTTGTTTCCACTTTGAAACTTCGAAATGTGCTTCGCGCCACAACGGCGTGCACTTTTTCGACATCTCAACTTCAAAAAGTGATCCGAACCTGGTGTGCTTTGATGTGCTTTGTACATTTTGATTTGGAAATGTGCTTCGCGCCACTACGACGTGCACTTCTTCGACATCTCAACTTCCAAAAGCGCTCCGAACGCGAGGTGCCGCTTTAGCGAGCCTACTTTTGAACCCTCCGGAGCCACAAATCATTAGAAAATCGCATAAAACACAGTGAATAGCGACTTTTCTACCTTTTCGTAGACCTGCATCTTCTTTCTTCTGACTCTTTCTCTTCTCTGATCTTCTCTCTTCTTCTCTTCTCTTCTCTTCTCTTCTCTGGCTCTTACCACCTCTGCTTTTCCATCTGTCCATATTGTCGGAAGTTTGACTTCTAAACTCCTTCGAACATACATCATTTTACATCAGTGTACAATCGGTACATGACATGAAATATCACATGCATGTTGTGACCCTAGGTCATCCAAATAATAACCCGTTCGCCAACGCCAGTCACTAACATTACCCATTTCGGACAGCATGAGGACAAGTCGAGTGGGTCCATACACCAAAACGATGTTCACTCCAAGATTGAGCGTAATCATCCCCAAGTAAATAACTTTTGGAAAAGCCAACAGGTTTGATGATGTCCACTTTAAATTTGAAGGAAACGTTTGGATAGTTTCCAATTGTTTGACAATTGTTTGACCTAAAACTTGGATTTTCTCAGGGACCCCCAGATGGAAAGAAAATTATAGATTCCCCTAACTGGAGGATTTTCCGGAAAATCATAAACATCTCCGTAAGCAAAGGGCCAACAAAAACATGAAAAAACCTTCGTCACCTGCTGGTTTCTTTGCCAGCGGAACTGCTGGTGATGCTGCGACCGGTCGCTCTTTTGGAACTTTGGGGGGCTGGAGCTCCACCCAATTTCGCTGCAGATCCACCTCGGCAACATAGACCCAAATTTCCACAAAAACAAAAGCCAAAACACACTTTGATGGCTACTTGAAGGGTCTAGGTATACATAGATACATATCGATATATATATATATATAATTATATATAAATAATTATATATATATAGTTATATATATAATTATATATATAATTATATATATATATTATTATATATATAATTATATATATATAATTATATATATGTGTACTATACGTACCTATCTACCTGTCTATCTAACATTTTCGAACTATCTATCTGTCTAACTATCTAGCTATCTAATCATCTAAATGGAAATACAAATTGATATGAATCTGTCTAATGACAATATATTGTATTTATATATATGTATATATCATACTGCTTGCACTAATGTTCGCAAGGACAACCTTATGGTATTCTTCAAACGCTACCAAAACATACCCGAAACACGATTTGTCATTTATATTTATTTATTTGTTGGTATTTATATGTATATACACATGCAGTATATATTTATTATGTATATCTCATGATTGATGTGGCTGGGCAAATCTGCAGGAAACCTGTAGCACCTGCCAACTTCAGGGTTTCCCTACCTTAAACGGTTCCTTCATCCAATTGGGAAAGCCAACCTTTTAAGCATAAATCCTTATTGTTGAAGAAATATGATAAAAGCCAACTACATATATCTATATACCCAGAAGGAATATACCAAGAGAGTCTGGTAATTTCTTCTCCAGTCAATCGGGGACTATATTTCAGGGATGGACATGATTGAATATTATTTGAAGCCACCATCCAACATTCTGTCTCATAAATCTGATTTAATGTTCACATCCAATTTACATCAATTTACACCCATGTACCATTCACATGCGAAATGTGTTTGGCTGGACATTACCCTTCAGTAAATAAACCTTAACCCTGCCATGTGTTGGGGTTGGAAGATTAGTTTCCACCAAAAAATGTGATTTTCAATTTTCAGGGTCAAATGGTTAATTTACCAAAGGACAATAGTTCTTATATACTGCAAATACTGCAATGAATCATGAAGAGAGTATTGAGGCCATGCTGGGACCATTTCCCTGGCTCAACACAAGCCAGCGAGGTCATTTGGGTCTGTCCGAAGGAGTGGAAGTTCCACGGATTGCAAGTGGTGAGCAACTGCAGGTGTATAAGCAAATCTAAAACGGGATTTTAAACGATTTATGCAGTCTCCCACTTACTAAGTGGGATGATCTTTCCAACAAGTTCTCACTTTCTTTGGGCAATTTTAGTTGGCAATTCATGCAGCACCACTATTTTCCATTTGATTGTCGCATAATTACGTGGTGTTTTACCGGCCAGTGGTTTAAGCTTGCGGACCTTCTTTTTTTGCATTTTTCAAGTTGAGTTGTCAGCTTGCTAAAATCCTGATCAGAGCTCATCGGCTTCTGACGCTTGGTCGGTGCATATTCGGTTTGTATGCGTTACTGTTAGTGACGTGTTGGTGGGGGGTAATAACGTCTTTTGCACACGTTCCTGATGCTGTAGAGAACATTTCTTGGAAACTTGTTGCACGCTCTTGATGCTACCCTTGCCCTTCGAACATTCTCTACGGAACTTACCATACGCTCTTGATGCTATGCTTTGAATATGTTCTAGCGAACTTGCCATATACGATCTCGATGCTACGCTGTGAAATGTTCTCCACGGAACTTGTCACACGCTCTGCTGTGTTTTGAACATCTTCTACGGAACTTGCCACACGCTCTTGATGCTACGCTTTGAATATTCTCTGGGGAACTTGTCACACGCTCTTGATGCTACACTTTGATTTTTCTTTGGGAAACTGTAAGCCAAACCCACGGTTAATGGCTTATGCCCTATGCCAGGCAATGGCAATGGCGATTTGTGCCAAAGCAAAGCCTTGTTGAAGCAACTGGCAAAAGACTATATACTGACGCATTCGGTTGAAAAGAGTTGCGCCAAAATAGGAACCAAGTGAAACGGTGCAAACGAACAAACATGAACATGTGGTGTGGTAAACAAAAAACACATTTTTAAAAACATACCATCCAAAATCCATCGCTTTTTGAAGCAGGTTCTGACGTCATGTTGAAGGGCCCTGCCAGCACGAAATATATGAATTAAGGTCAAGCAATCCCACGGGACGGTAGGTTAACATGTTTAACAAGGCTACCAGCGCAAAAATATCGCAAAGGGATTTTCCATAGCTATAGTCGGTTCACCGAAGAAGATGTCCGACGGTTTCAGGTGGCAGTCCGCTTATTGCCTTCAAACATCTGGACCAGGTCACACGGGAAACCTTCAGGTTTCGGAAGAGCTGCCCCACTTTCAGGCTGTCCAGGTCGCCTTTGTACAGAAAGCCTGGGCCCGGGTCAAAGTTCGGAGGCAGATTCACAAGGAGAATGCGGTATGTGATGTGTATACAGATTTTCCACACACACACACACTATCTATCTAACTATCTATCGATCGATCGATCGATCTATCTATCTAATCTAACCTAACCTAACCTAATCTATCTATCTATCTATCTATCTTTCTTATCCTATCTATCTTATCCTATCTATCTATCTATCTATCTATCTATCTTATCCTTTCTATCTTATCCTATCTATCTTATCCTATCTATCTTATCCTATCTATCTTATCCTATCTATCTTATCCTATCTATCCTATCCTATCCTATGTGTCTATCTATCTATCTACCTATCTATCTATCTATCTATCTGTCTATCTATCTATCTGATCTAATCTAACCTTACCTAATCGGATCTAATCTAATCTAATCTAAATCTATCTATCTTATCTTTATCTTATCTTATCTTATCTATCTATATTGAAAAAGTGTGTGTGTGTGACGATACATGCATGTATATGCAAACTCCAACAATTATATTTAAAGATCGCTAAGGTACCTAACAAAATTAGATGGATAATGGGGATCAAAAGAAACATCTTAACATGTGCACGGCATGGGTATGTTTTTTGGCCCTGAGAGAAACATGTCTGTTCAGCAGTTCATACTCAGCACAACCGACATGAACATCATGAACGTCATGATATGACCCGCACTTCCTTGATATGCGGTACTCTCACCCAGTTTGCACCATGGGGCATGTCAGATCTGCACTTATCTGCCAAAACGTTTTGACTATCCGAGCAACTGCCATCTTTGATTAAGCCAACATCCACCCACACGCGGTCGCGATAAATATTTGTCACCTTGCCCATGAGCTGTTCACCCACTCGCACCTCGAACAATCTCCGACAGAGACAGCACGTCGTAATCCAACAGTTTTCAGCACAACCCATGACCACCGATCAAGTGTATACCCAGATTCTCTCGTGATCATCCTGGTCATGCATATAAAAAAAATAAAATATAATATACATATATAAATATATGTGTGAAAATATGATAATCATATAAAATACATCAGAATGGCTCGACGTGTTTGACCAGTTGGAAAGAGTTTCTAAATGGCAATCCCAAATTTGAAAATGGTGTTGGACCCAACATAAACCATCCCCCATTTCACCAGAAATGGGTGGTACAAAATTCTACCAAAATTTTGAAACTTATGATGTTTACTATTGAGTTTCCCGCATGCGTCGTTCACGCCAAATCTAGCGAGGAATGACCAGCAATTTTGCGATCATATGTGTGTAATCCTCCCTTCTATGATCATCTATAAACCATCATCTATGATGAGGCCGCTCCAATTTGCCAAATTCCCTGCAGGGATTTGTAAAACATACCAACTCCCCATAAACTTAGTGGTTTACTGTAATACACTCCGGTGGGTCCAAACAAATGCCCCAATCACATGATACCACAAAATATTTCAGCCCCAATCTTGGCTGCGCAAACCCAGATCTCTAGATGATTGAACAACCATTTTTTTGTTGCAAAATTCATGTGCTTGTTTGTTTGCTTGGATGTTTGTTAGTTAGTTAGTTAGTTAGTTTGGCTGGTTGGTTTGCTTCACATCATCCATACAGAATATCGTCCCTTCTGCTCAGTTTTAAATTGGTTCGTAAATTCCATCCAACTTCGGATATACCCCAGAAATCCTATTCAATCACCTCGTCTAAAAAAGGATTAAGAAAAAAAGGGAATCGGCTAACTCGCCGCCCTGCAACTGTCGACATTGTCTTTCTTCATTCTCAAGATGAAATGCTGAAAACCAAGTGTTTTTACATTTCATCTTTGGAAGGCGTTTAGAAAATATATTTTTTTACTGCGCGAAAAAAGTTTGGACATGCTTGTTGATCTAAGAAATCCCATGCCCAAACGGCTTAGAAACATCTTTTGTCAACTCTGCCACAGGCATTTGCGAAGTTCTTCCAAGATGGAACTTGTGATGGAAGCATTATATGCCTCCACTGGAAGCTTCGCGCCCACTTCCAACGATTTTCGTTGGTTCCTCCATGGGATTGTCTTTTTGGGCACAAGCGATTGGCATCCCTTCCATTTTTTCATGTTTTTGGGTATGTGCAAGCGTAGCAACATATTCTATCAACGTAACATCAAATTTATGTTCGCGCATTTTAACAACATGTGCAAGCGTAGCAACATATTCTTTCTTTACGGAAGCATGCAAGGACGTTATTAGCCCCACCCCACCTCTAGCGTAGCATCATGTTGGTGCGCAAGTGCCAAGGAATGTTACTAGCCCCACCCCAGCCCATCTCTAACGTAGCATCATGATGTTGGTGTGCAAGTGCCAAGGAACGTTATTAGCCCCCACCGTACCATGACCGAATCATACCTTGTACAACATCGAAGTATACGACAGCAAAGAATAAGAACCTTTCTAAATCGGCGAGCCAGCTGACAGCCAAAAACAACTCACCCCCCGGCACAACTTAACACAGCTGTGAAAATCACCATAGGTGCGGCCCCTTTGTCCTGGCTTCCGTCCGGTTTCCGTATGTTTCTGTGGCAGGCTGCAGTTGGCCGCGGGGTGCCGGGGGGGTGCCTGTCGTTTGGGGGCCCCTGTCCCTTCACCTACGCACCCCTCCGAAAAAAAATCTTGGCACCTGGTCCAATCCTCGTCCCTCGTGTTGCCAGCCGCCTTTCGGCCGACCCACCGCTGCAGTGGTTGAAGCGGTTGAAGTGCTCGAGGGCTCCGGGCTGGAAGTCACCGGCTCCTTCTTCGCAAGCAACTTTTCCTGCTCCTGGAACCCACAACTTTAAGTCAAGCCTTGGGTTTTTTGCAGTTTGAACCCATCAGGGAATAATTATGGGAAATACACACAATTACACGCATACATCATATGTATATGTTTAAGTGTCCATAGGTCTGGTGTGTCATTAGTTGTCAATTGCGATATATACGCATGCATTTACTATGGGTATATGTACATAATATGCGTCATTAGATTGGGGTGCATATGGTGTATATATATATATATATAGAGAGAGAGAGATAGATAGATAGATAGATAGATAGATAGATAGATGGATAGATAGAGAGATAGATAGATAGATAGATAGAAAGATAGATAGATAGACAGATAGATAGATAGATAGATAGAGAGAGAGAGATAGAGAGAGATAGAGATAGAGAGATAGAGAGATAGAGAGATAGATAGATAGATAGATAGATAGATAGATAGATAGAGAGATAGAGAGAGATAGAGAGAGATAGAGAGAGAGAGAGATAGACAGACAGACAGACAGATAGATAGATAGATAGATAGATAGATTAGGTAGGTAGGTAGGTAGGTAGGTAGATAAAGATATTGATATTATCGGCTTGACTGCGTTGGCTTGCTTGGAGGTACCTACAAGGATGGGACACTGCCACTTTAGCTTAGTCTAAAACGCATGTCACGGTAGATAATCATAATCAAGTAATTTCACAGCACCTGTTCCTATGCAGGGCTTGATTGCAAGGAATCCAACAGCAACAACAACAGCAGTCAGAAATACATCACCATACTGGTCACCATACCATACCATACCAGACCAGACCACGCCACACCATACCTCAACATCCTCAACATCCTCGGTTTAAATGGAGCATTGAGCCCTTCACCTCCAAGACCCGAACCATCCAAAACTGAAGCCAAACACATTTATTATTTCTGAGGGGCATGAATTCTGGCAGTGATTAGTCCCTTCCCCCTAATACTAACACCCTGCAAATAATAAACACCTCAGGTACTTTCGTTATTAGGTGGTATTTATTATTAGGGTGCGAAGCTTCCCCCTAATACTAAACTTAAAACCCTAATATAAACAACTATTTTTTCTGTTTCTAAATCGATGAAATTTCCTTTTAAAATCTAATTAAAATGCCAAAAAATAAAAATCAAAGCTTTCCCCTAATATTAAATTAAAAACCTTAATATTTTTTTTTTCGGCCTTAAAAGACGGACCTGAATAAAAACATATCCCGGGTTTTTTATTAATAGGTGGTGAAACCTTGAAATGGTAGCTTCATTCTTAAATTGTTTTCTAAAGGGGATCACTTGAACATCAAATTGGCCAACCTCAAATTTTCCAAAATTGGAGATGGACCCTAGTTTTTATTATTCGGTCGGGGGGGTTAGTAACAGGGGGAAGGGATTATTGGTTCTTATGCACTTCAAACTTGATGAAGGCCACCCAACATTTTTATGGACAGCTCTCGGATCTTGGTTGCAGTGTGGTAAAGTGGGAAAGCAAAGTTCATTTCATACCTGCAGGCGTCAAACCCACATCCAATGTGCCGTCCCCAGCTAAGAAGTATTTTCATGTGTTTTCGCATTTGGGCATGGCTGTTGTGAACAAACGGTCATACTTAGCAACTAGAAACCATCAATAAAAACAATGATCCTAATGGAATTTCTAAACACTTTCTTCGAGTGATCCCCACCATGACATTCTATCTGACATATATTTTGACATTCTATCTGGCATTCTACCTGACATCTATTTTGATACTCTCTCTGACATTTTTTCAGGCATTCTATCTGACATCTCTTCTGACATTCCATCTGACATATTGCGCTCGCAATTGAGGTCCCGCAATTAAGTTTGATCTGGCGCTCATAGTTGGGGTCCAGCAGTTCGCACTGAGATCTGGCCCTCGCAGTTGGGGTCCGGTAGTGCCCGCTGAGATCTTGCGCTCGCGGTTGGGGTGCAGTCACTGAGATCTGGCGCTCGCGGTTGATGTCCGGTGCCCACTGCGATCTGGCACTCGCGGTTGAGGTCCTGATATCTGGAGCTTGGTTGAGTAGCTCTGAGACCTTGCGGATGAGGTCCGGCAGTGCCCACTGAGATCTGGAGTTCGCGGTTGAGGTCCGGCAGTTCCGACTGAGATCTGGAGCTCGCGGTTGAGGTCCGGCAGTTCCGACTGAGATCTGGAGCTCGCGGTTGAGGCCTGGCAGTGCGCACTGAGATCTGGCAGCCGCAGTTCCGGTCCGGCGGTGTTTATTGAGATCTGGAGCTCGCGGTTGAGGTCCGGCAGTGCCCACTGCTGTCTGGAGCTCGAAGTTGAGGAGCTGGAGGAGGAGGAAGGAAGGAGGAGGAAGTAACTCTGATAAAATCTAGTGGCCCTCACCTGACAGGTGGGAAAAACTACCCAAGCAAGGTTTGCCCAGAAAAGGATGGCAATCAGCAGGTCTCCCGTGGTCCTTGATGATACCTATGAGCCATGCAGTCGGATTCTTCACGGAATCCTTGAGACTTGCTCGGTACTTGTTGATGGCATCCATCCTGGGGTGGTCAGAAGTGGTTGAAGGGAAAATGTGTAGAAAAAATATATTTCTATGAACCTACTATTTGGGGATGGTCTAATGTATACCACCCATTAGTGTTTATATCGGGGATACTTTCTTATGCTGTGTAAGTACAGAAGAATATTTGATGAGAGATTTACTTAATGGAAAGGAAGAAGAAGAACTTTAACATAGTTCCCTGTCAATTCCCACTAAACCAAGCCATTGACTGCGGCAACCAATCCACAAATTCCACAAATCAAGCAAAATGCATGGGAAGCGCCAAAGCTGTCTGCGCGAAAGAGTAGTTAAGCATGTACGTATGATGTATAGTAAATATCTATACATGCATGCATACATGACATTAGCTTAAATTACAATACATCACAGTACACTACATTACATTAGAGTACATACAGACAGACAAACATACATGCATGCAAACATTACATTACATTACATTACATTACATTACATACCATCACATTACATTACAATTACATTACATTCACATACCATTACATTACACTACATACCGTTACAAACCATTACAAAACATGACATGACATTACATTACGTTTCATTACATTACATGACATTACATACCATGACAAATTACATTACATACATTACATGCATTACCAACATTAAATACATTACATTACATACATTACATACATTGCATACATTTCATACATTGCATACATTGCATACATTGCATGCATTGCAAACATGACATACATTACATACACTACATTGCCATTACATTACATTACATTACATTAAATTACATTACATTGCGTAACAGTACAAACCATTACATACCATTACAAACCTTTACATTACATTTCATTACATGCCATTACATACCATTACATATTACATTACATATATTACATACATTACATTACATACATTACATACATTGCATACATTGCATACATTGCATACATCGCATACATTGAAAACATTACATACATTACATACATTACATTACATTACATTAAATTACGTTGCATTACATTACATTACACACCATTACAAACCATTACATTACATTACATTACGTTACTTTACATTACATGCCATTACATACCGTTACATGACATTACATTACATACATTACATACATTACATACATTACATTACATACAATACATACATTACATACATTGCATACATTACATACATACATGCACACATTACATTACATTACATGACATGACATGACATTACATACATACATACACACATACATACATACATACATACATACATACGTACATACACACATACATACAGACATACAGGCATACATAGAGTTTATAGGAGTACATACATACATACATACATACATACATACATACATACATTACATACATTACATACATTACATACATTACATACATTACATACATTACATACATTACATACATTACATACATTACATACATTACATTACATTACATTGCATTACGTTACATTACATTACAGTACATTTTATTAAATTAAATTTTATTACATTAAATTACATTACATTACAATGCACTACATTCCATTACATTACATACATACATGACATGACACGACATGACATTACATAACATAACATTACATACATTACATACATACATACATACATTACATTACATTACATTACATTGCATTGCATTGCATTGCATTACTTTACATTACATACATACATACATAACTACATACATACATACATACACACAATACATACATACATACATACATACATACATACATACGTACGTACGTACGTACGTACATACATACACACACATACATACATACATACTTACATTGCATTACATTACATTACATTGCATTACATTACATACATACATACATAAATACATACATACACACATTACATACATTACATTCATTACATACATTACATTACATTACATTACATTACATTGCCTTACGTTACATTACATTACATACATTACATGCATACATTACATTAATTACATACATACATTACATACACACATACATACATACATACATACTTACATTACATTACATTACATTACGTTACATTACATTACATTACATTTCATTTCATTACATTACATACATACACACATTACATACATTACATGCATTGCATACATACAAGCATACATACATACATACATACCATACCATACCATACCATACCATTACATACCATTACATTACATTTTAATAAATTAAATTTTATTACATTAAATTACATTACATTACCATGCACTACATTCCATCCCATTCCATTACATACATACATTACATTACATACATCACATTACTTACATTACATTACATTACATTACATTACATACATTACATTGCATACATTACATACATACATGCACACATTAAATTACATTACATTACATTAATTACATACATACATACATACATACATACATACAATACATACAGTACATACAGTACATACAATACATAGAACACATACAATACATACATTACATACATTACATACATTACATACATTACATACATTACATACATTACAAACATGGCACGAAGGAGAGCACCAAAAAGCACGATCTAGAGCACGGTTATGGCACGAGGGAGAGCACCAAAAAGCACCATTTTGTGCACGAAGGAGAGCACCAAAAAACACGATCTGGAGCACGATGTTTGGACAAAGGAAAGCAATGCACGAAGGAGAGCACCTTTGTGGCATGAAGGAGAGCACCAAAAAGCACGATCTAGAGCACGGTTTTTGGCACGAGGGAGAGCACCAAAAAGCACGATTTTGTGCACGAGAGAGAGCACCAAAAAGCACGATCTAGAGCACAATTTTTTGCACGAGGGAAAGCACCGAAAAGCACGATTTCGTGCACGAAGGAAAACACTCAAAACAACGTTCGCCCAAAATATATAGAAATCCTTTTTTTGACTGTTACAGCTATTAGGACGGACTCACTATATATATATATATTGTGTGTGTGTGTGCCAAGAAGTCTTTTTAAAAATGATGGTTCTGCTACGGGCTCAATTCACCATGGCCTCATCCCCTCACTGCGAGACTTCCATTGATCCCAGCATCTGATTTCGCGAAGGGAGGCCCGCCATTCGTTCTAAACCCTGAGAATTGATCCCTCGATCTCCGAGTTCCACCTTCAACAGCACCTCTTGGACCTGGATCTGCGCCACAAAAAAATGTTGCTGTCGTGTTTTCACCTGGATTTTTTTAGGTAAATGGGTGCCCACCATATTCTGTACGCAGAGCATGCGGGATAGTTAGGGAATTCCATTACCCCGAAAAATACATAGAAGTACCATGACATACCACCCTAAGAAACATCGACAAAGTGCTGCGCTAAGCAGGATCTGGCCTTCTTGTCGAGACCATCGTGTTGCAGGTACATCCTCTTGTGAAGTTGATCAACCTTCTCCTTCATAGCTTGAAGGGAAAGCACTGCGCCCAAAAACTAGCCATTTTGCCGAAGAGTTGAAGGGACATGAAGGAACCAACTTCAGCATATCTACATATATATATATGTGTATATATATATATATGTGTATATATATGTATATATATATGTGCATATATATATATATATATTTAAATTGCCAATTTTATTAGGCCAACTAATCTCAAATTTATGGCTTTACCTGAGAATTGGCTGCCCCAAAAGATCGAACATAAACCATGATTTACTATAACTTTCCATTTGAACATCAAAAATTTAGGTATCTCCCGTTTTTGGACAGTCCCACATGATTCACCCATCAGAAAACACTGGAAAACCCTCGCTCCAACATGGCCCTCCTATACCACCACAACTTCTCTCGGAAAACCATCTGAAATCCCCGTGAGTATTTTCATTATCCGAATTTCTTGAGTGGGCGGTCAAAAACCCGCAGCAAGCCAGATACCGCCTGATGATTTAACATATATGAATATATATATATATATATATATAATATATAGTATAATATAATATAATATAATTTAATATAATTTAATATAATATAATATTATATATTAAAATATAATATAATTTAATATAATATAATATAATATATTAAAATATATAAAAAAAAAGATATAATATGCTAATGCTATGGAAAATGTCTATGTTTGATAGCTAAATCATCTATAAACGAATCATTTTCCATGGCGATATTAGGTTGCGGTATATCAGAAGTTTATCCCATGTTCAGAACTGCTTGAACTATCATACGGTTAGGTTTGAAGTTTTATTCTAAATATATTGTAATATTCTAAATATATTTCTATGCGCCCATTATATCTCCAATAAATCACCATTTATCGAAGGAAGTTTATGGACAGATGGAAAAGCAGAGGTGGAAAGAGTCAGAGAGGAGAAGAGAAGAAGAGAGAAGATCAGAGAAGAGAAAGAATGAGAAGAAAAAAGATGCAGGTGCGCGAAAAGGTAGAAAAGTCGCGATTCACTGTGTTTTTCCAATGATTTGTGGCTCCGGAGGGTCGAAAAGTAGGCTCGCTAAAGGGGCACCTCGCGTTCGGAACACTTTTGGAAGTTGAAATGTTGAAAAGTGCACGCCGTTGTGGCACGACGCACATTTGCAAGTGAAAAAGCAAAAAACACCTCACGTTCGGAGCACTTTTGGAAGTTGAGATGTGGAAAAAGTGCGCGCCGCTATGGCGGGAAGCACATTCCCAAGTCAAAATGTACAAGACACACCATGCTCGGACCACTTTTGGAAGTTGAGATGTGGAAAAAGTGCACGCCGTTGTGGCGGGAAGCACATTTCCAAGTCAAAATGTACAAGGCACACCAGGTTCGGAGCATTTTTGGAAGTTGACATGTCGAAAAAGTGCACGCTGTTGTGGCGTGGCGCACATTTCGAAGTTTAAAAGTTGAAAAAACTGCGGAGTTCGGAGCACTTTTAGACGTTCAGATGTCGTTTTGCGTGGCAGGCGCAAGGGATTATGCACCTTGTCAAAAGTGAGCAAAACGTGAGGGTTTTGTGGCATTTCCGAAAACGATGGCAGGCGTGGGGCATTTGCAGAGAATCTGGCAAGATGAACTTTCGCGTGGCAGGCGCAATACCAGAGACACATGAGGTAGATTTGTTAGGAGATCAGGGCGGAGATTTCCTGAGACGGGTTGCATTTTGGAGCGTGAGATCTTCCTCAGGTTTGCTAAGATGATTTTGCGTGACCGGTGCAGCACTTCGTATGACCTGGCATCACTTTTTCGTGGCAGGCGCAGCACTTTAGACAGATGGAATGGAAAAAATGCAAAACACATTGGTACAAGGCCGTCAGCTCTGCACTCAATTTCCCATTGAAGGAAGTATCGCAGAATTGCTTCGTTTTCAAACTTGCAGCTAGATAGATAGATAAATAGATAGACAGACAAATAGATAGATAGATAAATAGATAGATAAATAGATAGATAGATAGATTGATTGATTGATTGACAGAGAGAGGGAGAGAGAGATAGAGAGAGAGAGAGATAGAGAGAGATAGATAGATAGATAGACAGACAGATAGATAGATAGATGGATAGATAGCGAGAGAGAGAGAGAGAGATTGAAAGAGAGAGGGAGAGAGAGAGAGAGATAGATAGATAGATAGATAGATAGGTAGGTAGGTAGGTAGAATAAAACAAGATAGATAAATAGACAGATAGATAGGTAAATCGATAGAAAGATAGATAGATAGGTAGGTAGATAGATAGATAGATAGATAGGAAGAACGAAAGATAGATAGGTAAATGGACAGATTGATAGGTAGATAGATAGATAGATATACAGATAAACAAGAAGACAAATAGATAAACACACACATATATATATATACATAGATAGACAGAGAGATGGACAACTGCAACTGCACTACACCACACTACAACTATAATTTCAGCTAAAATTACACCACTACAACTGCAACTACACTTCAGCCACGCTTCAACTACAAGAACTACAGCTACAACCACAACTACAACTTTAACTACAGCTGCAACTACAAGTATAACCTCAACTACAATTACTACAGATACAATTACAAGTGCCACTACAACTACAACTGTGACAACTACTACAACTACACTACAACTGCAACTGCAACTACAGCTGCAGCTACAACTACAATCTCAGCTGCAACTACAACTACATCTTCAGCTAAACTACAACTACAGTTTAACTACACTACAACAACCACAATTACCACGACACTACACTACAACTACAGCAACTACAACCACAACTACAACTACGACTGCGACTACACTACAACTACAGTTACAACTACAACAACAACTCCTACAGCTATTGCAACTACTAAAATTAATGTTGGATGCTGATTGGTACGAGGATTCACTATTGTGACAAGTTTTTCCCAAATAATTCTGGATCTGCGGAGTTGATTGGGGGGCGCATTATTGTGTAAAGTGTTTGTTTGGTGTATTTTCAGTTTGTTTAAACATGTTTCAGTTGTTTTTTCCGATTTTTTTCTTTTTTAAATGAAATTAATCAATTAATTGATGAATGTGAGCCTTATTAAAGCACCATTAAAAAACAGCACCCGAACAAATTTTTAAGGGGGTAGTCCATGAGCAACATGGATCCTCAATAGTATGTTTGTTGTGGGGGTCCATTATTGTGTCCAGCTGTTGCCTGAAGAAACATTTTTTAAGGTTATGACCCATCAGCAATATATAGGATGCCTTATTAAAAGCCAATTAAAAAACAGCAGCCAAACAATTTTCCAAGGGGGTAGTCCATGAGCAACATTGATCCTCAATAGTATGTTTGTTGTGGGGGTCCACTATCGTGTCCAGCTGTTGCTTGAAGAAACATGATTGAAAATAATTGACATCAATTGAAAACTATTTGGCATCAATTGAAAATCAGTTGAAAGTAAATTGAAAATCAATTGAAATCAATTGAAAGTAAATTGAAACCAATAGAAAAACAATTGAAACCAATTGAAAGTAATTTGAAATCAATTGAAATTAAATTGAAATCAGTTGGAAATAAATTGAAAGAAATTTGAAATCAATTGAAAGTAAATTGAAATCAGTTGAAAGTAAATTGAAAATCAATTGAAACCAATTGAAATCAATTGAAAATTAATTGAAATCAATTATTCACATTTTACTCAGGACCCGGCACTTAAAAATGTTCACTTTAAAGTGGAACCAAAAATTGTTTGGGGGGGCCCTACACTAATCAGCATCCAACATTACCACAATTAAGGCAGTTACAACTTCAACTACACTACAACTACATTACAACTACAACCACAACCATAACATACTAAAACATTACAACTTCAGCAACATCAACCCCACTAGAACTACAATTACAACTACTGCACTGCACCACACTACATCCAGGAGTTGTGAGTGAGGTGACCACTGCAACCATTGCAACCAGTCTAAAAAGCACAACTCCAACCACCTTTCGGTCCATCAGTGGATTCGCTCTGCCATCCATGCATCACAACAACTCACCTCTCCTATAGCGTCCTATCATATCCTTGAAACTTCCGCCACCGCCTTGTGCGGTACTACTGGTATTAATGCTTAATTGCCCGTCAAACCGCCAAGCAATTAATGGGGCTACCCTCTGGTCATCAAACGTGGCAATGGACAATCCCCTGTAAATTGATGTGTTACCCAGTTACCCTCTGATAATTTACCATAGCTATTGAACATGGCACATTTATAGTTGATTTATCGATTATATCGATTTAAGATTGTGATTTTCCATAGCTTTTTGTATGTTTACCAGAGGGTAGTTGAAAAAATCTGATCTGCAAATCGCGGATTTTCCAGCCACGTTTGATGACCAGAGTCACCAAAGGGTAGCCGTCAGCCACAACCCCTGTCCTTGATCCACTTCAGCAGTTCACCATCACTGCTGTCGGACGAAGCACTTGGCCACTCGGCGTCTGGGATGACCAGCACTGTGTGACCTGTCTCGGCCTGGGTGTACAGAGCATAAGTGGTCATTGCCGAAGCTGATGAATATCCCTGCAATCAAATATCTTGGGATTTTACGTTTCTTTGTTGTTAATGAGATGTTTAGGATGTTCTTTGTTTTTTCCTCAGGAGGATGTTCATATGGATATTCGTGGTTCATATTGGAAACATGTTCAACGACAAGAATGCAGGAAAACAAAACGCTATTGACAACATTTGACAACAAATAGCACCCCCAAGCCCATTTGGCATCTAACAGCCCAGAAACCCAGGTGTGGTGCTTCAGCATCAGATCACCTCGGGTCTTCCCTGAAGCAGGATGACGCGCGGTGGGCAAAACGTCCAAGATGATCTTCTTCTTGGCGAAAAGAACCGGCGCTCTCCAAGGGCTTTGACCTTACTCAGCATGCCACTTGGGTTTGTCTGAGAATAGGGATGCCCAAACTCCAAAATGGTCATTTGGACTATAGTTGGAGGGTTCCAGTTCTCAAACACAACAAGTTGCCTTAGGAGCGACCGAACTCCGAGCACCTGGCCTATTTGAGCATCCGCTTCACAATCCTGAGCCGCACTTTAACTGTCCGTTGTGCATCAGATTTCTGTATCCCCTCATATCCCCTCATGCCGGATTCGGGGGATGGGTCAAAACCCTGGTGCCCTGGTTTTCACCCCAAGAAAGCTGCTCAGTTGATATTAATCACCTCCAAAAAGGTACAAGAGGCTTTGTTGGACCCCCTTCTATAGGAGCCAGTGAAACATTGCAAGGGGGTTGAAAGTGTAATGTATTTCTTTTAACCGAATGCTGGCGTGGTCCAACATACAACAAAGTGGTTTGCCTTCCATGTCCTTGAACCAGGTCGGCACTTTACTTTATAGCTGAAAACAGTCCAAACCCGTGGCAAATGATGAAGGCACGTGCAAGAATACGCCTATATGCATATCAAAGTAAAGCCATGTAAAGTGTATGTAGCACATATACGCCAAAACCACAACCAATTGGATGTAGGTTTGTATTGTTTGGGTCCTTCATGTCAAGTCTGATAGTGTCTTGAATTGATTTCACTGGCACATCACAGTAGAGCCAATTGATTTGTACTCACAACATGCCTGGATATGTCTGGTATGTTTGGTCATTTGGACTTCCTGTTCGTGGTCATCCCCACTATTGCTCTTGCAAACCATCAAAACACGTTGCCCACATCTCATATTTGTTGGTCAACATCAACGTCTGCATCTTTTGCCGGTTCACTGTGCTCATGCCTTTGCCGATAAAAATCAACCTAATTACTATCAAATCATGACCTCCATTTTTCTTGCACAATTCCAAATTGTATCACTGAAAATCCGACCTGCTTTCTGTTTGACCACACAATGTTGTACTTGTTGATATGCCTTCTCATAGGTGGCTTTTCAACCAATCCCACGAATATTTTTTACGAATACTAGCCAGTTTGAATCATCATCTCAAAGGTTGCAGGTAGCACATCACCAATATTTGACACCACCCAGCTGTTAAATGCTATTGGTTTCGAAGTCCACTTTTGCTGGTGATAGTTCCATTATAGTTCCATTTATGGTTGGCAAATCCCATATTTCTTGGCGAATCTCGGGCCAAATCTGACATGCCTTGCCCGCATGTCAAGCCATGACACTTCACCTTTCAGCTCTGACAGCAAGGGCACCAGGGAAGACATGTGCTCCGACCTGTTGAAGTTGAAGCTCCAAGTTAGCTGAAAAGCGGCAGCCGCTAAAAGGCCAACAGGGTGTATACATAACACGTCACGAACACGCACATGTATATATATATATTTACACAATTATATACATACATATATGGACAGAGAGAGAGAGAGAGAGAGAGCGAGTATTGTATATAAACTAATATGCATATTATATATGTATATATAAAATGACACATGCATTGTTTATCATATGCATACTGAAGGTGGTTGACTTCACTAGAACAATTGGAAGTTGAGAAGTGCTATGGGGAGTTCAAAACCAAGCAGCCCAAAATGACCCCGTTTTATGAATCATCTACAGTAGCACAATCAAAAAACAAAAGAGGACCTGAGTTTCAAGCTGCATCTTCAAGAGAAAAATCAGTAGCATAAAAAAGTGGATACCTTGCTGTAAACTAACATAGATGTGGAAATCCCCATTTGTTTGTAATTTTCCGAACGGGACACCAATGGTTTTTTCCATGGTTTTCCACATCTATGTTTGGTTTCCCCTTGGAAAACCAAGGTTGCCAGCCCCGAAACTGCAGGTTTGTGAGCTTCCAACAACCCATTGGTAGCTCCGAGTACCTCCCCATTTCATAGGGAATATAATATAGGTAACCATAGCTCCAAGGTATCTATCACAAAATGTTGGCCATCTTTGCTAAGGATCTATTGACCATTCCTTTTTTGGGGGGGGGCAGCGAATTATGAGCCAGAGGCCCTTGGTGGTTTCAACTAACCCAATGAACACTTGTAACGACGGCTCACCAGGATACCTTGAAAAACCACACATTTTTCGTTTCATGGCGCAGGACACGATTTCGGATACGATTCGATTTAATCCATGAAAATTCACCTGCCCCTGTGCGCCTGGGTGTGTGCGCCTTGGAGGACCAAATCTTTTCCCAAGACTTCCACGCCTGCGACGGCTCCTAAGAAATTCTGATAGTTCATGCCTAAGGATCCAGTCGTACCCTCCAAGACTTCCAAGACTGGGGGTATGGTTTCGGTTACCTTCTCTTGACATATTTAGATTTTAGATCCATATTTCATGATGGTTCAATGTTGGCACTTCGCCCAAAGGATGGCGAAAGTAGCCCAAGTTGCGCCAAGTTGTAGATTGAAATCATGAAAGTTCCTGGGTGCCATCAGCTTGCAGCGGCCTGCTGCTCCTCGAAGGCCTTCGGGGTGAAAACTGCTTGGCTGCTAAGGGCTTCGTACAGTAGTGCTTGATCTTCCGCTTTCAGATCCTGTCCTTGGTGGTCCAGAGTTGGATAAAAACCTGGTATGATGCGGACATGTCGCCACATACTTGGGCATTTGCAGCACAAAAGAACATGCATCAACATCCCTATGTATAGATCATCGTATGCATAAAGATTTTATTGGGGGAAGATGAACATTCCAAAAAGATGTCCAGACAAACATTACACAAAGCATAAAGAGTCACAAGCCAAGACACCTTTCAGATGTCTCAGGTGCAAGGACACCAATGACCACGCCACAGGGCTCGCCTCTAACGATGCCATTGCCCAAACCAATCGTGCCAAGCTGGAAGCATCGAAGGAGGAACTGGCTAAGCCTGCAGGTCAGGAGCTGCAACAAGGAGTCGAATTTGCAAACAAAATAGGAGAACAAAAACTTAGCCAATAGATGTGATATGATATGATTTCTCTGGATAATTGTTCTAATATAATGTTACAGGAGTAGGCTTTTCGTGGAACTGCTCCCTTCAATCAATTCTATGAAGGAACGACATTGGTGAAATATTACACTCCCTGCAAATATATATATATATATATTTATTTATATTATTATATTTATTTATATATATATATAATATATATATACTATTATATACTGTAATAGATGCAATGGTTTCATGGGTGGATCGTGCATATCTTCCAGTGCCGCCTCAAATATCGAAAAGTCTCCGGCTGGTGTCGGACCACCCACTGGGGAAAAAAACAACATACCTAATCGGGATCGATTGGGTATCATTGTATCATCCCATTTTTGAGGATCAAAAGCAGCGACTATCTGCTCTTTACATTTTCAGCATCATTTCAAGCAAGCCTGAAGCAAGTGCCATTGCATTGGTTTACATTATTTTTTTACAGGAAAACCCCATATTTAATGGTAAAAGAATGCTAAAAACCTTGGTTTTCTGTAGATTTTCCCAGCAAAACCAACCCAATGAAAGTGCATGCTGGGATGATTCCCACTACAAACCATCAGGATCAGTGTCACCCAGGCATGTCTCCAAGGGACGGGATTCCAAGTCACCACTGCTCAGAAATTCGTGACCCAGACCAAGTCTCGCCAAGGATAGGGCGACCGAGGAAAAATCCTGGCGGAAATCCAAGTGATCACCATCCCACAGAAAATTGAAGACTTGATTCTTGATGTTGAATTTACCCCCTGGCAATGACTAACGTAGCTATTGAAAATGGCAATTTACAGTTGATTTACCCATTAAAAATTGTGTTTTTCCATAGTTATGTTAACTTACCAGAGGGTAGGATGTGGGTTTGATTGAATATGGGCAATGCTCAAAATTGATAGCGCATCGATTCATCATCATGTCCCCATTGAATATTAGCCATTTGATCCCATTTTCAGATAAACATCGAATATTCAAATATCAGATATTGTTGCTGAATGATACCCCCATATACAACCCCATGCAATGGACAATCCTCCTTTTAGTTCGATGATTTTCACATGTCTCCCTGAAATTACAGGGGAATTCCTACACTTTCTCATGATTTTCCTATGATTTTCCCAAATTTCATAGGGAGTGATAAAGGATTCTCCAGCCAACCACGGTTGATGAGACCGGGTCCGTCCTGGCTGTCCAACCTGCTCGCCACTTCCGTGGCCTTCACGTCCAGTCGACTCAGAAATGGCCGCAGGGAGGCCAAATGCTCTCCCCCTGGAGGGCTCAAGCACTGTGAAAATGGATGAAGACATGCCAATGTATATATACACACACACATATATATATACATATATACATACATGCACACACAGACACACACACACATATATATATATATACACACATAATATATAAATATACAATATATATATACATACATACATCCATACCATGCCATGCCATGCCATACCATACTATACAGTACATACATTACATACATTACATATATTACATACATTACATACATTACATACATTACATACATTCCCTACATTCCCTACATTACATACACACAGACATACAGACATACAGACATACAGACATACAGACAGACAGACATACATACATATATACATACATACATTACATGCATTACATGCATTACATACATACATACATTACATTACATTACATTACATTACATACATGCACACACACAGACGCACATATATATATATATATATACACAGACGTAAATATACAATATATATATATACATACATACATACATACATACATACATGCACACACACATATATATATACACATACATAAATATACAATATATATATATATCATGAGATACTATGAGCCTTTCCCCACCTGGAAAAATGCAAACATTCCATACAACACATACAACAATAGGTCAAATTTGAACAAGCAAACCAACATCTACCTTCTACATCTTCTACATCTGCATCAACATCTACGTCTTATATCTACTTGTCTTCCAATTAGAGCCATCAAATGGCCCTGCCAAAATGCAAAGCTATTCCCTAGGCCTCAACCACTCATTGAATCCGCAGCGGATATATTGATCACCTGGAAAAGTTATGACTTTGGACGACAGGCATTGTATTGCGATCAAATCTGAATAAACATAAATAAATAAATACATATATATATATATATATATATTTATAATAAATAATACGTGAGTTTATACTAGTATACAGACATGTTATATTGTATACTGTCAATAGGTGTTAGGATGTTTTAAATGCATTGTAGGTACAGTATGTGCATTAGTTGGCGGACCGCTGTGTGTATGGCGCCGTGGTACGAAGGCATATTCATACAGCATAATAAGCGCCGTGTACCTACTTGATAAACATATCCATCATGGAGAAACTTACACAATTCATGTATACTAAACTGCTGTTGTTTTTTGAATTTCACAAAGACGTGTCGGTTTCAAAATGAAATTGGCAAATAATATATAAACCTGGAAGTCCTCGACCATTCAAAGAAAGGGGGTTAGGAGTCGACCATTGTATGGCATGTAACCACCTTTTCTTGGCACCTGCCAGGTACACCACCTACAGATCCGAGAGTTTGCTAGGGGGGCATACTTTTGGGGGTGGTGGAGGCCATTTTGGCCCATTTGGTTGCCAGGGGGGCAATCAGGTAGCAAAGATACATCTAGATGAACAAAATTGAACAAAACAAAAAAGATAAGCACATCAGCAGAAGATAAGAACGACTAGATCATTCAATGCATACTCGAAGAAAACAATCCAGATAACTGGGAGACTAGATACTTAGCAAATGTAGCTACCTGTACTTGGATTATCGGATAATCTAGTGGATAATCTGTGTTGTCTTTTATTTTCTGGGCTACTGGCCTTCTTTTCCTGAGCCATGGAATCATGAAGAAGGCTTTCTCTGCCGGCTAAGTGCTTACTTGAAGTGAAGTTCATATGCGCGCACATGCATACATACCACAGACTCACAAACAAACATATTAGTTGCAAAACATTAAACACATATAATTTCTGTAATCCCAACACCATATCTCGCAATATGATCGTTGCATGGTGTTGCATGGCCACTCGTCCCCGTGCGTGCCGCTGCCTAGCTCGGCTGCGGCCACTTCTCCAGTGAAACTGGCGCCAGCGCTGGCGCACAAAGCTGTGAGTTCCGCCACCAGGGCAGGCGAAAAATCGGCATCCTTCCAATTCTTTGGCAGATCCTGGGTGAGGTATCCAGCACTAAAAGACATCCGGATCCCCGTTTGTCACCATGGTTGGGTCCCAATACCAAATTGGCACAATGATTTGGATGATTTGGGGGTACCCCTATTGTAAAAACCTCCATATTCTTCATCTGAAAGATTTTATACAATAATATTAGTCATGTAAACGAGACCTGATGTGTTTCCTCTTGGAATTATGTAAGCCTTGACAAACTTGGGCTTGTTAGCCACTCCAGGAAGCAGGACCTGATTTGGCGGTCTCATCCTGTCCCCAAAAATATATGTTGTCGAATAGGGTGGGTCCTTTCAGGTCGGGATTGAAAGTAGTCGCAGTACTAAGCCTTTAAAATCATCCAGCTGTAGGCATAAACAAAGCATGACGAATGAAAGTGCAATGACCAAGCCATGACAATATCCTATCAAGCCAACAATTTTGCCCAACTGCAACAACCCCTCAAATACCTTGAGGAAATTCAGCTGAAAATCACTGGAAAAATGGGTTTTCCAATTCCATCAAGATTTCCCGTAGAGCAATTAGGGCCAAATGATGTCACATTATGTCAATTATGTCACCATAGGACTGACAAATCCCTACACCAGAATTGTCCAAAATTCATCCAATCAATCCTGCCCAATTTTATGGTTGCTCCTGGTGATTATCCAACTCATTCAAATTGCATTCAGTCTCGCCGCTGAGATTGAACCTCCGAGATGGAAAAACAATTCCTGCAATAGTCTATGAGCTTTGAAACATATTCAAACTTTAGCTAGGGCCATCTTTTCCTCTCAGACCGACTCGTCTTTTTAAGGAAGAAACGTGTCTTGTTGCATGTTTTCCAAAAACATCCAAAAACTTAGCAAATAGGATCATGTGGACATTTGAGGGGGTAATTTCGCACCATGGCGGTCACTACCTGGGCTGAACTTAGGTCCACGGTGGGCCCAACATCGCGCGAATAAGGCGTGCTCGGGTACAAGTTAGTCCCAAGATGTCCTAAGTATGCTAAGTTGCAGTTGCAGTTATTTTATAATTTGGGCCTAACACGGGGCGATGTTTTACAAAAAGCGTCCATTGAAGACAACATTGGCCTGAATTTGGTGAAATTTACTTTCCATATTCGACATTGTTGCCATAGTCGGCATACGTTTGTTCGCATTGAGAATATTGACTATTAACCACTGGCGTCTGCAACCTTTCCGTGAAGTCACATGAATACTCTATGCAATGGCTTTTGAAGACTGTTCAGACCCCATTGCAATTTCTTGCTAAAGTAAGCCACTTGGCTCAAATTTCTGCCTCCAAACACCTTCAGAACCCACCAGTTTCTTTGATTCAATCCCAGCCGCAGAATTCTCAACAGGCCAAGCCACGAGTTTCTGCGGCCAGTGCCGCCAGAGTTGCAGCATCAACGAAAGGATTTGCAACGCATCCCGTGCAGAGGAGACGCTGCCCAGTAGGGTCAGCCCGGAAAGAGCCTTCCTTGGAACAGCGGGCTGCTGCGGCATGTGCTTTGGTCGAAAAAGTTGGATGGGTCGTACTCAATCGAGGTGCTCACATGTCACCTGCAACGAATGAATCAAAACTTAGGATCAAATGGCAAAAATTGGCAATAAAATCCACGCTGATTGGGACATTGACAACCCCATCATGGTACTGCAACAAAAATAACGGAAAAATGTGGAAAATCACTACGGCGCCAGAAGTCATACCTCGAAACAAACCTATTCTCCGACCACGAGGGCGACAAAGGAGTGGCTACCCTCAATGGGGATGGTCCCTCTTCAAGTGGAAATTTGGGCCTTGATGGCCGTAACAAAAACCTGAATAAATGATTGGGATTCGGGATCAGGCATGGATATTATTGGCGATGTCAGTATACATTCGGATGATACTGGGTGCTCTGCCAGCTCAACACCTGAAAAATGACAAGTGTCTGTGCCATGTCGTCAGTGGGCTTGTGCAGGCTGAATGCCCCCGAGATACACAGCAAGTTGAGCTCCACATCAGAATCCTATGAACCCAAAATCATCAGCGTCGGATTGTGAAACTTCCCGGTCGGATCGTGAAACTTCACAGACGGATTCTGCAAATTGCCAATCGGATTGTGAAACTTGCCGCACGGATTGTGAAACTTGTATTGTGAAACATAAAGTATAAGATTGTGGAATTTTAAAGGCGGATTGTGAAACTCTGGGCTCAGATGGGTGGGAATTTTGATATCGTCTTATAACCTTGTGGACAATCCAAGTCAGTTTGAAGTTCCATGGGGGTTGGAATTTTGATATAATCTTAACCTTGTGGACACCCCAAGTCAGTTTGAAGTTCCATGCGGGTTGGAATTTTGATAACGTCTTGCTCTTGTAGACGGCACATGTCATTTTCAAGTTCTGTGGGCGCTGGAATTGTTTGGAGGAAGTGTAGTTGCAGAGTTGCACAATCCTGGGAGTTGCGCAATCTGTCCAAAGCAGTTGCGCAAGCAGAGTTGCGCAATCCTGGAAGTTGCGCAAGCCAAGTTTCGCAATCCTAGTTGCGCAATCCGGAGAAGTTGCGGAAGCGGACTTTATTCCCCATAACGGTCAGACACAACAACAGGGTCCTCACCCACGGCACCCAAAAATATCAAGATTTGCCCATGATGGATTTCTGGATATTTTTTGTCCGATCCGTTTGGACCGACAAGTGCTTATATAGGGATCGAATCAAAGAGGCCAGGGCGGCAAAGGATTTCGCAGCTTTCAAGTCCGGGCTCCTGCGAAATCTGTGGCAAGACATTCTTCAGCAATGCCTCTGCCAGTTGGGAATGCTTCTCCAGTCCATGCCGTCCCTCGGATGCCAGTTGTGTTTCGGAGCCCGGGCACCCCCCAAAATGTAGCTGGGATCATCTCAAATTGATCAAAGATAGTATGGACTTGTTCGAAGAATCTAATGTTCAAGGGATCATTGTTCTCAAACCATCCAATTTTGGAGGTTGGTACTTTGGAACGATACACGTGGGCCATGTCCTATAACCTGGACCTGGCGTCCAAGCTACCAAGGTAGAACCCAGCACAGCTGCTTCTGGAAGCTTCCAGTTGCTGACATCCACCTTTTGTTGGACCAAAGCCTCGACTTGAGACAAGTTGAAACTAAGGGCAGGGATCCCGAATCTCAGGGGCGCAGTTCCAGTGAACGAACTCTGGATATATTCAACATTTTGGGGCTTGCAAGTCCGATGGCTTACATTTATACAAAGACAAAAATCATATGTATATATATATATATTAAGCTGTATATATCATATATCACATATATATATATATATATCTCTCCCTTACATACATATAGCGGATATATCCAAATACAAAAAATCCCTTCCAGTTGTACCCATCCTTTCCACCAAAGCCCCGGCCGGGCAACATCCAGGATCTCCCAAGCTTCTATGCCTGAGCCCTCCTCGCAAGGATCAGACTCTTGTTTTTCAAGGGAAATATGAATAGATAAAGGGACCATCATGTGTCATTTAGACTTAGTGGCAAAACCCAAGAATAACACAGATGTGATACTTACTTTCTTCGAATGATCCCCACCAACTGCTTTTCTGTCTCACGCATATTCTGACATTCTATCCGGGATTTTTTGTGACACGCACAGATATATATATATATATATACATATACATTTATACATATATATATATATTTACACTTATTTACTTATTTACCTATTTATTTAGGAGAGACATTTGACATTCCATCTGGCATTCTATCTGGCGTTCTGTTTGGCTGAAATATATTCTGACCTGCCAGACGTGCCATCTGGAACTCTATCTGACGTATTATATATTGACCTTCTAGCTGACATTCTATCTGACATCTGAGCGGATCTGAAAACCTTGAGTAACTCCCTATGTCGTATCATGTTTCTTGCGCAACTGCTTACGCAAGGCTTATGGTCAGTGCCGGAATTATAGAACGGAAGTTGAGGAGGACGAAGGTACGGTTATTTACCGTACCCTGTTGTTCTATAATTCTGTTTTCCTCGGAAGGTATGAAAAAAATGTATCTGATCTTCCTCCTAATTTTTTTCGTCGTTCTATAATTCTTGTCGGAGCGCTGTTGTTCTATAATTCTGTTTTCCCCCATTTTTCTCACATTTCCCATTTTCGTTCTATAATTAATGTTTCCCGGGCCCCGTTCTATAATTAATTTTTCCGTCGAACGGAAAAATTAATTATAGAACAGAAAAATCAATTATAGAATTATAGAACCTCTTCCGGGGTCCCAGAAATCCTATAAAATCACCATGAAATCTAAGAAAATCACCGTGAAATCCCATAAAATTACCATGAAATCCCATAAAATTACCATGAAATCTTATAAAATCACCATGAAATCCAAGAAAATCACCTGGTAAATGTGGGAAAAATGGGGGAAAACAGAATTATAGAACGGAAGTTGAGGAGTACGAAGGTACGGTTATTTACCGTACCCTGTTGTTCTATAATTCTGTTTTCCTCGGAAGGTAGAAAAACAACGTATCTGAATTTACTCCTAGCTTTTCTCGTCGTTCTATAATTCTTGTCGGAGCGCTATTGTTCTATAATTCTGTGTTCCCCCATTTTTCCCACATTTCCCATTATCCTCATGTTACAGCATCCTCATTTTATCCTCGTTTCCTCATCAAATCCTCATTTTATCGTCATTTTATCTTCATTTCCTTATCAAATCCTCATTAAATCCTCATTTTATCTTCATTTTATTTTCATTTTATCCTCATTTTCTCATCAAATCCTCATTAAATCCTGATTAAATCCTCATTTTATGTTCATTTTATCTTTATTTTATCATCATTTCCTCATCAAATCCTCATTTTATCTTCATTTTATCCTCATTTTATCATCATTTTATCCTCATTTTATCCTCGTTTCCTCATCAAATCTTCATTTTATCTGCATTTTATCTTCATTTCCTCATCAAATCCTCATTAAATCCTCATTAAATCTTCATTTTATAGATTGTATATGTACAAATATGCAGTAAATATCATGTCAGTGCCAGAAATTATAGAACGGAGCCAGGAGGACAAAAGTACGGTAAAATACCGTACCTTTGTCCTCCTCCCCGTTCTATAATTAAATTTCCCGACTCCGCTCCGAATCGGAACCCGGAGGAGGACAAAGGTACGGTATTTTACCGTACTTTTGTCCTCCTGGCTCCGTTCTATAATTCTGGCACTGACTGTACGCGCGTGTGGTTTTACCTTACGCAGGGCACAGTGTGTGAATAGAGCTTACGCGGACCTTACGCTTAAGGGTTTCTTGTTTTCACCATAGGATCTGCTTACGCAGCAGCACCTTTTCTGCAGGAGCGATAGGCGTTGAAACATGTTTCGAAGGGATCATGTTGCGGAAAGCGATCAACCTGATCAGGGCCAATGTCTAAGAGGAACTGGAAGAAGAGGAAGAAGAAGATGAAGAAGAGGTAGACGACTCACTGTCTCCAGATCGGGCAGGATGCTGTTCTTCTTTGAGGCGGCGGCGTTTCGCAGCTTGTCTGCTCAATGCTTGCGCTTTGGCACTGAGACGTTCATCTAAGGTGCGTTTTGGATGCGGCATGGACTTAGATTGGAAAGTTTTCTGGGCAGCAAATTTTCGTGTGAGTTGGTTGTCATCCCCTGCTTGCGGACCACGTTCTTCCCAACTTCTTGGTTTATCATAGTATCCTCGTCTCCAAGTTTCGTTTTCCTGCGTTGTTTCTGTGATATAGTTCCCAAGGATGTTTGTGCTGTCAAATCGCTGAAGACATTGTTTTTGAGAACAACTCCTGTGCGAGAATGGGGGCTGGGCGTAGAAGACAAACTGCATGTGCGGGTGATTTTGAGTTCTGAACATGCAAGAGATTTGCGAAGACTTGGCCGCCTTGCACCAGGTTCAAAAACTGCCACAACCTGTGCTGGTCCGTTCGGGTTTCCACGTTGGCTCCGTTCACCTCCTCTTTGCAAGGCTTTGACAGTCTGAAAGGCCATGTACAGGGTGTTCTTGAATATAATCCATCAACCAAGAGTTTGTCCATCCGAAGAGACGGTCGCAGGCTCCTTTTCCATGTTGTTCTCCTAAAACTAAAACATGCACCTGCAAGTTCAAAGCGGTTGGCAAAGTATGGAGGAAATGGGCGGCATTCTCGTACGATCGAAAATGTGGCCCGCAATCTGATGCAAGCCAAAGTGTTTTTACATGATTCCACTCTAAACTGGGATGTGTTCTAATAGTTTGTAGAACCTGGTTGATCACATCATGTTCGCAGCTTGCGCGTCGTGGTCGAGGATTTCGGACGCAAGGAGAATGTAGAGCTCTTGATGTCTGCCGTTTTTGGAAGGAGCGAGAACAGAAGCCCCAAAAATTGTGAGGGAAAGTTTATTCTGAGCATGCCATCCTTCTGATGTTTCTTCTCTACCTCAACGAAAAACTGGTATGGTCCATTTTCTTGAGCATGTGAAAAAATTTTGTTTTGGGGTCAACTATTAAAAATCTCAAGGAACTTATAGGAACCAGTTGCGGTAGATACTAGAAAATATCTTCTAACCAGAACAAGCAAAACATTACGCTCATCCCCCCCCTTTAAGGGGGGGGGTGGGGGGGGGTAAAAACTGAAATATTTCACTTTAGGGGGGGGTCTCCCCCCCCCACACACCTTGAAATATTTCACCTCCTAAAGTGAAATATTTCAGCTAAAAAATTCTGGTCTATAATGGCTTTGGGCGTGGTTGAATTCAAGGCTGGACCAAGGGGCTCCTCCAGGGATGGCAATGGATTTTATTGGGGGGGGACCCTCCTAGAACTGTAAAAAACCATGGTTTTGCACCTACCCCCCCTCAAAAATTTCACCGTGACATTTTTTACCCCCAGGGTAGAAAACAACAAGGGGCTCCTCCAGGTCGGGTAATGTTTTTTTTTGGGGGGGACCCTGCTAGAACTGTAAAAAACCATGGTTTTGCACCTACCCCCCTCAAAAATTTCACCGTTGCATTTTTCCAACCAGGGTAGAAAACAACAAGGGGCTCCTCCAGGGATGGCAATGGATTTTATTGGGGGGGGACCCTGCTAGAACTGTAAAATACCATGGTTTTGCACCTGCCCCCCCTCAAAAATTTCACCGTGGCATTTCTTACCACCAGGGTAGAAAACAACAAGGGGCTCCTCCAGGGATGGCAAATGTGGCATCCGGAGGAACCCCCCCCCCACGTCTTTTAGAAGCCCAAAAAAAAACGTGGGGGGGGGTATATTTCACGTGGTCAGGCGAAATATTTCTCAGAAATTTCTTGCCTTACCCCCCCCAAATATTCCAGGGTTAAAGGGGGGGGATGCTCAAAAGCAACGAGGCACTCAGAGGGTAACGCAGGTTCTCTTTAAAATCTACCTGCACTAGCAACATGTCCTGCTGCAATCCCCCATCTCGCAATGCAGAAAGAGCTTGTTCTTGGCGTCTTGCGGAAATTTGGTGCCAACGGTATGCGTCCAGTAATTCCAGGTGAGGCTTGAGTTTGTGAATTACTTTTGCTTCCATTTGATGCAAAGCCATACGCAATCGGGGTGGCATAGGAGTGCGGGTGGGGTTGTGCTGCGCGTGAAAGTTCTCGTGCTCCAGGAAGGCAACAAAAAGACGGAGTACATTAGTATTTGTCATCAGAAGCGGTGGCGGCAGATGCGTCGGGGGAAGCGTTGAAACTATCGAAATAGTTTTCCCTGAGTTCCACTAGCTTGGTTTTCATTTTCTCCATGCAACGGTGTGCTGCGGGCAGAAGATGGCGTTCCAAGTGGCGGCAATGCTCACCTGTGCTGGACATGCTTTGCTTGTGGGCTTGACGCAACAACCTTAAGAACATAAGCATCTTTCAGGACAAGTGCTTTGAAACACATACATACAGAAAAAAATAAAAATAGACTCTGCCAACAACGAGGAACAAACATCTGTAAGGCGGCGAGGGTTTTCGACGTGTGGAAAATATATATCTTCAAGATTTTGTAAAAAATGTCCTTTCCCAAAATCTGGTTCAACGCTGTCTCTGCTTTGTAGATCTGAAGCCGCTTCTTGGACAAGTGCTGTGCTAAAACGAATTGGCGACGAGACCCGCGACCGACAACGACAACTTTTTCACTTTCTTGCAGGTAGGGGGCCAGTGTACTGCGAACTGTGTCATGCAACGATGCGTCGGAAATTTTGCGGGGCCTTCCTCCGGGGTTTCGTCTGCTTGATTGTGGCGCCTCAAGGTTCGCACTTCTGGCTTGGCGATAGCTTGTCTTTCCGATGGCATAGCCTGAATCCACAAGTTCTTGCAAAGTACACGGCATGGAAGACACAACCATGTCCAACTGTGCGACGCTGATCGATGGAGCTCCTATGTTGCTGGTTCGCATCCTGTCTGCAAGGGATTGTCGAAGGTGTCCAAGCTTGCCAAGGAGCTGCGAGAAGGCTTGGTTTTCAAGCGAAAGACCAGGCAAGAAAGAAGAGCACTTGGTGAAAAGCTGCTGTAGCAACGCTGTAGCGTGGGGCAAGGTGGGGCAATGAGCTTCGAAAAGGTCATGGATTGTTTGTATATGATGCGCTGGCGCTGTCTCCATTGCAAATCTAGGAAAGGCTTCGCCGAAGGGGGCATTGCGTGGGCTGAGGGTCAATCGGGGCGGGTCCCCTTACGCCATCCTTACGCGCATGCTTACGCGGTCCTTACGCGGATTTTTGGCTCCAATGTCCGAAATTTGGGATTTACTGCTGTCAACTCTTTGAAGCACTTGTTTCATGTCTTGTGTCTGGATCATGGCGCATTTCCTACGCATGTGCTGATGTCATGGTTCTGTCCCATCTGCAGCGACTAGCCCGTGCAGCTATTGCTCTCCTTTTGCTCTTTCTGCATCTCTCTTTCCAGTCACCGGAACTTGAACCTTAAAGTTTATAAAGACAACCCATCATGTCAGTCACAAAAGGGTGAAAACTAGAATGCCAAGGTGTAAGTCAATCCCATATATAATACATATATATATATATAGATAGATTCTTATTATTATCATGTTTACTATGAGTAGTATGGCTTTATACACACATGATGTTTATATATATATATATATACATAAATGCTGCACGCATATATACATGGTCATATTTCTTGATTTATTTTGGGGTACTGTCTTTGCATCAATTAACCATCATTCTTTGCCAAAGGGTTCACCCTTCACATGAGAACCAATGAGAAGCCACAAGTTCAGCACTTTCATTTTCCCCACTACAATCAGCATTTTCGGACATAACGATGTTGAAACACCAATAAACAACCCCCCCAAGTGTACCATAATGGGCGGTATAAACATAAATATTGGGGGTGGTTTATTATTGTTCCAACCACATTAATTACACAGTTTCCAATCCAACCCATTTGGACTTACCCATGCTCAATGCGCGCAGCCCATGCTGCTGAAGCTCCTCATTTTTCTTCACATCATGACTACGATTCACGGTGCTCCCCGCCAGCCGTGCGCACAGCACATCCGAAGGATTTCCTACTTACCTTCACACCCCAATGCCCCAAGCGAGCTGTCTAAACCATGCGCTTGAGTTCTTTAAGATACTTTTCCACCTGGGAAACTGTGTTCCGAAGGTGCTCTTCCTGCTGCTGTGAACGGATGGGTTTCATCTCCAAAGACTTGGATCGAATTGCAACGTGCATGGCCTTGTCAGCCTGCACTTTGGAGATACTGCGGACGTTAAAAACTTTGCCCCGCATGATTTGCAAACAAGTTGGGCACGCGGAGCCTCTTTGGTCAACCTCCCGCGGCCGGGAGCAAATCTGACATGACATGGCTTTGGTGGTAAAACCGCCACAGCCTTCTGGCAAAATCTTCTTCGGCTTTTCCTCAGGTGTTTCTGGATCTTCTACTGGTTTGCGTTTTTTGCCATGTGTTTTTGTTTTCTCACTACTTGTTTTCTGCGGTGTCTTTACTGCAGCACTGGCGGAACCCGTGGGTGGCTCCAAATGGACCACAGCATCAGGCATTGGTTTCACTCCGGCGGAACCCGTGGGTGTCTCCGAATGGGCCACAGCATCAGGCATTGGTTTCACTTGGACCGCTGTCGGACATGTACTCTGTGTGCTCGAGGACGATGTTGTGGACACTTCGGGGACTTCACCTTGCAAGGGGGTGATTGACGCGAGCACCTGGCTTCATATAAACACATCTCGCCCCCAGAGACTTAAGCAGAGGGGTACATATATATATATATATGACTCAGATTGCCGCCATCCTTCTTTTGCATGGCCAGATGGCCCGTGTTGGGCCAGAGAGTTTCAAAGGTTTTGCTTGGGACACCAGGCATTTCAATGCCCTGCAACGCTGTAAAAGGAAAATGCCGAATGGATCCAATCAAAAGCTTTCATCTACAAATCTTCTAGTGGAGGTGGGGTCGGCGGTGGACCTATTTCAACTTGAGATTCAAAAGACGGCCATTGATTGAGGATTCTGGCATGACCGTCAAACACCTACAAGTAGGAAGAATGACTCAGATTGCCGCCATCCTTCTTTTGCATGGCCAGATGGCCCGTGTTGGGCCAGAGAGTTTCAAAGGTTTTGCTTGGGACACCAGGCATTTCAATGCCCTGCAACGCTGTAAAAGGAAAATGCCGAATGGATCCAATCAAAAGCTTTCATCTACAAATCTTCTACCCATCACCTCGCAGTATCACTGAGTGCCGTGGCCGCCAGCGCAGCAAACTTCTGGGCTAGCTGCCATGGATATGGTTGAGCTCGGAGAGTCCAGAAGACACCGTTGCTGTCTGTGCCTTTCAAGGCGCGGTGCGGCCGTTTGGACCGGGAACACCGGAGGTGGGAACCCATGCAACGAACAGATAGATCGGCAATATCAATGTAGTTGCTAAGAAGTCTGGTAGGTTTTTGCCAAGCTTCCCCATACATGCAAAAATCCAAATCACAAAATGCAGGACGGAATGTTTCCATGAAGTGTATCATAGGAGGCATCTCCCAAGCCATGCTAGTCAAAGGGTTCTCCAACACATAAGGAATTTTGTACTGTTCACAAAGGTGCAGGATTTTCATAGTGAAGTTGAAAAGCTGATTCCCTTCATTCAGCTTACGACAGTCGCTAGGTCGCAGGTCTGACAAACCCCAAATTGCATCTGACATGCGAAGTGGAGGAGGGCCCAACCCATCAAATTGCCTAGCCCTAGAAAATGTTGTGCATGGCATGCCAATCCAAACGAGCTTGACACGTTGCTGTCGCAAGAAATTGAAAATGCCCTTGCAAACATTGCTGTGCAGAACATTGTGAGAAGGGAACAAACAAATATCCACAGGAAAAATTGGCACACCAAGTCTTTTCAACGCTTGTGAAATTCTGGCTGAACCGGCAAAAAGCTCCAAGCAGAAACGTTTGGGGCGACCATGCATTGTGAAAATGTCATCCCAGCTCAAAAGTCTGTCACTTTCCGTGCGGCCTTCGTGCCACGAAACACTTGCTCTAAGTTCTTTTCCGACCACTGGCAAAACCGGGGGCCCTGTTTGGACATTTTCGCCAGCAACTGCTGGACACGCCCAATCTTGGCGTACCTCCTCACTGACTTGTCTGTTTTCCAGCGGCCCCGGGATTTGACTTGGTTGAACTCTCTCACTTTGGCGGTCAGCTCTTCTGTTGCGCCGCCATGGCGGAGCTGATATGGATGCAATTGGTGCAGCCCCATCTGAGACGCTGCCTTCACAAACTGCACCCGGAACTCTTCCATGGAGAATGTGAAGATCAGACTGTCCGGACTGCTCAACATTTTTGCCTTTCTCAGCAACTGGTCCCCAATCCATTTTGTGTGTTTCAAATCGAGCGGGATGCTGTTGTCGTAGATGCCTACTTTGTCTGGCTTTCCTCCCTCCATGTCGCGGATCACGACATTCACCCAGCGGTATTGGATGCCAGCCGCTTTGGAAGGTGGGATCACATTTCGCCCCTTGATGTCTAGGCCTTCGCCTGGACGAAGATATAGGAAAAAATCTGTGACCACTTTCAGACTCATGTCTATGAACCCTTGCGCAAAAAGCTGCATTGCGATTCCAAACATACAAAGGCGCGGGAGAGGAAGCCTTGACTGTGGCGGCATCTCTTTTCGCCATCCTTTGAGGGCCCTTCTGGCCCTGACTAGCTGACCTTTCAACTGGATCATTTCGAACTCCACTGCGGCCAACGTCTTTTCTCCTTCGTGACAAGAGCGATTGTCTAGGTAGAGGATGTCGAGGTAGTCGGTTAGGAGAGGGTCTATCAGATTTGAAGCGGGAGGCCAATGGAACCCGCTCTCCTTGCAGAAGCCCACGAACCTCTGGAGGTACCCCGCATACTGCTGTTTCACCTCGCAACTGACACTCTTCTGTTCCAGGATGGTATGCTTCTTTTGGATTGCTCTTTTTCCAGCACCAGAGCTGTCCACATGCTTGACCTTGTGGATGGTTCGCCTTGGTCCTGGCGGGACTGGGAGCTTGAGCTGGGACGGAGGCAGCGCTCTGGTGAGGCCAGCCTTCTTGCTGGGAAAACTTGGACAAATTGGCGGAGCTTTGAAAACACGACTCATCTTCTTGCTTGTTTGCGATTGGCGAGGAGCAGCAATTCGACTGGGAGACTTCATCACTGACCCCCTTGCTGACTTTGACGTAAGGACCCGGAGCGATTTGCCCCCGGGAAGGGCCATCTGAAATGTTCAGCTCAGATGGTATCCATCTACTTCTAAGGGAAATAGAACACGCCAAGCATACTGAGCCAATCTGCTGTAAAACCCGCAAAATTGCAAAATTTGACGAACGACCCTTGCCCAAAGAAAAACATAGAGCCATGTTGTCAACAAGTAAAAGATGCCGTCGATGTCTGTGTCGTGATGCCCTACTCAATCTCCTAACTGCAAGCAGAACTGCCCTAGCTTCTTTGAGTGTGATATGCTCTGTATTGTCACGCCATTTACCCATGCCAACTGTCATCCACTCTTCAGGCGACAAAACATCGCTCTGTACTTCTGGAAAACTATCATCTGGAACATAGTTATTAAAATCATCCGTCTGATCCAAAGTGCCCTTGACAGTGAGAACATCATTGAAAACATCCCTTTTCAGCGCCCTCTCCCGCGGCTTCCATTCCGCGGCATCCAGCCTCCGGAAACGCCACCGCTCGTGCCACTTGCCACAGTTTTGCACCACGTCCGGCGGGAGGTGTCTCTCGCAGATCCCCCAACCTTCAGGCGATGCGTCAGTAGCTGTGACATTGTCCGACCAAGGTCTCCTAATATCTGCCACCAACAGTGGAAGCAGCCCTGCAAAAACCAAACATTCTCTCTTCTCTGAGGAATTGAGCTTACGAGGACCACACCCACTATGCACGAAATCATACAACCGCCGAAAAATAGCCATTCCACATCTATTTATAGTGCAAACGACCATTGCATGACCCAACAACCTTTGCATCAGCTCAGTAGAGATTTTGTGAGTGGCAGCATACTCAAAGGCAAATATAAGCGACCAAATACGCTTCTCAGAACACCTAATATGCCCAATATCGCCATCCACAATACCCCCCAAAGTCTGTGTGTAAGAGGATGCGCTTGTGTGTTCATGCACAACAAAGCCCATGTGCTCCAGCTTCTCACAAACTGCTTCCTTCCCTGTCTGACAAATATCAGGAGAAAGTGAAAGAACATGTACGTTGTCACAATATGGCATGGTAGTGGCCGAACCCTTGGACAGGACGGGAGAAGGGTGACCGTCCAGAAATACCGCATCACGCGATACCCCTAAGGCATCCATAGCAGCTTGCTCGTGTAGCGCTTGCACCAAACAGAAACTCCAATTGAATCCCATAGGTAATACTTTAAAACATGGTGACCAGGTTGAAGAAACAGAGAAATCTCCATCCCAACATCCATTTGCAACCCTCCGCGCCTCGTCAGCTGTAATGTCACCGCAAAGGCAAAAATACTGCTCCAAGCCTGGCGGGCAGTCGCACGCATAGAAGCAATCGCAAATGTCAGCTGTTGCTATGTAGAGAGTCTCACCCTCCGGGAGTGTCGTGTCAGCCAAGCTCGAAAGAGAGCCAAGTTCAGTTCGAGGTGGGTCTCGGAATTGTAGGTTAACAGATCTACAGTCTAAAACAAGTCTTTGCCTAGGAACCAATTTACCGTCAACCATTTTGGGCTTCTTCGAAACACAGAAAGCACCAACACGACCCCTAACTTCGGTAGTGAAGGAAAGAACCCCACACCTGAACAGATGACTAACAAACTCAAGGTAAGCACTTCTGTCCTTTAAACTGGCATCATTGTAAGGTTTGATCCTGATTGACTCCGCCTCCAAATCGGTCCACACGGAAGCATCTTGCAGCATGAAAGAATCAAAATTTTCCACCATCTCCTTCACAGCACCGCAAAGATTCTGGCCGAGACAGACACCAGCCACCTTCCCTGAAGGAAGTGACAACTGTTTGATATCCATCTCCACCACATCACCAACGCCAGGCTCAATATCATGGTATGAGGAACTGGCTGCCCGGAGCGCAGCAAAGGCTCCTTGGCATCGTGCATCCATGGGAGGAGGCCCAAGCAGTTTGACATGCTTTTGCACATTGAGTATGCAGTCACGCTGCACCAGAGGCAACCCTGAGAGGTCATCTACGCTCTTTGCCCTCATGGTGGCCTTCTCCCCGAAGTACATTGAATTCAAAGCGCGCAAGGCCATGTTCACACGCTCATTGAAGGCAGCTTTTGTCAGTAACCGACGCCGAGTGCCGCGGGAAAGCCCTGGTTTGGTGATCGGTGTGGAGGCGACCTGTGGTAAAGGAAAAACATCACGGGAACGTTTGTCCTCCCCAGCAGGAGGGTGAAAAAGAGCACTTCCACCAGTCATCGCTCAGGGTCAAAACTGCGCAGCCAAAAAAAAGACGCAGAGGCACCGGCTGCAGACACCTCCACGCACCACCACTAATTTGAGGACCCTGCCGCCTGTGGCCCTCCTTTTGGACCAGCATTCGGCGGCTTGCCTGGACCTCCTCCACGACCTGTGCCTTTTGCTTCTGCCAATTTGCGACGCTCCTTGAGGATTTGGCTTTCAGCCTGGAGCTGCTTGGCCACATCCTCTGTCAAGGCCGGCACTACAATAGCTCCACCACTCTTGTAACGACTGCCCATCCAAAATTCAGCTCCCTCATATGAAGGATTAGATGGATTGAACTGGTGGGCCTCTGCGATCAATTGCTTCCGTCTGACAAGGAGCTCAAAACATGCAAGATTGCAGACTTGAAGACAGTCGAAGGAGATGGCGGTGTCGAGAATTTGGGACAAGGCCTCGTCCTCGTACACTGCCCTGGACGACTCAGGAATGCGACTTTGCTGAACCCAAGCATTGTGCTGGCCAACACTGGACTCAGCGACTGTTCCCACCGCCCGGAGATATTCCAGGCAAGTTCTTGGCTGGAACGGAAAGTCTTCCATTTCGCACTCCTGCATCTCGGCGACCGTCTCCTTGAAGTTCCTGAGGCGGTCACCATTTGCAGAGTACCTGACTGACATGGTTCGAATGTCTTCAGAAGCACTTCTGTCATCGCCATCCACCGCTTCAGTGCTCCTAGCCACCTGCACAAGCTCCTCGCAGGCCGTGGGAAGATCCTCAGGCTTGATCCTCTTGATCATGGCAGTCTTGGGTGCTCCCCTAGGATCGTTAACATTCATCAAGCCATAGTCGCCCATAGTAGGAAAGCCAGCAGGAGGAAAAACTTCTTCACCCACCTTGTGACCCTCAACCATAGTTGCAAGGACCCAGATCTGAGCTACTTGTCCCGCACCAGCCCCAGCTGCAGCCAAAGGAGCCATACCCCTGTTCGCTCTCTCACGGTCAGCTTCGCCCCTTCCCATCTGCAGAAAGTTTGAAAGCTCCAAAGCAGTCATTGGCCTGAAGCCGTAGATCTGGGCAGGAGGGACGCCAGGAGGTAGAGCATTGTTGGCGCCAGACAAGTAGAAGCCCACATAGTCGGGGTTGCTCTGGTGAAGGATCTCACAGTACACGTCTTGATCAGGAGTCAGGATCATGAACTCATGCTGTGATCGGTCAACTTCTGCCAGTACTAATCTACTATGAATCACCGTTGGATTTTCGCCGTAATCAACATAAACTACGTCACCTGGCTGTAACAAACTCATTTTCGTCAACCAAGGATTTGAAGACCCTTGGCTGGGCTAAAGACACCCTTCTGTTTCCCAAAGCCCTTTTGGTGAGAGACGACAAAGGACAGCTCCCTCTCGTCACCCCGGGAAACCCAAGAGACTTTGAATGCCACTGCTAGGTTTGCAATCAGACCGAGGGCCCCCAAGAGAATGGCAAGGATGACTGGATAATTGCCAAAGCCAGATGAAGGTGAAGTCTCTGAGATAACTGGTGAGTAGGCACAGTTGCACGCACACGCGCAAGGCTTGGGATCTTCCGCACTCCACGCAACAGCTCGAAACCACCAGCCAACGAACAGACCGATAGATCCCAATGCCACGTGCGACGAATCCATGAGAACCTATTACGCACCTATTTCAACTTGAGATTCAAAAGACGGCCATTGATTGAGGATTCTGGCATGACCGTCAAACACCTACAAGTAGGAAGAATATATATAATAAATATATAATATATTTATATTGATATTATATATATATATATATTACTATATATATATTAAATATATATTATATTAATTATATATATACAATATATATATATATAGGATATAATGTTTCAATATATATATATATATATGAATTTATATATGTGTATTCTTGCAGATGTTTCTCCAAACCAGCCTTGGCTCATCGAATCGGCGCTAGCTTTGGGGGACACAGGTGGCACTGGAGAAGTGAGAGCGAGCAACGTAGGATCTTCAACTGCTGCTGCAGTTTTCGTGGGCTTCACCTCATCACTTACAAGTTTGGCCAGGCTGCGGTCATCCTTCATAGGATCAGCTGGCACCACCTGCAGCAGGGGCATGTGACAGTTCAACGGTCCAGGCTCCAAACAAAGAGTTTTGAAGATTCAGGATCCATGATCCTGTAGTAGTAACTAAAAGGTGCTTCGCTGCAATTGCTTTTGGCAAAATCTTTTAGGATGCCTTGCGTTCCTTAGTCTCCTCCTTTGGGGCGAGTTTCCTCAAGGTAGTGGATAAACAAGTCGTAGTATGCCACGCGCCCAGTACAAACACGGCTTGGTGATGGCTTGGCCGCGCCACCCCCCTGCTGGTGAGTCCATGGTAGCCGTCCTCACGGTGACAAAAGAAACATGGTCATAAAAACTGAAAGTTTCAGATCGGGTCTTCCCACAACAAAAGCCACCGAACAAACTCAAGATTCATCCCTGGAAAAATTGCCGCAAACAAGTATACCATGCTGGATTTGCACCAGGGATCGCAAAAAGTAAGCCACGTTGAATGTTTTTCGCTCCAAGCGGGCTCTGCCATTTTCCCACTACATGTCACCACGTGACATGCGCTGGGCCAACCCCCGGGACAAGCAGATAGGTTTTTTTTCCCATCTGATTTGCGCACCCCTGGATACCAAAACGGCTTCAGTTATAGCACTGTCTTCAAATTGCAAAGTGATCCCTTTCACGTACCCAAAGTAGATATCTCCACCCATGCTACGTTTGTAATACCTGCACTTTTCCTTCAAATGTTTCCATAGGGCATATTTGTTCTCCATGCTGCACTCCAAACAGTACATTTAGCCGTCTTGGTTTATCAAAAGAACAAATGTAGAACCATTGTTGGACACATAACAAGTAGCAAATTGAATACCACACATGAAAAAAGGGGACCTTCTTCATATCATGAGATGAGCATGACTCCAGTTACGTGACACTGCATCCTGTGTTGCAAAGAAACCAACACCACAGAAATCCACAAATGATGTCATTTATATCTGCTTACGCATGCCCTTATGCAACATGATACTGCAAAAAGTCCTTACGCGGCCTTACGCCGCTCAGGGTTTTGCTTACGCATGAGATCGTTGTGACAACAGCCTTACTAAACATGAACAGGAGAGTTTTTAGACTGGCTCATCTGGCCTTTGCAGTTGGGGTCCGGCAGTGCAAACTAAGATCTGGCCCTCGCAGTTGGGCTGCGGCGGTGCCCACTGACGCTCGCGATTGAAGTCCGGCAGCGCCCATTGAGATCTGGCGGCAGTTCGGGTCCGGCAGTGCCCACTGAGATCTGAAGGTCAGTGACCACTGAGATCTGGAGCTCGCAGTTGAGGGCGTAGTCCGAGGCTGCCGGGAGGAGGAAGAACGAGGCGTAAGCAACTATGATAAAATCTAGAGACCCTCACCTGGCAGGTGGGGACATAATACACATGTGGTAAATATGGATATCAATAATGTAATGTGGTACTAATCAAGATGCTGTAAGGAATATAAAATCTTGTATATCAAGAAGGCAAATCATGCAGTAAACCCAGCCATAAACCATCCCCAAAGCACCATTTTTGTGGGTGCTTCAAGCATCCCCAAATCGTAGGTTTATTCTTGGGTAGGCCATGTGGAGAAATATCAATGGATATGTTTAAGTTAAACATGTTTAAGGGAATATTTACAGGGACTCCCTGTGGTTGCTGGTTAAAAAAAATACATATTTTCCCCTAAACCAGTCTATTGAACGTGGTATGGTAGATAAATCATTGATTTACATATGAAATGAATTCGTGATGTTTCTTCCAACCGCATAAGTTAAGAACTACCAACAAAATGTCGAAACAAGCGGCTGCAGTAATACACCAAGTAATACATATCAGAAAAAAGCAATGGCCGTCTTTGACCACCAGAAGGCATATGAAACAACATTGATATACATGGAATATCCTGAGTGTTGTCTGGGTTCTAGGCTCCGGTTAAATGCACACAAATACATAATGTAACTCCACAAACCATCCCTTGGAAGTGTATTTACAAGAACCAATTAGCCAACTAGTCCGATATGTATATGACAGTTTGTCAAAATGTCTGTTCCCGGTTTTGTTGATAAATCGCAATTCCATGCGTGCCGCCTCATGTTTGCCTTTAAAAAACATGACCTACCTTGATGACGTGAAAACGTGGAAATTCTTCGTTACCTTTGGAAATCTTTCTAAAACCACAGGAATTGGCTAACGCACGTCGGTTTTCATTCGCTGTCGCTGGTACTATCTCCTGAACTGTGTGTCTCTGTGTGTGTGCCTCTCTGAATGCAATATGCTTCTTGACATGCCTCCTGATCAACGCTGTTTCCTTACTGTAAGCTACCAAAGCGTGAACATGGCTGTGCCTCTGAATGGGCTGCGGGTGGACCGGGGCATGTATTTGCAATTTTCGCTAGCGCGTTGCTAGCGGCGATCTAGCGCGTAAAATACGTAAAAAAAATCGAAAATTTGGGAATATGTGGAAACTGACAGACTTGTAAGAAAAGCTGGCAAGACATTCACGACATGGAGGCCATGGCTGTCAATCAAACCTAGCGCAAACCTAGCGGGTTTGCTAGCGCTGCCTTGCAGAATTGCTGAATTTAGTTGCGTGCCGCCTCATAACGAAGAGGAAAAAACAGTAGACCCAGATGAATTATCAACAACCAATACTAAACTTCTAAACAACTATTTTTGACAAATGGTCATATATATAATATATATAATATAATATATATAATATAATATATATATATGTAATATATATATATATCATAAGCCATAGTTCATCATAGATCACATCTAGTTCTATAAATCAACGCAGCTAACTCCGGTGAAATCCCATTAATTAAACCACTTTACCCTCTGGTAGTTGAACATAGCTATTGAACATGGCACCTTTATAGTTGATTTATTGAACTTAAAGATGGTGATTTTCTGTAGCTTTTTGCATGTTTACCAGATGGTAAACCTCCATTTTCCTATGGTTTTCCCATGGTTTTCCTCTGATTATCCCATTAAAACCCTCCAAAACCTGGTTTTCCCATGTTTTTCGACCTTTTCCCATGGTTTTCTCCGGCCTGGTCGAAGATCTGCATCAACTTGGCCCAAGACGTCGAGCTCAACGGGCTCTCCAGCATCGCTCGCAGGCGCGGCACGCGCGCAATGCTGCGGGAACTTCCGGGACCCAAGAGGTGCAGGAAGGTCACCTGCGATTGGACCATGAAAAACTAGGGATATCTTCTGTATATTGTATCTTTCTGAATATATATATATATATAGAGAGAGATAGGTATATATGTATATGTATATATATATATATGTATATGTATATATATATATATATCATAATAGATCATAATAGATCATAATAGATCTGTGACAAATGTGGGTAAAACAATGTCATACACAAAACCCCATTGTTGATATTGTTGATATTGTTGATGGGGAAGTACCACCCATTAAAATGGTGATTTTGGGGATGGTTGATTATTCTTTTTAACTACATGATATATATATATATATGAATAGATCATATTAATTCTCAGCTCGTTGTCTAAGATTTACTAACCACATGAATTTCAGGTGTCATCCAAGTACTTTGTGTTTATACAAGTATTGAATAATTATCTATATTTTTTTTTGTTGTTGGTCAACATCCCTTCAAAATGATGGAACATGGATGAACATTAACATGGCCATTGCATCAGTTCACTGCTCTGGTATGCTCTGGTAATTTTCGGTCACATACATAGCCGTGGAAAATGGCCTATTTGTAGATGATTTACAAATCAATCATAATCAATATATACATATATAATTATACGGCAAATGCCTGGGCTTTGCCCGGACCCGCAATGACGACAGGCGACGCATCATCATCATCATCATCATCATCATCATCATCATCATCATCATCGTGATGATCATGATCATGATCATCATCACCAGCATCATCATCATCATCATCAACAACATCATCATCATCATCATAATAATCATTAGAATTAAACCCTTATTGAAGATCTTCAATGAATGTAGAAGTTTAACGGGGGTGGGAGAATTAAACCCTTATTGAAGATCTTCAATGAATGTAGAAGTTTAACGGGCGTGGGAGAATTAAACCCTTATTGAAGACCTTCAATGAATGTAAAGTTTAACGGGGTGGGAGAATTAGACCCTTCTTGAAGATCTTCAATGAATGTAAAGTTTAACGGGGGTGGGAGTTTAATATTCCCTATTACCTTTGTTGTTTTTCCCATAGGAATTTTGCGAAATTGCATCAACATTTGTTTGGGAATGGGAAACCTCTACGCTGCAACGCCTGGGCTTTGCTAAAATATATATATATATGGTGATTTCAATGTATGTATATATATATGTGTGAAATTATAGTTACGTTAAATCATGAAAAGATATGTGGTTTTCACGTGTTTTCATGGTTCTTCCCGGCATTTTGCAATTCCCTACTGCAAGCGAACATGCTTTGGTATACAGCACACAAGTGCACACGTAAACTGCGCACGAGCATGTGCAACAGCTTTGATCATGGGTTTCGGTACCCATGCTGATAGATTCGCAGCAGCATATGGGGAATTCAGCCACCATCAGCAAACGGCAAAGGTTCAAATATACCCTGCGCACGGTTTTCCCCTACTCAAGAAAGAAGCTCATAGGAACATCACGTAATTACTGAAAACCCTTACATGGCCAGTTGGTCAAATGTCAATTCCGGTGTGCAAGACCAAGGTGCGACAGAAGGGTCCACAGAAACAGTTCTGCATTGACTTCAAGCAGTTGTTTAATCAAATTCATAAACTGATGACTTCCGCAATGGCCTTCAAATACATGAATGGTGTTGGTATGTGTTAGTTGTTTATTTTCCCCACTTGAACACAAACACCAGCGTTCTTCCAGGGTTCACATCAACATTCCCAAAAATGATGGGACAATTCAGGGCGTTCTCCGCCGTGCAGGCCGAGTCTCCACCTCTTCAAAGTTCAAAGAGTCTAAAAGGCCTTCCATCTTTCCTGCAACTCAGACAGCTGAGCCGATACGTCAATGGGGTCGATACCAAAAAAACACTAAAAAAAACATGATTGATACATCGGAGCTGGGTGCTGGACTGATATCTTTAGGATTCTTTAGGTATCTTTAGTACATATCAGACATGATCACGTCTGGGTGAAGCCAGGAGATCCGGAAAATCCATATCCAGGAACTAGCCAGGAATCCAGCAACTCAAAAGAGGCAACAACTTTGCACTTGGACAGCTGAAAGATATGGGCAATAATATGCAATAAGATTTACAGTAATATATTCATAAGCACACGACCATCCCGGAAATACTTCCTCTAATCGCTTTCTCTTTTTAGAAGTTGCTAGAAACTATACAAAAATACATCAACCACCAGTAAAGCAGCTGAGTTTCTGTTCAGAAGCCAAAGGGCATAGTCATCCTGCCACTGCGGAGTCAAGGTCAAAATCAACAACTGAATCCCAGGTATGCTATAGCAACTATGCAGTAGGCATTCCCTGAAATCTAGGCCCTATATGGCCCTATATAGTTGCCTTTTTTTGGTTTGGAACATGACATGATGCTATCATTGTCGAGGCTGCATTCAATTTCACTCAGGTGAAATATGTGTTGACTTGCACAGTGCCCTGTGGCAAATTCTGGCATCGGGAACCGATTTCAATAGAAGAGCTTTGTTCATATCCATTTCTGATAGAATTTCCCGCGTGTTTGACGGAAAGTATCGTCCGTCTCAGCCAGGTGGTCAGAAACCTCACATGTTCCTCATTTCCCCATTATGTTTCGGCTGATGTTACAGTCTCAAACCGTTCTGGATGAATTATGTGTAAGAATTCCTCTGGAAATAGACAAATAGCCAAACTCAAGATAGTCTAATCGTCAATTGACCATAATTACGTCATATTATGTCTACATTTGGGGGATGACACTTGCAAACCAACATTTATGGTGAGGTCGTTTGTGTCGCTATCATTTACTCAGAACCCTTGCACCGCACCGCGGCTCTGAGCTCAGCACTGCCACGGTGCCGCAGAATTTCTCCAGGAGTACCTCCAACTTGGCGTCCTCCTGTCACCAAAGCACAAAGGGGGGCCTCAAGTTAGATCCTGCAGCATCTGGAGCAGTCTGGAGCATGGAAACCATCAAGAAGTTTGATTAAACAACGGGTGGCAAGGAAATGAAGAAAACTTGACATGATCATACAGGATCTGCATCTGCAAGTCGCGAACTGAACGAAACCACGGCCGAAAATGGGCGTCTGAATCACCCTGCAAGTGGTGCTTTGCTGCTTTGCCAACATCCACAAGGATGACTGCGGCACTCCCAATCTTTGTCACTGCCCTAAATGTTCCCCGGCCTGCAAGAGAGCATTGTTGAGGCGAGCGCCCAAACGTTGATGCAAACTTTGCCTCGTTCTGTTATGGCTCCAGGTCTCCAGCATTTGATGATTTTCATGGTACATTTGGGTGTGAGACTCGGTGAAACCCAACGATTTTCCCCAGGAGGTCGAATTCTGTGAGCGACCTAAGACTTAAGAGAGGAAAATACACACTTGACTCAGACACGCTCCAACAATCGCCGCCCAGTTGCACATTCAGTTTTTTGAGCACATCTGCCAGTTGTGAGGTTGACTCCCAAGAGGTCTTTTCTCCCACATCACGTGGCAATTGACCCGCCACATCATCCAATAATGCCTGAAACTGCTTCCTCAGCCCGGTGACAGAGGTTGTGGCTTGTCAAAAAAGTTGCGAGAGACGAGCTGCAAACATCTGCAAACAATTCGGTAGGGGCCAGATCGGGATCTCTGCAGAAGCACGGTCAAAGCCTGGGTAACCTGGGTAATTCTTGCTCACTGGGGTTGTCTTTGCCCTCCTAGTTACTAAGAGGGGCAGGGGGTTGCTGAACCAAGAACCAACCCATCCATGTGGAAAATTCTCACCACGACTTCCCAAAGGGAGGCCGGCTTACACAGTATTCCCAAACACCCCAACCCCCAAAGGGATTGCCTTGTTGGGGCCCCTGAATTACCACCACCAATGACGTGGTAAAGTCGCAGAGCCCATGCCCCAAGGACAAGCTGCTGCTCCAAGACTTGCTGAGAGTCCACCAACCTGGGAACATCATCCACCATCAGCATCCATCAGCCAGAAAGCCCTCATGTTTCTGCCAAAGAAAATCATCATTTAGCTCTTGCAGGTTGGATTTGCAAAGGCTATCCCCTATGCGCTTTGGTCATCACAAGGCGAACTTGTTGTTTCTTGCACTCATATTCGGGCAAATTTGATGGTCCCCAACAATTGGAAATGCATACAATGCATGTTTTCACATGTTTTCCCTTTAGTCATGGGGTCTTTCAAGACACACATTACGTCCATGATCAGGCCCCCGATGATTCATCGATGCACCTCGCAATCTCATTTGTTTCCTGTACCTGCCAAGAAGAACCCAAACACCATGAAACGCAGGTGGGAAACGGGAGTTCCGTTATCAGCCAGTCATAGGTCCCGTCGATGGTCCATTTGTGGCAAAAAAAACGTAACACCGTAACACCGGCTTGTTGAAGCATATTTGGATCCCGTTTGGGGCTAAGTAAACCTCCATCATTTTGTTGCTTCGGAGCCAAGCCATTCGCCCAGAAACTGCAAGGCTTTCAGTTGCCCTTGTGGCGTCGACCCCAGGTTGCGAAGCAAGGACCTCCAGCGTTGGCTGCTGTCCTGCAGATTTTGCAGTCATATCCCTGCCATTCCAGAAATGGATAAAGGATGAGAAAGGATGATCAAGTGACATACAGGAAACCTCTTGAATCATTGGCAAAATATGGGAAAAGGTGCCGTAAAACAACATCATCTCCTCCAAGGTGCCACTACCAAATCAGTGATGGTCCCTGAACTCTCAGAGCGTCGCCATTGATGTTGCTCAAGTCCATTAACGCCCTAATGTTGGTTATATGTTCTTTTGATGGCGGCGTCACTCAAATTCACTTTAAAGTTCAATACATAATGTGCTCTTGCTTGATTCCACATGTTGAATAGCATCCCCAAAACTATTTCTTTTGAAACAACGGTTCTGTGCGTCAAGTCCGGGGCGTACCTTCAATGAAATATATCATGTTCTCATTTCTTGGGCAAACATGTTATTAATGGCCAATGGTGATTCACAAAAATGAATCGTCCCCGATTTGTTGTTTATATTGTTCATTCTTGGCTATACCACTACCTGGCAGATTTTATTTAAGATACGGTAGCCTCCGCTATTGTTGAAACTTGGAGATGGTTTATGGCATTGTGGGTCAAACACTATTTCATCCCCATTGTATCCCCATCATATCTGGGTAAATTGTAATATTTCACTAACCTGAATCTTGCGGCCATTTGGGGATGATTTCCCTATAAAAACCATACTCCAGGGCTCGGGAGAACAGTGAGGTCGTTATAATTTACCCAGCTTGATGATGGGGGACTGGGCCGCACTCCTCCAAGGTGATGCCCCGAAAAAAAATCACGATTCGAAAAATGTGGCATTCAAAAACATGAACTTCTGAAAGTCAAAAGTCATAGTTCATAACCACAAACCATAGTTAAATAATTATAGTTATATACTGTTATATATAGTTAGTTATGTGCGTTATAAACCAACCAACTATTCGCTGCCTTTTTTGGGCACCATGTAGCTTGACTTCTTGCGTCCTCTCCCAACAAACTGCTCGGCTCCGACGCCAGTGTGCGCAACTGGCCACACAGCCGCCGCAGGTGCAGCAAGCGCGAGGAAGGCGACAAGGCCGACATGGCGTGCTGCGGTGAAGTCTTTGGTAAGTTGAAAAATGGGAAAGATCTGCGTCGATTTTGGGGTTAAAAAAACGATTTTGGGATATTCTGCTACAAGTATATCATTCTATTTTGAAATCGATACTTCTGGTGTCTTATAGTCTTTTTGCTGGTGCTCCGAACCTTTTTACAGCATCCTGAATCCTGACTCTCTGCACAAGCATCAATGGCGTATCGAGACGCGCCAGTTGGTTCAGCAGTCCGTATCATGTACCAGAATCTATCTATCCTTATGTATGAAAATGAATTCATGTGAATTCAACATGTACGAGTATCATTTGTGGCTCCAGTCTAAAGAGTGGAATGAGCACACTTTTCTTACAGTAATCCCATCCCCCATTCATATTAACACACCCGTTCTATGGGTACCATTATGTCCCATTACTATGTGCAAATCCCTTACAGCAAAAAATAAAACATTGTTTCTGGGGAGTGTTTCATGTTGGGGGGATGGGCATCAATCTATGTGAATATCGCCATAGCGCTAAAAAACATTAAACAAAAAGCATCATGGCGACTCTGGTTTTGCTATGTTTTGCTGTGCCAACTCATCCGCATCAAGCTGAGAACAAGAGCTGCGAGTATTGGATAAAAAAATAAGGACTAGACACTTATTATCAATTATTATACAAGGGATGTAAAGGAATATAATGAATATAATATAATGAATTAAAGGGCTTGTTGACCACCAGCAACCACGTTTAAGCAACTTGTAACTGTGTGTAACCAACGTTTGATGATGACCTTGACACATCATGACAAATCATCATCTGCCCTGGGAGAAAAGCGGCCCGATTTTTTGACACCCAAAAATCGTGAAGAGACCTGGTTGGTGGTTTTATTCCCAATATATGGGAAGTCATGAAATTCATGTTCCAAACCACCAACCAGCGATATGTGGCGATGCTCCCATCTTGTGCAAGTGGAAAAGTGCAGGATATCACACGGCTGAGGTGGAATCACCTGACCCTTGATTCCAAATACCACCAGTGAAAATCAGAGTCGCATAGTCAAACGTCCACATCTCCTAGTATTCATGGGCTATGTTTATAGCGAAATTAGCCCAAATCATGCATTTTCTTGGGGGGAAACACGACGCACACCAAGATTCTGAATCTCCATCACAGCTGTCATGTTTGGCATGGCCACGTTCGGTGGCGCAGTGCTGGGGACACCAGCTGTGCCACCAGGCATACCCGGAATGCCGGCACCCAGCGGGGGCATCATGTACGGGTTCATCATCGGCATCATGTAGGGGTTCCTCAGCCAACGGCGAAAGGTCCAGAATGTGAAACTCCAAACACCGAAAGGCCAAACACTCTAGTGGCGTGGAAAATCGGTGCGGGAGGAGCTCGGTCGCTCATCCTGTTTCTGTTTTTTATAATTATAACTTATAACGGTTTCTTGTGCAAGTGTATGTGCAAGGTTTACAGGTACGACTATGCCAACATATTTAATTAATTCTACACACAACACGAAGAAGTCACGACAAATGGCAAATTTACCCACGAAATTCATGGGAAATTCATGGGATTATCATGGGAACTTATGATGAATATTGCCCTCTGGTAATTTACCTATAGCTATTGAAAATGACCATGTACTTCGTTGATTTACCTATCAAAAATGGGGATTTTCCATAGTAATGTAAACGTTGACCAGAGTTGAACTTCCAGAATTGCCTTCTGAAATTTGGTCTTGATTTGCTGGGCTCAAAACATTCCCTACCGCCTCGCTTGGCAATGTTGAAGCATGATTCTCCATTTTAGCATGCCAGCTAAATTAACCAACCATAAATGCGGCGTTCATTCTTATTTAACCATGTGCAAATGGCTCAAAGCCCAGGGGACCATCGGAATGGAGAGATAAACATCTCCTAGCAGATAGCGAGGCTCTAGGTGTTGTGATCCGCAGTTCAATGGCTTGAAATGTCAAACGATGAGGTTAAATATGCCCACAAACACACATTCATGCACAACACAAAGCAATACGATGCAATACGTCATTTTGTTTCACCATATTTTCCTGAACTTTCCGAGAAAAAAAGGAAACATCCACATATTCATCATATCCCGCTGTTAAGAGAAATGGGTTTCCCGGCAAATTGCCCATTCAACAAAATGAATATACTTGCTACTCCTGCTTATAGTCAACCCGGAAGGGCTTCTTTACCATGAAGCTTCATATGCATATGATAAGTCATTATTTAGGAGACACACCGTATACATCCGTATACACTAACCTATATATATAATCCACATCCTTCACGATAGTCACCATATAAACCCACCATGTGATATACGGTAATTACCAATCATGGATGATATCCCCATTGTATCTCCATGATATCCCCAATTTCGATTTTTATCAATTTTTGGATGCCCACATCCACATCTGAAATCTGGTAAATCCATGTACCCTCTGGTAATTTAACTATGGACAATGGAAAATCACCATTTTTAATGGGAAAATCAACTCATATGAATGGCCATTTTCAATAGCTACGTTAATCATTGCCAGAGGGTAAAGTCTCTTCATGGTAAATCTGGGAAATCCATGGTATCTTCCTTGATTTTCCCTTCAATGCCATCCCCAAATGACCGACTGACCGACCTGGCAAACTTCGCAAAAACGCAGCATCCAAGGCTCATGCCGAAGCCGCCTCCGAAGCCGCCATAGCCCATGACCACCGTGGGACCCGGAGGTCCTTGAGGGCCTGGGGGGCCTGGATCGCCCGGATCTCCTGCGGCGTTAAAAAAATGGGTCAAAAAATGGATCAAAGATGCATCAAAAATGGTACTTAAAGCATGTGAAAAGCAACTTTTATGATACTTAGAAGTTTATAAGTTATAAGGGCTGATGTTGTTCCTGTATTACGGGACCGAATTACCTTGGCGGATTTGCAAGATATGGATCTACAAAGTGATTGAAATATTGGAACCATTGTCGTCCAAGACATGTGATCAGTCAGAGTCTTATGAATGATGCCTTCCTACATTTAAATGCAATGGCTACAAAAGCATCAGGAACAACACATATTTTGGTCTATAAAATGTTGAAGCTATATCACGCCCGATCACTCAAACCTGGTTGCAACAACTACCACATGCTATAGTAATGTAGCTACATGATGCACTTAGTGATTCAACTGCTTCAAACATGACACTCCACGCTGTTGATTCTTCAGAATCCATGCCACAAAATCAGCAATTTCCGGGTCTAAAAGTCGCTATCTAGATTGGAATGGTTGGAGCAATCCTCTAAAGCATCCAACTTCAAAGACAACAAAGGTAAAGAAACATTGTAAATACATAATATATATTATATTAAATATATATATATATATCATATATATATATACACAATGCATGTTGGACCCAAGCGATGGCTAAACAATAGGAGATCCCTGTTGGTCCTGTTGGTCCCTTTCGCCCTCTCGGCCCACGTGGCCCCAACGTGGCTGCCATTGGGGACGGAGCCATGGCCGGGGCCGGGGCCGGGGCCACGGAGCTCCGCTCCTGTGGCAAAACGGGGAAGGTCAAGTGGGGATTTCATCAACAAAGATACAAAATTAATCTAAATGTTATTAAATGTTCATGTGTTTTGCAATATTAACATTGTGGTTATTATATAAATATATAATTAATTATAAGTTGTAGTGTAATTTTTGTCAATATTATGTGTATCTTTGCGGTACTCTTTGCTTTGTGCTGCATGGTTCAATCTCAATCCGCATTTTCGCCGGCAGAACTAAGTCCAAAAGACTGTACAAGTGAAACAAGTACAGTAATTCAAATTGTAGGTTTCTTAAAATGGGTGTACCCCCAAATCATCCATGTTACCAGGATTTTCCATTGTTAACCATCTAGGTATTGGGGGTACCCCCATGACTATGGAAACCGAACCAGGATGCCCCAGCCATTGAGGTGCCCATCTCCCCCGACATTGGCTCCTCCTGGCGACCCGTTTCCTCGGAAAGGGCCACTTGTCCAAGATGCAACCTCGGAACTGGAGATTTCACAGAAACTGGAAGAATATCGTGTGGAAAACTATGGTAAAAATGATCATAGGCAGTACGTACGTACGTAGGTAGGTAGGTAGGTAGGTAGGTGGTAGGTAGATAGGTAGGTAGGTAGGTAGGTATGTATGCATGCATGCATATATGTATAGATTTATATGATGTATAATTAATATCGGTTTACAGTATATGATGTATATCCTCAAGTGATGTTGCACTTGGATCTTGACGGAATTGCCAAATTGGCGGCGGGTTGTCCAAATTAGAGAGTTCCAAAAAGCAGTTTCTGATGTTTCTGCATGGCGAACATGTCCATTCAGAATGCTGATCTATCTGATCTTATCGATCAAAAAGGCAGATCTCGAAACATCCGAAAACAGAAGGGTGGGGAACATGGTGGAGCTCAGGATCACTTCAGGATGAGCAGGTCGTGACCAATTTGTGAAAAATATGTCAAGATACCCTCTGGTAAACAAACAAAAAGCATCAAAAAGCTATTGAACATGGTCATAGAAATAGTTGGTTTACCCATTTAAAAAATGTAATGGTCCTCGTATGTTTACCAGAGGGTACTTCAGAGGCATTCCAACATATTTCAACCATTGGACCATCCCCCGTCTCCAAAGCGTCCTGGACGACGTGGATTCTCTTAGGGCCCAGGTGCGCATCCTTCTCGGCTTGGAGGGCGCGAACTGTATCGGCACCTGAGCAGGACATCTCTCTCATGGGTTTTCACATGTGCCCATCAAAATTGAACATCATCAACACAAATAAAACCCGAGAGTTCTGGAATTTCCTACCCCGGAAATTGGCAGGCTATGGCTTGCAAGGCAAGTAGATCCCTATGATTCTCGGGATTCAGTGCTAGTCAGACGATCCAGCATCATCCAGCGAACGAGACCTCTTCACCCAATCATCGTCAAGTGACATATGTTTTTATACCCTCTGGTTATTTAACATAGCCATGGTATAGATTGATGGCCCATTTATAGATGGTTTACCTATTAAAAATGGTGATTTTCCATGGCTATGTTAAATAACCAGATGGTAGATTCAAATAGTCCCCTTTGATCCCTTTTGAATCATGTTGATCCCTTGAAGTCCGTTGAATTCATTTCGAGGTATACTTGAACTTCTCTTAGGAGGGGATTTGATATGATTTAGTGGAAAATATATGAACATATAGTACCTTTGCTCTGGGCACCCCACTGCCCCTCAGGAGTCCCTGTGTGGTCTCTGTGGACAGCAAGTGAACCTGAACCTCACCAGCGGTGTCACGGCAAAAAAAACTGGGTCAATTCTCAGAAAAACCTGGATTTAAGCCGCAACAACCGGACAATTCGCCATAAAATAATGATCATGTTCATGATCTATGGATTGATTTTGGCGAAGAACTACAGGCAACCATGGTCTAATACCTCCCACGACAATAATACAATATAGCTGAACAAATCTCAACCAACAAATGATGAGGTTGGTGGTTTCAATCCATCCCAAGACATGTTTGTCAAGTAGTTAAAGTTAAAGCAACCCGACGTAGGCATGGAAAAGCAGGCTTGCTTGACACCACCGGCCAACTCGGCGTCAATGTGGACGCGGGAAAACATTTTCAATAGTTTTCAGCATCCATTCAACAAGAACACCGGCGATTTCTGAACAGTGATGAGGTTGCTCAGCAAGAAGCCTCACACCCAGGAAGACACTGGTCTTTTTCTAAGTTCCACAGCTAAATTTTCACCATACGATTCAATGGTGATGTCAGTCGGGCTGCTGTGGGCGCAGTGGCCGCGGCCCCAACTAGGAGAAGTTGCCACAGCATAGCACCTGGCGCCAAGAAAGATAGGACTTTGAATGAGTTTGTTGTAGAATCCGCTAAGAGAACGAATCTGAATGTGATTTCTCTGTTTTTTCCTCCTGGATTTGTTCCTGTTTGCATCATATGACGGTGCAGGGGTTGCAATAATTGCATCTTCTCATCTTCTCACGCTGATCATGGCACATGGGTACAGTACCCGTATGAATCATCTTTCATTCTTAGCTGCACATGGAGGCGTGAAGTGGACTTCATGAATGGCCAACCATGCCAGTCGCGCCAGTCGGTGCCAGTGCCAGACCGGTGCCACTTCGTTGCATGCTTGGCCCGCTCTGAGCCAAGGCTGCGATGTAAAAATGTGAAGACATGGACTTAGTACCTATAGCCTATATATATAATTACAATATATATATAATATGTGTGTGTGTGTATCATGTGGTTGGAAAACTCTGATTGTCGCTCCAACTGGCTCATCTGGTTCCCCATGACTAAGAGATACTGCACTTCTTAGTCCTTTGGAGAGCGCTTTCAAGCGCAGCGCCCCGACGGCTACCACCATCTCGTCTTTTTGAATTGCACGGTCTATCCATGTCTATCCATAGCTTGTTGGTGGTTTCAACCTTCTGAAGAAGTACCTTTCAGTCCATTGGAGTCATCATTCCAATTACCAGCTTGGAAAGTAACATCAATAATTATTTTTAAAAAAAACTTGGAAACCACCAATTTTGGTAGGGTGAAACAGTGGGATTCATGTTTTTTTCGGCTGGCTATAGCACTTTTTCGGCTTGTCACGCAAACCGCAAACGGCCACGCGGCCACGCTCACTCCTCTGTGAAATTGCTTCCGGTCACGGCGTCAACGAGACCTTTTTAGTGGTTGAGCCGTGCTGATCGTGCTGGACCACGAAGGAATAAAATGGTAAATGGACCTTGAATCCTTTGGTATCTTCAGTATCTTTTATAGCTGGATGATGCTGGATGTATGGTCCTCTGGTCATTCAACGCAGCTATGGAAAATGGCCCAGAAAAATACATTGTGCTTTCAAATGTTTTCACATTTTTACATAGGTCTGTTAATGTTATCTAGATGCCAGAGGGATCCAGAGGGTATCTGGGTGATGGTGGATGACGGCGCGAGCAAAATACTATTGGATTTTGAAACACCTCAACAATTGTGAGATGAAGCCATCTGTTGCTGCTCTTGTTGCTGCTCGACAGAGCCCGCAATGGATGAACATGTGTTTAATCGTTTTTAGAGGTAATGGTGGAAACAAATCAGACTAAATTTGATAATTGCAGGGCAAGTGGGAACACGACAGGTTTTGACCCATGCCCAATTATGTGGCAAACCCAAAACAATACCCCAAACCATTCCCCAAATATGCCAATTTATGGATAGTATAAACCATCCAAAAATGCAGGTTTATCATTGGCTTTACCACATTAACGGCAAAAATATAGGGATGCCATAATGCCGATGTGGTCACCCCGTCCTCGACTCCTCAACCTTTTTTGGATTGCAATTCAGGTACCCAAACAGGTCAGTTCTGCTCCAAATACCCAAAAACCTGGGAAACCATAGAAAAATATAGAAAAATGATCATACATTCAAGGTGGGCATGTAAAAATGTTCATGTCTAAACGTTTACAGGAGGGCATCCCTAAATCAAAAAACAAAATATATCAATGGATTGAATTAGGGGAAAAAAACATAGGAAAATCATGGAAAATCTATGATTTCCTGTAGGTTATCCCTTAAGCCAATCCATTGAATAATATAGCAGTGCGTTTCATCAGCCATGGGGGTCGATAGATGGTCCGATGTCCAAAACACTGGTCCCTGGGACCGTGGCTGATAGCTACGTGATGAAATCGGCAACCTACAGCAAAATACGTGTAATTATAATATAATATATGTATGTGATATATGTGTATTTGTATAATTTTACTATATATAGTCAGTTATATATATACGTACAAAATACAAACATCAACTCTTATCAACTTAGCAATTCCTCCAATCATGGCAAACAATTACTAAAATATAGGCTTGCAATATCTTGCAATGAATTGAACACCGGTCTATTTGCAGAAAAAGTTCACGAAGAAAACTCAGGACAGGAACCCTGAGATCCCAGACCCCATGGCACGAAGGGCAGATACTCTTCCCATGTGGCCTGCCCAAGCGCATCTTACGCATCTTTTTCTGGATTTCCATGGGGGTTTCCATGGGATTTCCTGCACATGTTCCATTCAACTGACACTTCCCACTTCCTATCGGCCACACGATTGCTTCCCAACATCTGGCGAATAGTCGATGTTTTCACAGCAAAATGCCGCTTTTTTCACAGTCCATGCTGGGTCAACGGTCAACCATGATATGCTCTTGGTTTGCCAAAATTGCTTCCGAAGGAGGTTTTTTTCCCTGGATGAACGCCGCATTTCGACATATTTCGACCCCACATGTTGGAGACTTTGACCAAGGCAGATGCCGCACTCAAATGCATATTTTTGGACCGCGAGTTGCGGAAGTGCGATCCAGGTCTTATAGGCAAACTTCCAACTTGGCTGGAAGCTGTGCACAAGCATTATCTCTGGGCAAAGGATGCCAAAAAAGCATGCAACTGAGGCCTTGTCACCACTGAACACCTACAAGGAGTTGCCGTTGGGTGGTTCTGAGACCGATGGCACCAAAACAAAGCTGTGGTGGCATGATGATAGATCTCAAAATATGCTGTTTGTCATCAAGCAGCAGAATTGGGTCGTCGGTTTGAAACCACATCGTTGCAGCCATTCACAACACCAAATGCGCGCGGAACGCTTTGGAATCCAAAGATATCTGCCACAGCAACAGCATGCAGAACGTCAGGAGCATCCAGACATTTGCATGAGTCCTGGCAGCTGCAGCAGTAGCCAGAAATGGCGGTTGAGTCGTATCGAAGAACGAAAGGTCCACTCCAGGTGGGAATAGCCTGAGAGGGAGCAGCGTTTTCCGATCTGCTGCAAGGGTGGTGTAAAGGTAGGGCCATGGTTTCAAAATGTTTCAAACAAACATTTATGACACACATAACAAACATGCCACATATGAAGCATCCAATTTGCTTCATTGGGGATGGTCCGACCTCGTCCGACCTTCTTTAAATAAACAAGCCACTGAAGCTGCGCAGCGAACCAAGATCTGCTGGAGTCCCGACTTGTGATGTGTTGGGTTCATGGTTTCTGGAGTTTGATGGGTGAGGGCAGCAAAAACCTGTAGGTGGCTTCGCAGTTCCGACTGGCAGTTCACATCGGGGTCTAGATTTGGACTCACTGCAAAACTGCTGATGATGGCCTGTGCATAGATGCGCATCCTAACTAGAAAATAACCAGCTCAAATGGTTGATACTGGTTGATGAAGTTGATGGGCCTGGCTAGCAAATTCCGTAGCTGGTTCAAAATCCCTGCTATTCTCCAGGTACTAACTCTGATGCTCAAAGAAGGAGCATATTTAGGTCTGCATCAGAAACGGTTGGGTGAGCAAATCATGGATCGCTTTACATTCCAATAAACGAACACAGATTTGGCATTTCCACCATTTGTAGATCACATTCGGGCGGACACCCCATGGATTTCCACATTTCTATGTTGGCTTGCCGTGGAAAATGAATGGTATCCAGGGCATCCAAACTTGGAGAAATTTGATCCAACCAAATGTCTGTGTCTGGTGGTGAACCACTTCTCCAGGTATGTTTGCCACAATTTGGGCCCCGCAACAGCTGTCACAGTGATTCGTTTCCCCGTGGCCCGTTCCATCCCAATGGAGCTGTCGAAATCCAGGAAGCACATGGTCGATGATGTGCACTACACCATTGGTGGCCAACACATCAGGTGTTAGCACCTAAAAGTGCCAATCCCAAGCCACGGAGCTGCATCCCGGCCAGTCATGAATGAAATGCCGTGATTGGGTTTAAGTATCGTCATATCATATATGTTAATATTGAGCAAGTGGATATACTTAAGTGAACCTTGCATCGTTGTTTTCAGTGGATAACGCCTAAAAAACCCATCAAACTGAGCTATACCATGCAAAATATTTATCTATATCTGCTGTGCTCCATAGGGGTCCCCGCCTGCGCCTTGGAATTGATGACCACGGGTGGAGAGGCCGACTGATAAGCAATGCCCGTCCACCCCAGCTGGGTCCAGGGGACAGCTGACAGCTCTTCACCTGTGCACGGAGTGCACGGAGTGCACGGCAGGCCATGTCAACCCTGGATTAATAAACCCCAAACGGCTGTTTAATTGGGAGGGTACCATTTAAGTATCAAATAATGACTATTGGAGGAGTACCCCCCCAACTAATAAACCATGGTTTATTAATCCGGGGTTGAAATTATATATATATAATATATATGTATACAAAATTGTATAGTATAGTTGTCTTTATTTCTATACATGTTTTATCATAATTACTAATTACTGCATGTTGTTTTTTCTCCTTCAGCTTCCTAGACACTGTCAATCCCACATAACTTCCCGTGACTTCACCCAACATCAATCTTTCCCAGAGTTGGGTGACAAGGAAGGCAAACCCAACCCTTTCCACTTGTTGCATTGGTGGTATTCCAATTCGAGAACAGACAAGCTAACCCATTTATAATGTATATTATATATATATGTGTGTGTGCGCGTATGTGTATATATATATATGTGTGTGTGTATGTGTGTGCGTGTGAGTGCAATCATGCTATTATTTATAACCTATACTGTCTATGATATATAATATATGTATATGTACAGCATTTCAACGCGTACATGCGCTATCATCTAATACAATTTAATCAGACCTGAACTGTCCTCAGCTTCATGCCATCATCTGGGTAAATTATAATAATTCACTAACCTGAAATAAGATCATATTGGGATAATTCCCCTTGCTAACCATGATTCCAGTGAGGTCGCAGTGAGGTCGTTATAATTTATCCAGCATCATGATCCATCATGTAACGCGCTTGCCTTGCAAGGTCCCAAGGCTCTTGGGACTTGTGAGGTGGATGCTCAGAAACTTGCCCAGCACCACATGGTATCGCAAGAGAGCCTCACCATGGCCACGAAATAGAAACTATCAAGTCAAAAGGCCCGGAGGCTATCGACAAATATATAGACGACACATACATACATGTACATAAAGAATAGGCATATGCATTTAAAACAAAAAAAACATACAATTATGTGCATACTAATGCAAATATGTGCATTATTTGCAATACACTGTAGCACCTGCCAGTACCTGCCATCTGTCCTGTTTCTTTTGGTAGGAGCAACAACACTCAACCAACAGTACCTATGTCCATACTGGCACCGCTAGAAAAGTGGATACAAATGGAGGCATGTAGCCAGGATTCGCATCAAGAGTTCAACATTGAATCCAACACGGTCGCAGCAAGCATCGAGTTTGGACGAGTATACTATTCCTGTACTGTACATATCCTGGTTGGTGGTTGACCTACCCCTCTGAAAAAATATGAGTTCGTCAGTTGGGATAATTATTCCCAATATCATAAAATTCATGTTCCAAACCACCAACCAGATTATGTATCTACATCTGCATGTACATGGCATGAATCCAATCATCATCTTGGATATCTTGATGCTACAATCTATCGCTGCTCATGCAGCGATCTGAAAACCGTAAACTGCGCAGGTCTCCTTCAACTTCTGCGCATTCTCGGGCAAAAACAACTTCTCCATGCCAGATCCTCGGGACATTCTGGCCCAGGCTCAGGGGCATGTTTCGGCTTTGGAAGAGATTCTGCCACATTTGTTTGCTTTGGATCAAGAAAAATAAGAAAATCAAATGGGATTGCTGGGGTCTTCAGTGAGTATTCTGACATATTCTGACATGACGACGTCGCTTAAGAAAAACCTTGAGATGATGCCCTGGCAGACCATCCAACTCGACCGTCAAGATTCCCAGCTGCGAAAAGGCATAGTTGGTGGGGATCATGGCCGTGAAGGGCCCATTGCCCTGGCAGAATCACTGGGTCCATCTGGATCCGGCCCGGTTTTTATCATGATAAATCTGGATAAATCATGGCTGGAAAAACAAAACCACGTATAGTTAGTATAGTTCGAAGATCTTCCCATTAGAATCCATGACATAAATATATATATATATAAATTACAACCTTCATCTGATTCATCGACCTTGATTTTTCAGGGATTTCGCTTGACGCCGGTGAAATCCGGTGAAATCCGGTGAAATATCTCAATGTGTGTTACTGTCTGGTAAACTAACATAGCTATTGAACATGGCCATTTATAGTGAGTTTTCCCATGAAAAATGGTGATGTTCCATAGTTGTGTTAGTTTACCAGAGGGTAATTGAACCATAGAGGTGCCCCAAGTCCTGGGAGGTACCGAAAAAATCGCTGGATGGTGGGAACTTTCCAGGAAAATCCTGGAAAATCCCATCTTTTTCAAGGGATGATCACAACTGAGGGATCTGCCCCGGCCATTCCCAAGCCAGGCTCGCCTGGAACTCCTCCACCAAACCGCTGAAGGACACCAGGCGCACAAATTCGCTCAAGTCACTCTCCTGCAGCCAGGTTGATAAACCAGGATGGTGCTCCCCCAGCTATAAGTTGGTTTATTATAACCCCATCAACATATTAAATTATTAAATATAGTTATATCTTATTATATCTACCATAAGGCAACTGAACGCTATCTTGGGGGCCCCATCCTGTATGTTCCTTTCCATGGTTGGATCTCATGCTTCACAAACCTCTCAAATGGGATCATATGGCCACCTTAACTTCCTGGAATGGCTGGAATGATTTGAAGTGTTCATTCTCTTGGGGTGCTATAGCCATAGCAGTATAATGCGCGACTCAATGCCATAAACCATCTCGGGATTCTGTCTGGTTCAATCCCAGTCATTTCCGGATATGTCATGATACTTCTTTTTCTGTAATATTAGGAATGTTTTTTTGTTTATTCATGTAAAATTATTGGGTTTACCAAGAATTACAGTCCGATGAATCTTTCCACCGTCAAAACGGCCCACCTTGTTGGCGAATTGCATGAAATTTCTCTCCGGAAAGCGCCAGACTTTGGGCAGCACCACCTGATCCATGATGTGCAAAACCCCGTTGGTGGTCGGCACATCCTACGGGCGCAAAAAAGCCCTTAGGCTGCACCGAAGGCTTCAAGGAGCTGTGGAAAGGTTGGATGAAGGTGATGAAAGGCACTGGAAAAGATAAACATGAATTAACATGAATATCCTCTCCAGCCTAAGCTGGCAATTCAAAAATATTCAAAACACCAATTTCCCCTCACTTTCCCTCAAAAAGGCAATCACAGCCATAATTGCCCTTTACTTTTCCATAAACAAATGCTGCCAAATAAGGAAAATATATAGAAAACATTAGAAAACCATGTCATCCCTTACCCCAACCAGAAAAAAACACGCATCGCCAAACGGTTTTCATCTGTTTTCAGCCGGTCCTGCACTCTGGACACGGCGCCATTGAAGGTCAAGGGCTGCAGGGTATTGACCGTGACTGCCTCGCCCTGACGACTAACGATGTTGGTGCCCGCCACCATGTCCTTGTCTGCTCGACCAGTGCGTTCAACGCAAACATCATGAAGATATGTATCAGACATACGCACAAACACACACACACACGTATATATATATATATGTACATCTATGATCGTATATATAACTACAAAAAAAGCCTACATGTACAATTTGAATAAAAAAATATTACATACATACATACATACATGCATACATATGATGTCATATGTGTATATATATATATATATATGCATATGCATGATGCATGCATATATACCTATATATGTATAAATATATATATATATATATATGGGAATGATATGCTGAAATACTGTACATGTATGTTACATTTCATTTTACTTGTGCGTGCTTATCTATTTTTGTGGCCCATGTTAAACAAAAATGATGCGACATCCAAAGCCCAAGGCCCCAGCCATGCTGGTCTTTGCTCCCTCCAGGATGTGTAGTTGAACTAAGGCCACCTGGGTACATGCAGAGCTTGCCAAGTCATCAGAAATTTCTGGGCATGGCATGGGCCATACAGTTCGAGGTGATCAGTTATACAATGACTAGATCCTCCCAAACAACAAGAAATGATGCGGTGATCACTTCCTACAACTTGGGCTGAGATGGTAGAAGTGAACTAAGTGACCCATCTAATCATCATCTATCAATCCAATTGGCCCCATTCTGCTTGCAGAATCAGGCCGGGTCACCAGGTCTTCCAAATTGGACATGAGCCTGCCAGCTGATTCAGCTTCGGCTGCTTGACAGCAACCCAAATGGAGATCAAATGCCATCGAAGGAAAAACGAGTGACTTGGATTTCAGGGGACTCATTTCCAATCAGGATGATTAACGAAATGCAAACCCGTCAAACCACAAAGTACAGTACATAGATTTGGGAACGGGCTTACCCTCTGGTAATTTAATGTAATTTAACATAGCTATGGAAAATCACCACCTTCAAACAGGTCAATCATGGTAAAATCATCCATGGGCGATGGTCCCTGGCAAGCTGTTAAATTACCAGGGAAACCAGCTCACGGATCGAACGGCCTATTAAGAGCTACAGCATCTCAAGGTGTACATCATTTGGAACACATGTTATCCGTCGTTATATATCCCCAAGGTCCCCATTAAAACCACTTTCATCCACCATGGTTTCCCCATTTTCGAGTGTCGCATCATGTTGGAACCATATCATCACCATATAATCACCATGTTGGACCAAGCCCTCCAGCCCTTTCCAGCCCAGAGGCAGCAAGCTGGCGGCAACGCCACGGCCCAAGGACAGAAAGGCTTCGTCTGTGGGGGCCAGCAGCGTCTGCTTGGAGGCACCTGAAACGCGACTGGTGAAGATTTTGTTGAATCATGCTTAATCATCTCTGATTTTTGGGGGTCTAAGGCTAAGGTTTCCCTTCGCACTGTAAGTCCCAGCCTCAAGCTATGGAGTCTGGCCTGAGTCTAGACAATCTGTTGGCATCTATCAGCCCATTTTCTGCCACCCAAAATTCTGTGCAGAGTCAGTTGGGTGGTCATCATCCCAGGATATCCCAGGTCTAGAAATCACTCCCAAACATCCACAGGGGCCATGCTTTTGCCTCAGTGAAGCGGTTGTGATTGGCTCCCGTCATTGGATGGGTCTCAGCACATGTTGGGATGACATGAGACCCGAACACTGTGACTTTGTCCAAATGGATGAGGCAGGCCCTATCAGACTCGGGGGCTTCAGGAGTAGCATAGAACAGAACTGACATAGGTTCTCTAATTCTCCAGGCTGCATTTGGAATTATTTTATCGCTGGCTTAAAGCCAAACACCTAGGCCCTTTTGGGATAAATTTGCACTGTAAGGTTAAGCGGTGATGACCCACTACATTTCATGTTCAATCAATTTTCCATCCCACTTGCAAAGCAGATCAAAACACGAAGTTCAGGGATATCACCCAGTGCACCAAAAAAATTCGGTTCTTCGGTTTCTTTTTGACCTCTGCAATAACCAGTCGCGCTTTCGATTAATTCGCTGTCGAATTAGCGAGACGAGTTCGGCTCAGCAGGGGGTGGCCGCGCAACCAGACCGCCAGGTGCTGAGCCGAGGGCCGGCGGAAAAGGACATGTCCTGTGGCGAAGGTGGGAATTTTCATGCCATAGCTACGGCGAAAATACGCAAAAACACTTGAAATTGACGATGGAAACCTAAACCTTAGCCATCTCTAAGAGCGAAAACAAAAAAACAAAAGGGTTTGTTTGGAGCTTCACTCAAGTCAGTTTTCTTGTGAGGGTAAAATGTCCACAACAGGATTTAGATAGTGCCCAGTAATGCCCAACTGTGAGAAATCACTTCATGGGATGCACTGGCTGTTAACATGATTCACATGAAACTTGAGCCACTTCTGCTCCCTTTGGGAAAAAAGGAATGTCATATGTATCTTCATGTGTTTAATTTGAACACGACCCGTAAAACCACTTCAACATCTGACTCTAGTCACACAAGTTGAGAGCTGAAAGCGTCGCATCGAATGACCTAGTATGCCCTTTTGACCCATAGAATGCGGTCCTCCACAGACTATGGTTGGTTTGCATTCCCTCCAACTATAAGTTCGTTTACATATGAACCAACTCAGAACTACGGGATGTTACTTTACACCATTAATTGGTGCATCCATGATACCATGTTGTGTTATGTCCAATGTTATTTGGACTGGTGAGTAAATGCGTGTAATTAAAATCACCAAGTTACAAAATCACCAGTATCATCAAGTTGATTATTGTTGTCAATTGGTGATGTGATTGTTATCAAAATCACCAGTTTCCCAGTGCTCACAACTGTGTTCCCCTTTATTACAAAATCACCATTATCACCATTCCATTCATTCAATGTTATCAAAATCACCAAGTTCCATTCATTCCCCAGTGCTCATCCCAATCTAGACATCCCAATGTCGACATCCGAAGCTCAAGCTACATCACTATGAAATCGTTGTCGTTCTTGGGTACATTCCCAATTATATTCATAAAATGTATACATACAGATATATATATATATACACCATATATGTTTCGTATTGTTTGGTCAAAAGAAACATTGGATCAATCCCACCTTGGGTTTGCTCAAGGACACCCCATAAAACATATTCCCTTAGAAATGGAATCCCGCAGTGGTGGATTTCCCAGTGGCTAAGTAAAAACACCATGAGTATGTATAATATGTATATATTTTCCTGTTGGATCCCCATTATTTAGATCCTCATCCAACCCCCAATGGACCTTTCTACCTTTAGATCCTCACAAAATATGCATATAGATCCTCATTAATTAGAACATATATATATATATACATATCTCTCTCTCTCTCTATCTCCCTCTCTCCCCATTGGAACACATATACCCCCCCTAGATCCTCATCCCGTCCCATCCCCAACCATCCATCTTTAGATCCTCACTATACATATATAATTGTTCTTGGGTTGGTTCCCATTATATAGTATGTATATATAGATAAATTATTATGTGTGCATATAAAATCTAAATAGATGTAAAACCTCTCCTTTTTTCTTTTTCTCTCCTTCTAACAAGGGTTGTCAATATCAAAGCAGGGGGCATGGCAGCTGTTTCCCTACATTGGTGTCCCCGGCTACTTGTCCAGTTGTAACATGAGTTGAAGTTACTTAGCTACTTATCTTATAAGCAAGTATATAAGTAGAAATAAGTAGAAATATAGTGACGGACTGAAACTTAGAATGCCGCCATGTTTCTCAAATTTTTTAACGGTGCCACTTAGAATGCCTTTTTTTTGGCCTCACTTAGAATGCCTCCATCGCTAAAACATTCAAACCTGCGAGCTGGACTTTATGAGGCATTCTAAGTGCGCATGATTATCGCCATATTTGGAGACCCTTTCAATATTTTTTTGGTCCAAGGCATTCTAAGTTTCAGTCCGTTGCTATTAGAGATATAGACTTAAACTCTTGATGGTATATAAAATTTATTATACAATCCCCTGTTCTGGTATGAATATGCTAGTTGTTGTCCCCTAAATCGCATTTGTGAGTTTCAGGAGAAAGGAAAGGAGAAAGGAAAGGAGAAAGGAAAGGAGAAAGGAAAGGAGAAAGGAAAGGAGAAAGGAAAGGAGAAAGGAAAGGAGAAAGGAAAGGAGAAAGGAAGGAGAAAGGAAAGGAAAAAGGAAAGGAGAAAGGAAAGGAGAAAGGAAAGGAAAAAGGAAAGGAAAAAGGAAAGGAAAAAGGAAAGGAAAAAGGAAAGGAAA